ACTGGTGGAGTATGAGTCTTGGATGATGAATACTACATGTCTGGAGGTCCAACACAAAAGAAAACCTAGTCTACTGCCTCTGTTGGAAGTGATCCTATAGATAATATTAAGAATATACAGGGATCACGTTCTTGTCTTTGTGTTCATGGATTCTGACTCTATTATTATCACTGGATATATTAAAATTATGAAAAAATCAATACAGAAATATAAATAAAGCATTGTCCAATTATGAAAATACGTCATGAAGTAAGAGATTCTATTAATATATGTCAAAAACACTGAGTCGATTAAGAGAGGCAGGGTTCAGGGGCTGGCCTGGTGGCATAGTGGTTAAGTTCGCGTGCCCCACTTTGGCGGCCTGGGGTTCACCAGATCCGTTCCTGGGTGCGGACCTGCACGCTGCTCATCAGGCCAAACTCTGGCAGCATCCCACGCAGAGCAACTAGAAGGACTTACAAGTAGGAACTAGGACGTACAACTGTGTACTGGGGCTTTGGGGAGAAAAAAAGAAGACGTGGTTCAAAGGTGTTACTTCTTTGACTAATGATTACATAGAAAGTTATAATCATTGTTCTTGTTCTGCCTTAGTGCCAAGTTTGATGTTCATTTTCTTAAGAGAAATATTAATAGATATTACCCCAAATTAATAAATACCTAAGTTACTGACTTAATGAAAGGTGATATGCAAGGGTTAATGGAGATAATGTCAGTTTTTAAAAATCTATTCTGCTTTTACGTCTCAGAGTGGGCAGTCGAGCTGATTGAAGCATCTTCCGTGATCGGGAGCTCCATATGTAGGAGAATGGAGATGAGTGTGAGTAATGGTCAAAGTTCTTGTCTTGTTTTTGGTGATTTGTTTAGGATATTAACTGTAATATTAGAAAATAATTAAAAATAATAAAAAAGGCCAGCCATGGCCCCATGATAAATATGGAATTGACATGCAACATCTTATTGATTAATTGGTATTTGCAATAATATAGATGAGAAATGAAATATATATTTGACAAGGGAAATGATTCTATTGATGAATGTTAGAGATACTGAAGGGTCCTGATTTCAAGTGTTTTGATTCACGGATGTTTATTTTATAGTTATTGCTTTATTGGTAAGTTAATCAGGAAAGAAATGTAGAAGTGAGTGAAGAAAAAGAGGGCTGAGTCTGGACCAATGATGATGACTGGTGGCGTATGAGTCATGAATGATGAATACTACGTGTCGGGAACTCTGAGGTCCAACACAATACGGAATGTCCTCTGTTGGAAATGACCATATTGACAGATATTAGTAACATACAAAGACCATGTTCTTGGTTTTTGTGTTCATAGATTTTGATTCTATTAGTATAAATAGATCAATGAAAGAATCCATAAACAAATATAAATAAATTTATGAATAAGTGAAGCATTGTAAATTATGAAAATTAATAAATACTTAAGTGGCTGAGTAAATGAAATGCAGAGAGCAAAGTCCATGCAGATAAGGTCTCTCAGTTTTTTTTTTTTAATCTCCTTTTGTGTTTTGTATTTCTCAGAATGGGTGCACTGGAGGTGGTTTAAGGATTCTTCCGTGGTGACAAGATGTCTGGTTGTCTCTCTGTGTTTGGCACATAGAAACAAATGTGAGTTTTTGCGGATATACACTCTGTGTTTGAAAAGTATGAAATATAATCAAAGAAAGCCAACCATGGTCCATTGATAAATATGGGCGTGATAGGTAGCATTATATTGATTAATTCCTACATGAAACTTTGAGGATGATTAATGACAGAGACATATCTATGTAGCAAATGATTCTGTAGACAGATGTAGGACTACTCAAGGCCTGTGTTTTGTTTTTTTTTGTGCTGCATAGGTATTTATTTTATTACTATTAGATAAATTGGTAAATTAATTAATAAACAAAGGTAGATGAGAGAGGAAAAAAAAGGCCAAACCTGGACCAATGATGACCACTGGTGGCGTATGAGTCATGGATGATGAATACGTGTCTGGAACTCTGAGGTCCAGTATCAAAAGAAATTTGGTTTATTGCCTCTCTTGGAAATGATCCCATAGACAGGTTTAGGATTTCACACGGATTTTCTTCTGGGGTCTTTGTGTTCATGGACTTTGCTTCTCTTACAGTCATGCACCACAGAAGGACGTTTTGTGATGTTCACACAATGACAAAATCGATTAAGAACACATTTTCCAGAATGTACCTTTGTCGTTAAGTGATGCCTGACTGTATAGTAAATGCATCGATTAAAGAATCAGTGCATAAATATGAATAAATAAAGATGGAAAGGGCGAAGCAGTGTCCAGTCATGAACAAATGCAGTAAGGCAAGAGATAATATTAATAAATATTGAAACACTAAGTCAGTTAAGAAATAAATGGCTCAAGGGTATTACTAGCTAAGGATGTTATAGATAGTATAACTAATGGCCATATCCTTGTTTTGGGTTAGTGGAAATTTCAATGTTGTCTATTTTTCTTAAGGAAGAATACCCAAAATTAATGTATAACTTAAACACTGAATAATGTAGAAAGAAGGATCAATAAAATATCGCAATCATGTTATCATCTACTCTGCTTTATACTTTTTAGAATGGACACATTGAAGCTGATTTAAGAATTATGCCTTGGTCAACAATCTCTATATTTGTCTGTAGGAGCATGGAAACCAACGTGAGTAATAGTCAGTGTTCTCATCCTACTTTGGGTGGTTTGTTTAGGATATTCTCTGTAATATTTTTAAAAAGTACTCAATATAAGATAAAAGACCAACCATGGTCCAGTGATTAAAATGGAAATATATGAAACATTATTTTGATTAATCTATCTTTACAACAGTGAGGATGATCAATGAAAGAGGTGTATTCTTTTAGGCAATGATTCTAAAGAAAAATGATAAAGACACTGAAGGCTCTTGTCCTTGAGTTTTGTGATTCATAGATATTTATTTAATTGCTATTAGTCAATTGATGAATTAATCATTGAACAAATGTAGATAGGAATGGAGAAGAAGAGGCCCAGATCTGGACCAATGATGATGACTGGTGGCGTACGAGTCATGAACGATGAATGCTACGTGTCTGGAAGTCTGAGGTCCAAGATAAAACAAAATCTAGTGTTTCTTCTCTCACAAGTGACCCCGTGGATCCATGCTAGGAATATTCAAGGATATTGTTCTTGTAATCTTGGATTCATAGATTTCTATATTATTAATATAAATGGATCAATGGTAGAACCAATAAATATATAAATTAAAAAAACAAAGATGAAGCCTTGTCTGCCTATGAATATGTGTGGTGAGGCAAGATATATTATTAATATAAGCTGATGCATGTTAAGAAATAAATGTACCAACGGTGTTACCTCTTTTTCTAAGGATCATATCATACTTATATTTATGCTTATATATGTATCTAAATTATGAAAAATAATAAATACCTTTATGACTGAGTAAACAAAATGAGCAAAACAAGGACCAATTTAGAAGACGGTCTCAAGTTTCTATATCATCTGCTCTGCTCTGTACTCCTCAGATGGATGCTCTCGAGTGGGTTTAAGCATCTTCTATGATCACATGCTCGACAGTTGCCTCTGTGTAATGAGTATAGAGACCAGTGTAAGTAATAAAGTTCATGCCTTTGTTTCAGAGGTTTCTTTCCCCCGGTATTCACTGTATTGTTAAAAGTGTGAAATATAATCCAAGACACAAACTATCATGAATGCTAAATATGAGTTTGGTCTTCAGTGTTATATTTATTAATCCATACATGAAACATTGATGGTAATGAAAGACATAGCAATGTGCAAATGATACTATAGGCAGATGCAGAATATTGCTTTTATTCTTGGGGTTTTGTGAATCAGTGAGTTTTAAAAATTAATGTTAGTGAATTAGTGAATTAATGAGTAAACTTATGCAGATGAGAGTGAAGAAAAAGAGGCCCACATATGGACCAATGATGACGACTGGTGCGTATGAGTCATGGATGATGAATATTACGTGTCTGAAACTCTGAGGTCCAACAAAAAAGAAATATAACTTATTGCCTCTGTTTGACATGATATTATAGACATATATTAGGAAAATAAAAAATATAGAAAATAAAAACCAATTTTCTTGGTTTGTGTTTCTGAAGTTTGATTTTACTGTAAAAAAATGGCCCAAAGAAACCATCACTGTAAAAGCATAAATAGTTGAAAGTTAAGTGTAAAAGTATAAATAGCGTAAAAGGTGATGAAGAGGGTGGAGCATGTCCACTCTTCATGTATGTGCTGAGGTGATGAAACAATGAACATTTACTGAGAATGCTGAAGTTCGCTAAGAAATGTAAATGGTTCACGTGTCTTACCTCTTCGGCTAAGTAAGATATAGGCAATGAATAATGGTTTAAGTTCTTGTTCTGAGTTAGTGTTAGGTTCACTATTGTTCAATTTTTTAAGATAAAAGTAATGAATATGTCCCCAATTTGCTATATTCATAAATAACTTACTAAATGAAGGTGGAATGTATGCATCAGTAGAGAATATCTCAATCTTGTCTTTATCTGTTCTGCTTTGTACTCCTCAGAATGGACACCTGAACTTATTTAAGCATTTGGCCATGATCAGGAGCTCCATGTATGCCCCCGTGCACGAGCGTGGAGACCAGTGTGAGTAATGGTCAGATTCTTCTCTTGGTTGAGGTGGTTTATACAGGATATTCAGTCTAATAATAAAAATTATTAAATATATTCAAAGAAGGCCAAACATGGCTCCATGACAAATATGGCATTGACATGAGACATTATGTTGATTAATCAGTATTTGCCACAATGAAGATGATTAATGAAGTAAGTTTATTCAGTGTGGCAAAGATTCTATAGACAGATGCTAGAAATACTTAAGCATCTTGTCCTTGAGTTTTTTTGATTCACAGATATTTATTTTATTAGTGTTAATAACTTAGTAAATTGATCAGTAAACAAATATAGATTTAATGAAGAAAAAGAGACCCAAGCCTGGACCAATGATGACGACCGATGGCATATGTGTCATATACAATGAATTCTACGCGTCTGGAGCTCTGAGGTCCAATGCAAAGAAATCAGGTCCATTCCCTCTGTTGGAAGTGTTCCTATAGACAGATGTCAGGCGTATGTAAGGACTTTGTCCTTATTCCTTGTGTTCATGAATTTTTAAAAATGTTACTAAAGTAGTATCAATGTCAGAATAAACAAATATACAAATGAATAAAGATAAAGAGGGTTAAATATTATTCATTACTTAAATATGTAGTAAGGAGAAATAATATAAGTTAGAATGGATAATAAATGGGTCAAGTGTATTTTGCATTTTTGACTAAGGATGATATAGAAAGTGATAAGTAATGGTCAATTATTGATCTCAGGAAGTTGCAAGTTTGATGTTTGTTTTAGTAAGGGAAAAAGAAATAAATGTAATGATAATTAATTAATACCTAAATGACTATGTATATGAATGGTGGAAAGTGTGGATCAATGGAGACAATATCTCAATCTTTTTATCACTTTCTCTGCTTGGTACTATTCAGAATGGAGGCGAGAGCTTCTGTCACGATCAAGATCTTCATGTTGCCTCTGTTGGAAAGAGACCAAGGTGAGTAATACAGTCATGTGTCACATAACCATTTTTCAGTCAACAACTGACCACATATTTGAGAGTGGTCCTGTAAGATTAATACCACGTAGCCTAGGTGTGTAGTAGGCTATTCCATCTAGGTTTGTGTAAGTTCACCTATGATGTTTACACCAGGACAAAACTGCTTAATGATGCATTTCTCAGAATGTATCCCCATTGTTAAGTGACACCTGACTGTAGTCAAAGTTGTTGTCTTAGATTGGGTTATTTGTTTAAAGGTATTCATTGAATTATTGAAACATATTAAACATAATAAAAAAGTTAACTATGGTCCAATGATAAATATGATATGAAACACGTTGATGAATAAATACTGTGCAACGTTGAGGTCAATTAATGAAAGAGAATCAGTCCGTATGGGAAATGATTCTATAGAGAAATGTTAGGGATATTCAAAGATCTTGTTCTTGAATTTTGTGAATTATATGTTCATTTCATTATTATTAATTAATTAATGATTTATTTGATACAAATAAAGAAATGAATGAAGAAGAAGAGACCCAAACCTGAACCAATGATGATGACAAGTGGCATATGGGTCATGGATGGTGAATAAGATGTGCCTGGAACTCTGAGGTCCAACACAAAACATAATTAACCACATCCCTCTTTTGGAAATCATCCTGTAGAGAGATATTAGAAATATACAAAAATCATGTTCTTAACCTGTATTCATTGATTTAGATTTGTTATTATTAATGGATCAATGAAAACCATTAAAGAAATATAAATAAATAGATAAGAACACAGTGAAGTATTGTCCAAGTGTGAATACATGTGGTGAGGCAAGAATTATTATTGCTAAAAATTGAAACAGTGATACTCCTTAAGAACTAAAGGGATTGGGGCTGGACATGTGGCCTAGTGGTTAAGTTTGTGCTCTCCACTCGGCGGCCCAGGTTTGTGGGTTCGGACCCTGGTCACAGACCTACACCACTTGTCAGTGATGTTGTGGTGGTGACCCACATACAAAATAGAGGAAGGTTGGCACAGATGTTAGCTCAGGGACAATCTTCCTCAAGCAAAAAGAGGAGGATTGGCAATGGATGTTACTGCAGGGCAAATCTTACTCAGCAAAAGAAAAGAAAGAAAGAAAGAAAGAAATGGATTAAGAGTACCACCTCTTTGACTAAGGATCACATAGACTGTGATAAATAAGAGTAAATTTTATTTTCTAGATGAGTCTCAAATTTGAGGTTGTTCTTTTCATTAAGAGAAAAGAATCTATGTTATGAAAAATAAATATCTAAATAACTGAATAAATGAAATATAGAAAAGAAGGATCCGTTCAGATGAGGCCTCAGTGTTTTTTTCATCATCTGTTCTGCTTTATGTCCTCTGAAGGGACATACTGGAGCTGATGGAAGAATTCTTTCACGGCTGCACCCTCTTTGTTGGCTCTGTGTGTTAGGTGCATGGAGCACAACGTGAGTAATAAAGATCGTGTCTTCATTTGACAGGTTTTTTAATAAGGGCACTTGCTGTATTATTAAAAGTGTGAATATTATTCAAAAGGCCAACCATGGCCAATGATACTTATGGGATTATTACCAAGTGTTATATTTATTAATCCATCTAAGATAGATTAAGGATAATTAATGAAAGAGATATATCAATGTGATAAATGATTCTCTAGGCAGATGTAGAATATTCAAGGTTCTTATTCTTCATTTTTTTGTGTGAATTATAGGGTTTTAAAATTAATATTAGTAAATTAAGGAATTAATCAGTGAAATAATATATAAGAGAATGGAGAAAAAGAGGCGAAAATATGGACCAATGCTGACGACTGGTGGCATAGGAGTCACGGATGATGAATACTATATGTTTTGAACTCTGAGGTCCAACACAAAAGGAAGTGTAGTTTATTGCCTCTGTTTGAAGTGATCCTATAGACTGATTTTGGGAATGTAAAAGGATCGTTTTCTTAGCTGGTCTTCATGGATTTTGATTCTCTTGTCATAAATGATCGATTTAAGAATCAGTGTACAAATATAAAAAAGTACAGGTGAAGAGCATGCAGCATATGCACTCTTCATATATGTGGTGAGGCAATGAGACAATTAAAATGTGCTGAAAATACTGAACAGTGGAGATGATGCCTCAATCCTCTTATCCTCTGCTTTGCCTTTTACGTCTTAGAAAGAAAACACCTGAAATGGTTTAAGCATCTGCCCTGTTCAGGAGCCCCAAAGTAGCCTCTCTCTGTAGGAACATTTAGTCCAGTGTGAGTAACCATCAAAGTTCTTGTGTTGGTTTGGGTGGTTTGTTTAGGGTATCACTGTAATAATTTAAAAAGTAATAAATATAAGAAAAAAGGCCCACCATGGTTCAGTGATTAAATTGGAAATGCATGAAACATTATGTTGATCGATCTATCTTTACAGCAGTAAGCATGATTAATGAAAGACAGGTATTCAGTTAGACATTGGTTCTAGAGAAAGCTGATAGGAATACCGAAGGCTCTTGTCCTTGCGTTTTTGTGATTCATAGATTTATTTAATTATTATTGTTAGATTGATGAATTAATATATAAACAAATGTAGAGGTGAATGAAGAAAAAGAGGCCCAAACTGGGACCAATGATGATGACTGGTGGCGGACGAGTCATGTACGATGAATGCTACGTGTCTGGAAGTCTGAGGTCCAAGAGAAAGCAAAATCTGGTCTGTTTCCTCTCTTGCAAATGATCCTATGGATCGATGTTAGGAACACACAAGGATGTTGTTTTTGTAATTTCGGATTCATGGATTTCTATATTATCAATATAAATGAATCAATGATAGAACCAATAAACAAATATAGAGATAAAGAAAAATAAAAATGAAGTCATGTCCATCAATGAAGATATGTGGTGAGGCAAGATACACTATTAATATGAGCTGAAGAAATTGATGGATGTTAAGAAGTAAATGGACCGGTGGTGTTACCTGTTTCTCTAAAGATCATTTAAAGACCCATACTGATAAGTAATATTTAGTTTTATAAGCCTGGGCCGGTCTCGAGTTGGGGATGTTAATTTTGTAATATGTATGTTTATATTTTCTTATGTATATATGTTCTGAAAAATTAACAAATACCCAAATAAATGGAAAAATGAAATGAGGAAAACAAGGACTCATGGAGAAAAGATTTTGATTTTTAATTACTTGCTCTGTCTTATACTCCTCAGAATGGACACACTCAAGATGATTTAACTATTTTTATGGTCCCGAGATCTGTGGTTTCCTCTGTGTGTTAAGAGCGTAGAGACTAATGTGAGTACAGGTTAAACTTCTTGTATTTGTTTAAGAAGGTTTTTTAAAGAGTGTTCACTGTATTGTTAAAAGGGTGAAATATAGTCCCAAACACCAACCATGGAAAATGATAAATATGGGATATTATGAAGTATTATATTTACTAATGCATATATCAAATATTATGATAATGAAAGAATTATAATAATGTGGTAAATGATCCCATAGACAAATGAATCGTAGCATTTTAAAAATTAACTTTGTGGCATTAAGAAATTAATTAATGAAGTAAGGTACGTGAGAATGGAGGGAAAGAGGCGCAGATCTGGACCAATGATGACTGTTGGTGGAGTATGAGTCACGGATGATGAATATGTTTCTGAAACTCTGAGGTCCAATAAAAAAGGAAATGTAGCCTATTGCCTGTGTTTGAAGCAATCCTATAGACAGGCATTAGGACAAGAAAAGGGACCATAAATTTATAAATACCTAAATAACAGTAAATATAACGTGGAAAGCAAGAATCAATGGGGATAAAGTCTCAATTTTCTTTATCATCTGCCCTGCTCTGTGTCCTCAGAACGAGCTGATTTAAGCATCTTTTGTGGTCCCCAGCTCAGTGGTTGCATCCGTGTGTTAGGAGCATAGAGACCAATGTGAGTAACAAAGTTCTTGTCTTATTCTAATGTTGTTTTTTTTTAAAGGTCTTCACTGAATCATTAAAAAGTGTGAAATATAAGCAAATAAGGTCAAATGTAGCCCAGGGACAAATATGGGGTTGATTATATTGATTAATGCACATATGAAAGACAGGATAATTAATGGGAGAGATATCTTGATGTGATGAGAATGATCGTGTATCCAGATTAGGGATATCGAGGCTCTTGGATTTTTGTGAATAATAGTATCTTAAAATTATTATTAGTGAATTAATGAATTAATCAATAGACAATGTGGAAATAATTGAAGAAAAGGAGGGACAATATTGGATCAGTGATGACTGCTGGTGGCGTATGAGTCGTATACGATGAATACGTGTCTGGAACTCTGAGGTCCAATAGAAAGGAAGCCTGTTCCATTCCCATTGTTTGAAGACATCATATAGACAGATGTCAGGAATATAGAAGGATCTTGTTTTAGGTTTCTGTTCATGCATTCCCTATTTTTATAATTGGATCAATGAAATAATGAATAAATATATAAATAAGGTGAAGGTCATAGAGCATTGTCCAATTATAAAAATATGTAGTGAGACAAGAGATACTGCTAATGTATATTGAAAACACCCTTATCCATTAGGAAATACATGTTAGAAATGGTACAAGGGTGTTACCCCTTTGGCTAAGGATTTTATAGGCAGTGTTAACTAGTAATAGGCAATGGTCGCATTCTGTTTCAGTGGCAGGATCGTCGTTGTTTGCTTACTTGGGAAAAATGAAATAAGCATTTTTGAAATTGCTAATTCCCTAAATGACTGACTAAATGGAAGGTGGAATGTGAAGACCAGTGGAGATGAGGTCTCCATCTTTTTTAATCATCTGCTCTGCTCTGTGCTCCTCAGAATGGACATGCTCCAGCTGATTTAAGGATTCTTCCATGCTCACACGCTCTATGGATGCATCTGTGTGTTAGAGTGTGGGGAACAATGTGAGTAATAGTCAGTGTTCTTGTCTCAGTTTGGGTGGTTTTGTTTAAAGGTATTCACTGTATTATCAAAAAGTGTGAAATATAATCAGTGAATGCCCCAAAATGCAATTCATATGAAGTATTATGTTTATGAATCCATCCATGAAACACTGAGGTCAATTAGTGAAAGAGATGGATTGATGAGGAAAATAATTCTATTGACAGATGCTAGAGATTAGCCCATGTCAGCCATGGACTAGTGGTAAAGTAAGAGGTTAAAATGAAGCACGTATGTTCACTAACCCATACATTCAACACTGAGGTTGAGTAGGAAAAGAGATCTGGACAATTTGCTTTGTAGAAAATGATTCTATATGCAGATGTTAGGCATATTAAAGCTACTTTAAAAAATTCATGGATACATATTATTGTTAGTGATTTAATGAATTAATCTCTAAAAATTATAATTGAATGAAGGAAAAAGAGGGTGAAGTTTGGATCAATATTGAGGACTGGTGGCACATGAGTCAAGGAGGAACAAAAATGCTGATCTAGAACTCTGAGGTCCAATGCAAAAAAGAAATCTAGTCTGTTACTTATGATAGAAGCAATCCTATAAATTGTTGTGAGTGATATCCAAGGATCTTATTCTTGGACTTTTGGGTTTCACAGTTATTGATTGCTTATTCTAAGTTAATCAATGCAATAATAACTGTACAGATGAATAGATGAAGGAAAAATGGGGCCAAATGTGGAACAACTGTAGCGTACGTAGTGAAACAAACATCACTGCCAATACATTTCTAAGGAACTGAAGTTCACTAGAAATACATCAAGGCTTTTGTATCTCAGCATAAGGGTCATAGGGAGAGATGTATATAATTGTCAGTGTTCATGTTCTGTGCTCTATTTGGGTTGTAGGTGTTTTTATTTTATTTTATTATTATATTTTGAGTTAAGAAATAAGAAAAAAAGTTCATATAATTTAATCAACTAACTACACTAAAGAAATCTGAGCATGAACCAGTGACAACAATATGTCATATGACGAGTTATGATCAATCCAGTTGGCTGCACGGTGTTCCATTGGTAATTATTCCACAATGTATATGTAAATCAAACCATCACATCGTACGCTTTAAATATACGCAAACATATTTGTCAAATATTCCTCCATAAAGTTGGGAAAAAGAATACAGTCCCTTGACACTTACAATAGTGAGCAACTGGACATAGTTACTATTAATCAGTGTTACTATCTTGAGATTGTATACAAAGATACCGATTTTATCATTATAAATTAGTAAACAAGTTAATAACTTAATAAGATAAAAGAGGACACAGCATCTGGCCAGTGACGAGACCTGGTACATCAACTCTACGCATGTTGTGTCCATCTCAAGAAAAAACAAGCTTAGCTCTTAACCATCTCAGAAAGGAGAATTAGGCAGATATACACAATAGCATTTCTTTTCTGGGTTTCTGGGAAGTTAAACATTTTTTGTTTTGTTTAAAACATGAATAGTTTGTCAGATTATTTCATGAATTAAAGAATGAACGGATGAAAATTAAAGCTATTAATAAATAGCTATACACAAGTAAAATCAAAGAAGACTAAATATGGCTTTAGGATGAAGATATGCTATGTAGCAAGGTTTATGAAGTAATCAATTTCAGCACAATTTTTCAAAAGTTTGAGGATTTTATGTTCCCTTTCATAGCTACTTATTGTTTCATATTCTGTTTGCACCATAGTTTGTAAACATTCCTCTGTGGAAAAGAGCTAAGCTGTTAATTCAATGAAGCAACCAAGGGAAGGTAGACGATATTTACAGTGTTTGCATGTGGAATGTGTAGTGGGTTCATGGTTGTTCTTTCTTATATCTTTCAAGAATGAAAAAGAGCCAAGGAATGAAATGTACCCTGAACGTGTCCTGTGATTAATTTCATTCTGCATCATTGAAGTCCATTTCAAAAGCAGATTTGGCATATTACATCTGCGGGAATAAATCTATAGCTAGATTTCAGGAATTTTTAAGAATCTAATTATGGGGTTGAATTGGATCCTGGGGATTTATCGCATTATTCTAAGGGAATAAAGGACAGAATCAATAGACAGATAAATAGATAGATGATAGATAGATAAATAGATAAAGAGAGTAAAGCTGTATTAATGAAGAAAAAATGTTGCAAGAAATAAACTTTTGTTCCTCTAATTCTGAAATGCTGCAGTGCATTAGGAAACCAATAGATCAAGGGTGTTTCCTCTCTGGGTTAGGGTCATATAGAGCGGTGGTTCTCAAACTTGAGCGAGCTCATCAGAAGCACCTGGAGGCTGGTTGAACTGCAGACTGCTGGCCCCGCCTTCAGCTTTGCTCACTGGGGAGGATTGGCTGGAACCTGAGATTCTGCGTTTCTCATGTGTTCCCAGGTTCTGCCGATGCTGCCTGTTGGGAAACAACGTTTTGAGAATCGCTGATAATAGGCAGATCTATGTGACGTTAGTTAATGTCTTTGCTCTGCATCAGTGGTGAGTTCCAGGTGGTTTATTTTATTAAGAAATCACAAATACGTTAATTGATAAGTGTCTAAAAGTTTGAGCAAATGAAAGGGGAAAAGCATGGTTCAATGGAGAAAATGTCTCATTCTTTTATCATCTTTATACTCCACAGAATGGATGTACCTGAACTGATTGAAGCATTCTGAAAAGACCAAGAGCTCTAGGCCGCCGCTGTGTTTAGGAATGTATATTTAAAGTGAGTAAATGGCTACATACATAAACAAAATCAAACAAGGACAGGCCTGCACTAATGATGAGGAAAGAAAGTTTTGATTAATTTGGTTTAGTGTTACTTAGGATGATTTTAAAAATAGATCGAGTCCATGGCACTCGTTTTTATAGCTCTTTAAATTTCTGTTTTAGGTTTTCCCTGAACATTCCTTAATTGATAAAGATATAAGCTATTTTCATGATGAGGAAAAAGCACATAGGAGATGTAAGTACTAGTCAATGTTTTAGTTCTGATGGGTGGTTCTTGTTATGTATAGAAAGAATATACAAATTATATGAAAATAAAGCCAATCATGGACCAATGATGTGAATGGAATGCATTATGAACTACATGTTATGATCAAAATATCTATGGCCTACTGAGGTCCATTACCAAAAAGGATTTAAGTGTTTCCATATGTGGGAATGAGCCTGTGCATAAATTTCAGCCATGTTCAAGGATCATGTTCTCAGCCTTAGGTGCTTCATGGGTTTTGATTGTACTATCGTAAGTGAATAAATGAAAGAATAAACACGTATGTCACTGGATAAAGATGAAAAGGATGAAACTCATCCAACTATGAAATATATGGTGAAGCAATAATTATTATTAATCTAGCTGGGAACCACTGGAGGTCATTAAGTAATGAATGGATCAAGGGGGTTAGAGTTTTGAGTAAGGATGAGGTAGATGGTGGTGTGTGGTATTCTCTGTTCTTGCTTTCAGTCACTTGTGAGTTTGGTTCATTTAAAAAAGGAAATAGATTCATTTAGAAAAAGAAATCACACTATAAAATAAATACATAAATGGCTAAGAAAATGAAGTCAGAAAAGCATGTGTTGTTTGGAAGAAAGTCTCAATATTTATCTCCATTGCTTATACTTAGAATGAATGCACTGAGCTGACTGAAGGCTTTCCCCTTGGCCATGTGGTTCATGAATTTTGATTGTATTATTATGAAAAATTCAATAACAAAATCTGTACAGTTATTTAAATGAATAAAGATGAAGAATGTGAAGCATCATTCAATTATAGAAACATGAGATGAGACAAGAAATACTATTAATATAATTTGGAAATACTAGTGTCTATTGAGAAATAAATGGATCGAGGGTATTACCTCTTGGGCTGACTAATGTACAGACAGGGAGAAGTAATAGTCAATATTAGTGCTCTGAATCAGTGGCGAGTTCCATGTTCTATTTTTAGGGGAAGAGACAGATAATTATTAACATCAATTAATAAATTTTTAAATGACTAAGAAAATGACAGGTGGAAAGCAATGGTGAGAAAGTCTCAATCTGTTTGTCATCTGCTCTGCTTTGTACTCCTCAGGGGGCGTGCTCACTGCTAATCCAGCTTCTACCGTGATCTCAGGATCAGAAGCTTCTGGTTGCCACTATGTGTGGGGACCCGTGTGAGTAATAGATTTCTTGTCAAGGTTTGGATGGTTTGCCTAAGGGTATTCACTGTGTAAAGACCTATGAAATATAATCACAGAAGGCCAGTAATAGTGTAATAATGAAGCCGGTGTTGATGTGAGGCATGCTGTTGGTTAATTGATTTACTAAATATTGAGGTCAAATAGAGAAAGAGATCTAGTCTCTGTGAGAAATAATTCTATAGACAGATGTTAGGGATTTTCAGGAAACTTCTTCATGGGTTTTTGTGATCCCTGTGAATTTATTATTATTTGTGAATTGTTGAATTAATAGAGAAGATGAAGAATAAAAGGGAAAACCTGGACCAGTGGTGATGGCCGGTGCATGTGAGTCATACACAATGAGTAGTGCATGTCTGAAACTCGCAAGTCCAACACGAAAGGAATCTAGTACGTTCACCCTGTTTGAAGTGTTCCTGTAGACATACGTCAGGAATATACAAGGATATTTTTGTTGGATTTCTGGCCATGGATTTTTAAAAATACTGTTATAAAAGAATCAATGGCAGAATAAATGAACAAATATATAAATGAATAAAGAAGGAGGTGAAGCATTGTTTATTGTCAAAATATGTAATAGGTAAAAATAATATTAACAAATTGGAATGAAAAACAAAAGGACCAAGTGTATGACATCTTTGACTAAATCTTGATATAGACAGTAATAAGTAATGGTTGTAAGTTTGATGTTTGATTTATTAAGAGAAAAATAAATAAATATTACTAGATATAAATAAATCCCTGACTATGTATATGAATGGTGGAAAGTATGGATCAATGGAGAGCATTTCTCAACCTTTTTATTACCTTCTCTGCTTGCTACCTTTCAGGACAGGTGTTGGAGCTGATTTTAGCTTCTGCCATGATCAAGATTGTCATGTTGCCTGTGTGTTAGGAAAAAGATTAAGGTGAGTAATGATCAAAGATCTTGTCTTGGTTCAGGTCATTTGCTTAAGGATATGCTTGCATTACTAAAAACTATTAAATTAATAAAAAAGTTATCTAGTGTCCAAAAAGAAATATGATATGAAATATGTTGACTAATCAATAATGTATAACATTGAGATTAACAGAAGTGGTATTGTCTATGTGGGAACTGATTGTATAGAAAGATGGTGGGGATATTCAAGGATCTTGCTCTTGGTTTTTTTGTGAATCATGGATTTATTTTATTATTATCAAAGAATTAATGATTTAATCAATACAAATATAGACATAAATGAAGAAAAAGAGGCCCAAACATGGACCAGTGATGCTGACTGGTGGTGTATGTGTCTTGGTTGATGAAAACAAGTGAATTCCCAGACAAAACTCAATTAGTCCTGACCCTCTTTTGAAAATGATCCTATAGACGTCAAAAATATACAAAGGTTACGTTTTTATTTTGGAGTCATAGATTTATATTTATTATTATTAATGGATCAATGATAGAACAATTAAAGAAAGATAAATAAAGGAAGAGAAAGTGAAGCATTGTCCAGTTATGCACATACGTGATGAGACAAAATACATTATTAATAAAAATTGAAAAATTGATGTCTATTAAGAAATAAATGGATCAAGGGTGTTACGTGTTTGGCTGAGGATCACGTAGACATGGATAATTAAGAGTCAGTTTTATTATTTTGGATTAGTTTCAAGTTTGAGGTTATTTCCTTTAATAGAAAACATACACATATATAATGAAAAATTAATAAATACCTTAAAAACTGAGTAAATGAAGCATGGAAAGGAAGGATCAATGTAGATCAGGTCTTAATTTATTTTATCAACTGCTGTGCTCTGTACTCCTCAGAATGGACACACTTGAGGTGACTTAAGCATCTTCCACGATCTTGAGCTCTGTGGTCGCATCTATGCATTAGGAATGTGGAACCGATGTGAGTAATAGTCAAAGGTCTTGTGTTGATTTGGGTGGTTTGCTTAAGAGCATTCACTGTACGATTAGTGTGAATTATAAACAATTTATAAATGAATGAAGAGAGAAAGTGTGCTGATTTTGGACCAATGATGATAACTGGTGGCGTTTGAGTCATGGATGATAAATAAAATGTGTCTGAAACTCTGAGGTCCAACAAAAAGAAATCTAGTGCATTTTCTCTGTTTGAAAGGATCCTATAGACAGAAGTCAGGTATATTCCACGATCTTGTTTTGGTCTTTGTGTTCATTTATGTATTTTCAATCTATTATTATAATTGGAGCAGTGAAATACATGGTCTATAAACAAATATATAAATAAATAAAGATGAGTGAGGTGAAGTATTGTCCAACTATAAAAATATGTGGTGAGGCAAGGAATACTATTAATACATTTGAAAACAGTGGAGTCTAAAGAGAAGTAAATGGTACATGACTGTTAAATCTTTGGCTAACGATGATATAGACAATAATAAGTAATAATCAATGTTTACTTTCTGGGTCAAGGACAAGTTCTAATTGTTCATTTCCTTAAGAGAAAAGGAAATAAATATACTCTAAATTAATGATTGCCTAAATCACTGAAAAATGAAATGCAGAAGCAAGGATCAGTGGAGATTAGTTCTCAATTTTGTATCATCTGCTCTCCTCTGTACTCCTCAGAATGGATGCCCTTGAGCTGATTTAAGCATCTTCCATGGTCAGGAGTTCTGTGGTTGCACCTGTGTGTTAGGAGCATGGACAACAATGTGAGTGATATCAACGTTCTTGTTTTGGATTGAGTGGTTTTTTTCAAAAAATAATTACTCTATTATTAAAAAGTGTTAAATATAATCAAAGAAGCCCAAACGTGCCAATGTTAAATGTCTGATCTGAAACAGTATCATGATTAATCCATATATGAAACACTGAGTTCGGTTAATGAAAGTGTTTTGTCTCAGTGGAATTGATTGTGTAGGTGGATGTCACCGATATTCAAGGATCATATTTGTGATTTATGTTTATTTCTATATTAGTGAATTACTCAATAACCAAATGTAGATGACAATAGAGAAAAGGAGCCAATCCTGGACCAATGATGACCACTGGTGGCGTATGAGTCCTATGCGATGAATACCACGTGTCTGGAACTCTGAGGTCCAACACAAAACAAATCCATCCCATGGAGTTGAAATAGTCCTTTACAGATGTCAGGATATACAAGGGTCTTGTTTTTGGTCTTTGTTTTCATTCATTTTTATTCCATGAATATCATTGGATCAGTGAATATATCAATAAATGTGTTACAAATAAATACAATGGGGTAAAGCATTGTCCAATTATAAAAATATGTGTTGAGGTAGCAAATACTATTAATATACATTGCAAAAACTGAAGATGAATGAAAATAAATGGCACAAGTATGTTGTCCCTTTTGCTAAGTATGATAGAGACAGTAATGAGTAATTGATATAGTCTATCAGTGGCTATATCAAAAGTATTCGGTCACTTAAGAGAAAATAAAATAGACATGATCACGACTTGCTAATTACCTACATCACTTAGTAAATAAAGGTGGAATTAAGGACCTGTGGCGGTAACGTCTCAACGTTTTTTTGTTCTGCTCTGCTTTGTGCGTCACAGAATGGATATATTCCAGCTGATTTAAGCGTCCTCCCTGGTCAGGAGCTCTGTCGTTGCATCTCTGTTTGAGCAGCAAGGAGACCAACGTGAGTAATAGTCAATGTTGTTCTTGGTTTGACTGTTTTTTAAAAAATGTTTTCACTGTGTTGTTAAACAGTATTAAATATGATCAAAGAAAGTGAGACATGCCAGTGTTATAAGATTAATATCAAGCGTTATGTTGACTGGTCCATATATTGAAAAGCTAAGCTCAGTTAATGGAAGGAATTTGGTCTCAGTGGAAATGATTGTATAGATGGATGTTAGAGACAGTCAAAAATCTTATTCTTGTTTTTCTTGGTGATTTATATGTATTTATTAATGAATTAATCAATAAACAAATGTAGGTGGCAATAGAAAAGAAGGGCAATCCTGGACCAAGAATGATGACTGGCGGTGTGTGAGTCCTATATGATGAATATGTGTCTAGAACTCTGAGGTCCAACACAAATGGAATCTAGTCCATTGTCCTTTTAAGAAGGGAACCTATGGACAGATGTCAGGAATACACAAGGATCTTGTTCTTGGTCTTTGAGTTCATGCAGTTTAAAAATATTATTATAAGAGAATCAATGGCAGAACAAATAAATTTATAAATGAATAAAGATGAAGAGAGTGAAGCTTTGTTCATTAGTAAAATATGTCATAAGGAAAATGAATATCAATGTAAACTGGAATGTTTAAAAAAAGGACCAAGTGCATCATGTGTTTGGCCGAGGGTGACACAGACAGTGACATGTCAGTGCTCTCACTCAGGTATTTTCTGAATTTATTTTATTAAGAGAAAAAGAAATAAATCTTACCCTAGATGAATAAATGCCCCAATGACTATGCAGATAAATGGTGGAAAATGTGGAAGAATGAAGAAAATGTCTGAATCTTCTATCATATTGTCTGTTTGCATTTTTCAGAATGAATGCATTGAGCTGATTTCAGTATCTGCTGAGATTAAGATTGTTATGTTACCTTTATGTTAGGAAAGAGACCAAGGTGAATAATAGTCAAAGACTTTACATTGGTTTGAGTGATTTAAGAGCATTCCTGGTATTATTAAAAAGTGATAAAAATAATAAAAAAGTTAACTACAGTCCACTGAGCAGTATGATGTGAAATATTATATTGATAAGTTGATAATATGCAACATTGAGGTTGATTAATGAAAGAGATATAATCTAAGTGGTACATGATTCTATAGACAGAAGTTAGGTTTATTCAAGGATTTTTTTCTTGTGATTTTATGTCAGGTATTTATTTTGATTATTAATGATTTAATTGTTACAAATGAAGAAAAAGAGGCCCAGAAGTGGACCAGTGACGACCACTGCTGCGTAGGAGTCATATATGGTGAATATTATGTGTCTGTGACTCTTAAATCCACATGAAACAAAATCTAGTCTATCTTTTGTTGTAAATGACCCCAGGGGTCAGTGTTAGGAATATACAAAGATCATATTCTTATTTTGGGTTCATAGATTTAGATTTATTTTCATTAATGAATCAGTAATCGAACCGTTAAAAAATAAAAAAACGGATCAAGAAAAGAGGGTGAAGCATTGACCAACTAGGAACGCATGTTGTGAGGCAAGAAATGTTATGAATAAAATGAAAAACATTCATGCTCATTAAGCAATAAATGGAATAAGCATTTTGCTTTTTTGCCTAAGAGCCGTATGGACACTGATAAGTCAAGGTCAATATTATTGTTCTGGGTCAGTCTCAAAGTTAAGAGTTTCTTTTGTCAAGAGAAAAAATACTACATTATAAAAATTAATGAACGCCTAAAGGAATAAATGAAATGTGGAAAATAAAGGTCAGTGGAGATAAGGTCTGAAATTGTTTATCGTCTGCTCTGTGCTCCTTAGACTGGGTGCCGTCAAGCTGATTTAAAGATTCGTCTGTGGTCACAAGGTCTCGTTGCATTCGTGTGTTAGGAGACCGTGTGAGTAAAAGTCAAAATTTTGGTATTTGTTCAATACTTTGTTTAAGGGATTGTTGAAAACTGTGAAATATAATCCATGAATCCAAATAACCCACTGAGAAATATGGGATTTATATGAAGCATTATGTTGTATAATGCATAAAGTAAAAATTGAGAATAATTAATGAGAGAGATATTGACATCAGAATGATTCTAAATATATTAGGAATTTCTAGGCTCTTCGTAGGTTTCTGTGAATAATGACTTTTAAAATTATAATTACTGAATTATTAATTGATCAGAATTAATGTAGAAATGAGTGAAGGAAAAGAGGCACAACATTGGCTCGATGATGACTGCTGGTGGCGTAGGAGTCGGATCCGATGAATACGTGTCTGGAACTCTGAGGTCCAACAGAAATGGAATCTGGTCCATTGTCCCAGTTTGAAGTGATCCTGTAGACAGAGGTCAGGAATATACAGAGATTCTTGTTTTGGTCCTTATGTCAATGCATTTTCTCCCTATTTTTATAATTGAATCAATGAAATAATCAACATGCAAATGTATAAATAAATAAAAATGAAGAATGTGAAGCCCTGTCAAATTATAATGTGGTTAGGCAAAAATTACTATAATATAGTAATCTGTTAATGTGTATTGAAAAGACTGATATGCATTAGGAAAGAAATGGCCTAAGGGTGTTAGTTCTTTGGCTAATGATGATATAGACAGCATTAAGTAATGGTCAATGTTCATATTCTGTGTCAGGTGCAAGATTGATATTGTTTGTTTACTTAATAAAAAATAAAATATCCATTACCCAAATCACAACTTACCTAAATGACTGACTAAATGAAAGGTGGAATGCAAAGCCCCATGAACATAATGTCTCAGTCCTTTTTATCATCTGCCCTGTCTTGTGCTCCTTAGAATGGTCGCATTCAAGCTGATTTGAGCACTCCGCCCTGGTCAGGAGCTTTCTGGTTGCATCTATGCATTAAGATCATGGAGAGCAATGTGAGTAATGGTCAAAGTTCTTGTCTTGGGCTTGTGGTTTTTTAAAAGGTTTACACTGGATTATAAAAAAAAGTGTGAAATATAATCAGTGATCGCAAATCATGGCCAAATAATTAAAATGAGGTTGGGGCCGGCGCCATGGCCGAGTGGGTAAGTTGGCATGCTCCGCTTCAGTGGCCCAGGGTTTCGCTGGTTCGGATCCTGGGCGTGGACGTGGCACTGCTCATCAGGCCATGCTGAGGTGGCATCCCACATGCCACAACTAGAAGGACCCACAACTAAATAAAATATACAACTGTATACTTGGGGATTTAGGGAGAAAAAGCAGAAACAAAAAAACAGATTGGCAATATTGTTAGCTCAGGTGCCAATCTTAAAAATGAGGTTAATATGAATTATGATGTTAATTAATCTATATGGAAAACATTGAGGTCAATTAATGAAATATATTGTCAGTGGAAAGTAATTCTATAGACAAACGTTAGAGATATTCAAGGCTCTTGTTTTGAGTTTTTGTTTTCCTTGGGTATTTATTTTATTATTAGTGAATTGATGAATTAATCAATAAAAACATGTAGACATGAATGAATATAATGAGGGCCAAACCTGCGTCAAAGATAAAGACTGGTGGCCTGAGTCTTGGATGATGAACACTGCAGGTCTGGAATGCTGAGGTCCAACGCAACAGAAATCTAGTCCTTTCCCCCCATTTGAAGTGATCCCGTAGAGAGGCGTCAGGCATTTATGGGGATCGTGTTTTTGGTCTTTGTGTACCTGATCATTTAAAAATATTATTATGGCCAGGTTAATAAACAAATATATTACTGAATACAACAGAAGAGGGTGAAGCAGTTTTTCGTTGCTAAAATATATAACAAATTAAAATAATATTAATATAAATTGGAATGGAAAATAAAAGATTCAAGTGTATATGTTTTTGAGGAAGAATGATATAGACAGTGATAAGTAATAGTTACCAAGTGGGTCAGTAATAACTCTGACATTTGATTTATTAAGGGAAAAAATAAATATTACCATAAATTAATAAATGCTAAAATTACTATGCAATGCATAGTGGCATATATAGATCAATAAGGAGAATATCTCAATATTTTTATCACCCCATCTGCTTGTTACTCTTCAGAACAGACGGTTGAGCTGATTTCAGCTTCTGCTGTGCTCAAGATTGTCATGCTCCCTCTGGGTGTGGAAAGAGACTAAGGTGAACAATGGTCAAAGTTGTCTTGGAATGGGAATTTGTTTAAGGGTACTCATGATATTATGATAAAGTATTAAATAATCAAAAAGTTAACCATGGCCCAATGATAAATATAATAAGAAACATTATATTGGTTAATCGATAATGTGCAAGATTGAGGTTGATTAATGGAAGAGATATAGCCTTTTTGGGAAATGATTCTGTAAATTGATGTCAGGGATATTGAAGGATCTTCGGTTTTTGTGAACTATGTATTATTTTTATTATTACCAATGAATCAATGATTTAATCAATACAAATGTAGAAATGAACAAAGAAAAGAAACACAATCATGGACTGGTGATGAACACTGGTGCTGTGGGTATCATGGGCCATGAAAATATGTCTGAAACTTTGAGGTCCAACACAGAACATAATTTGGTCTGATCCCTCTGTTGAAATTGTTGTCTATACAGAGATGTCAGGAATATAAAAAGATCCTATACTGATTTTATAGGCATAGATTTGTTATTATTAATAGATGAATGATTGAACCATTAAGCAAATATAAATAAATATTTAAGGAAAATAGGGTGAAGCATTGTCCGAATATGAACATATGTGGTGAGGCAAAAGATATTGTTAATGAAAATTGAAGACAATGATGCCCACTAAGAAATAAATGGAACAAAGGGTCACCTGTTTGACCAAGGTTATATAGACATGCATAAGTAAGAGTCAATTTAATTGTTCTGCTTCAGACTAAAGATTTTTTCCTTTTAATAAGATAAAATATATATGTATATAAAGAAAAAATAATAAATACTTAATGCTGAGTAAATGAAATGTGGAAAGCAAGCATCGATGCAGATTACATCTCAATTTATTTTTATCATCTACTCTGTTCTGTACTTTTCAGCATAAACGTACGAGAGATGCTTTAGCATCTTCCGTTGACGTGAGCTATGTGGTTGCCTCTCTATAATAGGAGGATGGAGATTAATGTGAGTAATAGTTGAAGTTCTTCTCTCAGTTTGTGGGTTTTTTTCAATGGTAATTCACTGTGTCATCAAAAAGTGTGAAATATAATTAAGGAAGGCAGCTATATCTCAGTGTTATGGGATATATGAAACATTGGTTAATGCTTGTATGAAAAACTGAGAGAATTAACGAGAGATACATTGATGTGAGAATAATTCTGTATACAGATTCGGAATATAAAGACTCTTCTTGGTTTTTTTGAATTGTACTCCTTAAAAATTATTAGTGAATTAATGATTTATTCAATAATCAAAGAGACATATATGTAGAAAAAGAGGGACAATATTGGATCGATGATGACTACTGGTGGCGTATGGGTCATATGTGATGAATATGTGTCTGGAACTCTGAGGTCCAACATAAAATTAATCTAGTTGTTTCCTACTGTTTGAAGGCATCCTGTAGACAGATGTCAGGAATAAATGAGGGGCTTATTTTTGATCTTTGTGTTTGTGCATTTTCTTTCTATTATTATAATGGGATAAATGTGAGAATCTATAAATAAATATTTTATAAATAAATACAGATGAATGGAGTAAAGCATGGTCCAATTATAAAAATATGTAGTGAGGCAAGGGATACTATTAATAGATTATGAAAACCCTGAAGTTCAATTAGAAACGAATAGTACAACACTGTTATCTCTTAGGGTAAGGATGACGTAGGCGGTGTAAGTCATAGACAGTGTTCATATTCTGGCTCAATGGCAAGATCAAAGTCGTTTGTTTTCTTAAAAGACTAAATATATATCAAATTAATGATTGCTTGATTAACTATATGAATGTTGAAGTGGGGATCTTTGGAGAGAATGGCTCAATCGTTTTCATCATCTCCTTTGCTTTACACTCCTCAGAACCGCCACCCTGGACCGGATTTAAGGACTCTTGATCACCAGCTCTAGGTGCATCTGTTTTTTAGGAGCCTGGAGACCTGTGTAAGCATAATCAAATTTCTTGTCTCAGTTTGGGTGGTTTGTCTAAGGGTATTCACTGTTTTAATAAAATGTTTGTAATATAAACAATCAAGGCCATCTTTATTCTGTTGATAAATATATTAATATGAACCATTATGTTGATTAATGCATACATGAAAACTCATAATAAATACGACACAGATGTAATGATGTGAGAATGGTTCTAGAGACAGATCAGAGATATCAAGGCCTTGTTGGGTTTTGCGAATCAGAGAGTTTTAAAATTATAATTAGTAATTAATGAACTAATCAGTAAACTATAGAAATGAATGAAGAGAAAGTGATCTTTCTGGATCAATGATGATAACTGCCGGCGTATGAGTCATGGATGATGAGTAATACATGTCTGGAACTCTGAGGTCCAACACAAAAGAAATGTGGTCTTTCTCTTCATGCATTTTCGTTCTGTTATTAGGATTGAGCCAATGAAAGAATCAATCAATAAATATATGGATCAATGGAGAGAAAGTCTCAATCTTTTTATCACCTTTTCTGTTTGGTACTTTTCAGAATAGAAGCTGAAAGATTTCATTGTGATCTATTGTGATCAAGCTTGTCATGTTCCTTTATTGTAGGAAAGAGACCAAGGTGAGTCATGGTTAAAGTTCTTCTCTTGGTTTGGGTCATTAGTTTAAGGGTTTTCGTGGTATTGTTAACAAGTAATCAACATTGTCAAAAAGTTAACTATGGCCCAATGATAAATATGATATGAAACATTATGTTGATTAGTTGATAATATGTAGCTTCGATATTTATAAATGAAAGAGATATCTATTTTGGCAATGATTCTATAGAGGAAAGTTAGGGATACTCAGTTATCTTTGTTTTTTGTTAATTGTATATTTTATCATCATCAGTGAAGTAATAATTTAATTGCTACAAATATATAAATGAATGACCTAAAAGTGGACCTCTCATGAACCCACCATGACGCCTGGTGGCAGATGTCATAGGTGATGAACATGTGTCTGGAACCCTGAGGTCCAACACAATACATACTGTATTTTCTCTGTTTATTTGAGTCTGTTGACATATGTTAGGAATGTATAAAGATCATGTTCTTATTTTGGGTTAATAGATTTGTATTTTTTATTATTATTAGAATAATGATAGAAACATTGAATAAATAGAAATAATAGATTAAGAAGAAAAGGGGAGTTCTGTCTAACTATGAACATACATGGTGAGGCAAGAAATATTAATGAAAACTGCAAACACTGGTGCCCATTAAGTAATAAGTGGATCAAGGGTGTCACCTCTTTGGCCAAGGATCATACAGACATGAATAACTGAGAGTCACTTTTATTGTTCTGGGTCAGTCTTAAGTTTGAAGTTGATCTTTTTGTTAAGAGGAAAAACTTAGGTTATGAAAAATTTATGAACTCCTGAATGACTGAGTAAATGAAATTTGGAAAGGAAGAATCAATGGGGATAAAAGTTTGGGGTTTTTCTGTCATTGATTGTGCTTCGTACTTCCCAAAATGGACACATTTGAGCTGATGGAGCCTTAGCCCATGGTGGCAAGCTGTATGATTGCACCTCTCCGCCGGAAGCTCAGAGATCAAGGTGAGTAATAGTCCAAATTCTTGTCTTGGTTTTAGTGATTTCTTTTTTCAGTGTATTCAGTGTATTATTCAAAAGTTCCATATAGAGTCATAGAAGACCAACTGTAGCTCAGTGATAAATACTGAATTTTATGAAACATTATATTGATTAATGCATAAATGAAAAACAGCCTAAATTTTAAAAAGTGATATGTTAAAGTGAGAATGATTCTATATACAGCTTAGAGATGTCATGACTCTTTTTGTTTTTGTGTGAATAATAGAGTTTTAAAATTATCGTTCGTGAGTTAATGAATTAGTCAATAAACAACGTAGACGCGAATGCAGAAAAGGAAGGACCGTATTGGGCCACTGGCGACTACTGGCGGCAGTGAGTTGTGTATGATGAGCGCGTGTCTGGCACTCTGTGGTCCACAGAAGTGGGATCTGCTCCATTGTCCTATTTGAAGTGACTCTATAGACAGAGGTCGGGAATATACAAAATCTTATTTTTGGTTATTTTTTTTTTCATTTATTTATTTTCGGATGTACATCATAATATATTTCGAATTCTGTGTAGATTACATCATGTTCACCACCTGTTATTTTTGGTCTTTATGTTCATGCATGTTCTACTTTTATATAATTGGATTGATAAAATACTCAATAAACACAAATAAACAAAGATGAAAGCAGTGAAATATATTGTCCAATTATAAAAATATGTGGTTAGGCAAGGAATAGTATTAATATATATTTAAAACACTGATAATGTGCAAGATTGAGGACTGTTAATGGAAGAGATATAGTCTATTTGGGAAATTATTCTGTAGACTGATATTAAAATATTCAAAGATCTTGTTCTTTTTCAAAAAATTTAGTTTATTTTTATTGATATGCAATGACATATTATATTAGTTTCAGGTGTACAACATAATGATTTGATATATGTATATATAGCCTAATGATCACCACAATAAGTCTAGTAAAATCTGTCACCATACATCGTTACAAACATTTATTTTCTTGTGATGAGAGCTTTTAAGATTTACTCTTTTCTGAACTTTCAAATATGCAATACAGTATTATTAACTATACTTCCCATGCTGTGCATTATTTCCCTGTGACTTATTTATTTTCTAACTGGAAGTTTGTACCTTTTGATCCCTTCAACCATTTTGCCCACCCCCAACCCCCAGCTCTGTTCTCTGTATCTATGAACTCTGTGTTTTCTTTCTTTCTTTTTTAGATTCCACACATAAGTGAGAGCATACAGTCTCACTTAAGTCTGTGTGACTTACTTCACTTAGCATAATGCCCTCAAGGTCCATCTGTGTTGTCTCAAATGGCAAGATTTCCTTCTTTTTTATGGCTGAATAATATTCCATTGTACAAATATACCACTTCTTTATTCATCCATCAGTGGACACTTGTTATTTCCATATCTTGGCTATTGTAAATAATGCTGCAGTGAACGTGGGGGTGCATATTTTTTTGAGTTAGTGTCTTCGTTTTTTCAGACAAATACCCAGAGGTGGAATTGCTGGATCATATGGTAGTTGTATTTTTAATTTTTGGAGGAACCTCCATACTATTTTCCATAGTGGCTGCACCAAATTGTATTCCAACCAACAGTGCACAAGGCTCCCCTTTTCTCCGCATCCTTGCCAATGCTTCTTGCTTTTTGTCTTTTTGGTAATAGCAATTCCGACAGGTTTAGGTGATGTCTCATTGTGGTTTTGATTTGTATTTCCATGATTATTAGTGATGTTGAGCACCTTTTCATGTACCTGTTCGCCATCTGTATGTCTTCTGTTCTTGAGTTTTTGTGAACCATGTATTTTTAAAATTATTATCAATGAACTAATGATTTGATTAATACAAATGTAGAAATTAACAAAGAAAAGGAGTGTCAAATGTGGATCGGCGATGATGACTGATGGTGTAGGAGTCAGGGACAATGAAAATATGTGTCTGAAACTCCGGGGTCCAGTGCAGAATATAACTAGTCTATTCCTTCTGCTGGAATTGTTTCTGTAGAGAGATGTTAGGAATGTAAAGAGGTCATATTCTTATGTTGACAGAATCATTAACCAAATATAAATACGTATATAAAAAAGATGATGGTGAAGCCTCATCTGTCTATTAACATATGTGATGAGGAAAATATATTATTAATACAAATTTAAAGCACTGATGCCCATTAAGAAATAAGTAGATCAAGAAATCACCTCTTTGACCAAAGTCAGCTAAACACAGATGAATACAGATTATTTTAATTATCCAGTGTCAGTCTCAAGATGGAATTTTTTCCTTTTTAAGATAAAAATTATATATTAAAAAATAATAACTAACTAAATACTGAGTAAATGAAACATGGAAAGCAAGCATCAGTGGAGATTTGGTATCCGTTTTATCATCTGCTCTTCTGTATTCTCTTCAGAGCGAAAACGCTCAAGATGATGTGAGCATCTTCCGTGGTCACAAACTCTATAGTTGTGACTTTATAATAGGAGCCTGGAGAACAATGTGAGTAATAGTTGAAGTTCTTGCCTTGGTTTCAGTGTTTTGGTTGCTTTTAAGATTATTCACTGTATTACTAAAAAGTATGGAATATAAGCTAAGAAGGCAACTGTATCTCAGTGTTAAATATGGGATATATGAAACATTCTATTGGTTAATGCACATATGGAAAACTGAAGGTTAATTAATGAAAGATCCATTGCTTGAGAATATCTGTCTTCATTTTAAGGGCATCAAGGCTCTTCTTGGTTTTTGTGAACAACCGGGTTTTAAAATTGTTGGTGAATTAATGGTCTAATCAGTATACAAATAGAATGTAGTGAGAACAAAGAGGTAATATTGGATCGATGATGACTACTGGTGGCGTACGAGTCGTAGATGATGAATACGTGTCTGGAACTGAGGTCCAACATAAAGTTAATCTAGTCCATTCCCCTTGTTTGCAGGTGAGAAATATACCAAGATCTTGTTTTTGGTGTTAGTGTTCCTGCATTTTCACCTATTATTATAATTGGATAAATGAGAGGATCTACAACATATAAATAAAAAATACGAAGCATTGTCCAATTATAAAAATATGTGATGAGGCAAGAAATAGTATTTATATATTATGAAAACCATGAAGTTCAATTAGAAACAAATAGCATATGATTGTTACCTGTATGGTGGAGAATGACGTAGACAGGATAAGTTATAGAAAATGCTCCTAGTCTCAGTCACTGGTAAAATCGAACTTCATTTTCTTAAGGGAAAAAAGCATATACACCAAATTAATGATTGCCTAAATGACTGACTACATGAGAGGTGAAAGGCAAGGATCAATGGAGGGAATCTCTCAACCTTTTGTATCATCTGCTCTGCCCTCTACTCCTTAGAATGGACACATTGGACCTGACTTAAGGATTCTTCCTTGATCATGAGCCCTAGGGTTGCATCTCTGTTTTAGGAGTCTGGAGACCACTGTGAGTGATAATCAAATCTCTTGTCTTGGTTTGGGTGGTTTTTTTAAAGGATATTCATTGTATTGATAAAAAGTGTGAAATATACTCAAAGACAGTTAACTGTGTCCTAGTGAGAAATATGGGATTAACAAGAAGCATTGTATTGCTTAATGCTTATATGAAAAACTGGTAGTAAATATGACAGATATAATGACGTGAGGATGCTCCCAAATACCTATTAGAGCTACTAAGGCCTTCTTGGGTTTTTGTGAATCACAGAGTTTTCAAAGTGTAATTAGTGAATTAATGAATTAATCAATAAACAATATAGAATGAATGAAGAGAGGCTGCCGGCATATGAGTCATAGATGATAAATAATATGTGTCTGGAACTCTGAGTTCCCACAGTAAAGAAATGTGGTCCTTCTCTTTATGCATTTTCATTCTTTAGTTGGATCACTGAAACAGCAGTGAGGAAATCTATAAAAAATAAAGTTGAATTGTTGAAGCATCGTCGAATTTTTACAATATGTGGGGAGGCCAGATATGCTATTAATATAATTTGAAAACTCTGAAGTCCAAAGAGAAATAAATGGAATATGACTATAACCTCTTTGGCTAGGATGAGATAGACAGGATTAATTGTAGATGGTGTTTATGTTCTGGGTCACTGGGAAGTTCAAAGTAGTTCTTAAAAGAGAGTGAAATAAATATGCTCCAATAATGATCGGCTAAATGACTGACTAAATGAACGATGTAAAGGGAGGCTGGAGAGAATGGAGAGACTATCTCAACCTTTGCATCACCGTTTCTGCTTGATATTCTTCAGAATGGAGGTTCTAGTTGATTTCAGGTTCTGCTCCGATCAAGATTGTTTGTTGCCTCCACGTTAGGAGAGAGACCAAGGTGAGTAGTAATCAGAGATTTTGTCATAGTTTGGTCATTTGTTTAAGGATATTCACAGTTTTATTAAAAATTAGTAAATATAATCAAAAAGTAAATTGTGGCCCAATGACAAATGATATGAAACATTATGTTGATTGGTTCGTAGTATTTAACATTGAGATTGATTAATGGGAGAGAGACAATCTATGTTGGCAATTACTATATAGATAGAAGTTGGGGATATTCAAGTTGTTGGTTCTTCAGTTTTTGTTAATCGTGTTTATTTCAGTTATCAGTGAATTAATGATTTATCAATACAGATGTAGAAATGAATGAAGAAAAAGTGGACCTCTGATGGACCATGATACCTACTGGTGGTAGATGAGTTGCAGCCACTGAATAATATATGTCTGGAGCTCTGAGGTCCAAGTCTATACATACTCTGTTATCTGTTTGTTTGATCCTACGGACAGGTGTTAGGAGACATCATGTTTTTACTTTGAGTTCATAGATTTAGTTTAATTATTATAAATGGATTAATGATAGAACCATTTAAAGATATGTAAATAACAGATAAATATAAAAGTGTAAATCACTGTCCAACTGTGAACACATGGTAAGGCAAGAAATATTAATAAAAATTGCAAATACTGATGCTCGTTAAGAAATAAATGGATCCGAGGATGTCACCTCTTTGGCCAAGGATCATATAGACATTAATTGAGTCAATTTCATTGTTCTGGGTCAATCTCAAGTTTGAGGTTGTTCTTTTTCTTAAGAGAAAAAATATCTACATTATGAAAATTTATAAATTCCTAAATGACTGGGTAGATGAAATATGGAAAGGAAGAGTCAATGGGGATGAAAAGTTTTATTATTTTTTTTATCATCGATTGTACCTTGTACTTCCCAAAATGGACGCGTCTGAGTTGATGAAGATTTATTCCATGGTGGCGAGCTGTATGATTGCGTCTCTGTGCCAGAAGCTTAGAGATCAATGTAACAAAGTTCTTGTCTCGGTATCAGTGACTTTTTTCAGCGAGTTCAGTGTATTATTCCAAAGTTCCACATAGAATCACAGAAGGCTGACTGTAGCTCAGTGATAAATACTGAATTTTATAGAACATTACATTGATTGATGCATAAATGAATAACAGCCTAACTTTAAAAAAGAGATATATTGATATGGGAATGATTCTATATACAGCTTAAGGATATCGTGACTTTTCTTGGATTTTTGTGAAAAATAAGGTTTTAAAATTATTATTAGTGACTTAATAAATTAGTCAGTAAACATTGTGGAAATGAACAGAGAAAAAGAGGGGCCATATTTTGGATCAGTGATGACTGCTGGTGGCATATGAGTCGTATACGATGAATACGTGTCTGGAACTCTCAGGTCCAACAGAAGTGGAATCTGGTCCATTGTCCTGTTTGAGGTGATTCCATAGACAGAGGTCAGGAATATACAAGGATCTTGTTTTTGATCTTTATGTTCATGCATTTTCGTTCTGTTTTTATAATTGGATCAATAAAATGATCGACCAAACACACATGCAAATAAAGATGGTGGTGAAATACTGTCCAATTATACAAATATATGGTTAGACAAGGAATAGTATTAATGTCTATTTTAAAAACTGAAATCTATAAGGGACTATACGGTACAAGGGTGTTATTCTTTGACTAAGGACAATGTGGTTATTAAATGTTAGTCAATGTTCATCTTCTCTATCAGTGACTAGATTGATAGTGTTCATTTACTTATGAGAAAATAAAATATACATTATTCCAATTCACTGCTTAATAATTGACTGACTAAATGAAAGGTGGAACGCAAGGACCAATGAACAGAATGTGTCAATCGTTTTTTCACTTGCTCTGCCCTGTACTCCTCAGAATGGACGCGGAAGCTGATTTAGCCTCTCTCAGATCCAGGCGCTCTATGGTTGCATCTGTGTAATAGGAGGACGGAGATTAATGTGAGTAACAATTGAAGTTATTTTCTTGCTTAGGTGTTGCTTTTTTAAGGTAATTCACTGCATTATTAAAAAGTATAAAATATGACTCAAGGAGGCAGTGTATCTCAGTGATAAATATGGGATATAGGAACCATTATACTGATTAATCTTTCGGTGGAAAAGTGGAGATAATTAATCAAAGAGGTACATTGATGTTTGAATAATCTATGTAAAGATTAGGGACATAAAACTCTGGAGGTTTTGTAAATTATAGCATTTAAAATTATTTGTGAATTAATGATTTAATTAATAAGCAATTAAAATGAATCTAGAAAAAGGAATGATATTGGATCGATGCTGACTACTGGTGGCGTACGAGTTGTATACGATGACTACGTATCTGGACCTCTGAGGTCCAACACAAAAGAAATCTAGTCCATTCCCATTGTTGGGGATCCTATTGACAGATAGCAGAAATATATCAGGATCTTCTTTTTGGTCTTAGTGTTCATGCATTTGAGTTCAATTCTTATAATTGGATAAATTAGAGATTCTATAAATAAATACATAAAGTAAGTGAAGAAGAATGGAGTGAAGCATTGTCTAATTATAAAAATATGCAGTGAGGCCAAAATACTATTAATATATTATGAAAATCCGAAAGTTCAATTAGAAATAATTGGTACATGGCTGTATGGCTAAAGATGGCATAGTATAAATCATAGACAATGTTCAAATTCTGGGTCAGTGGCAAAATTAAAGTTATTCATTTTCTTAAGAGAAAAAAATATTTACACCAAATTAATGATTGCCCAAACTACTGACTAAATGAAAGGTTAAAAGCAATGATCAATGGAGAGAATGTCTCAACTATTTTTATCATCTGCTCTGCTCTGCACTCCTCAGAAGAGACACACTGCGCCTGTTTAAGGATTCCTCCTTGTCGTGAGCCCTAGGGTTGCATCTCTGTTTTAGGAGCCTGGAGACCAGTGTGAGTGATAATCAAACTTCTTGCCTTGGTTTGGGTGGTTTGTCTAAGGGTACTCATTGTACTGATAAAAAGTATAAAAGATACTCAAAGACAGCCAACTGTGTCCTGGTGAGAAATAGGTGATTAACAAGAAACATTATATTGATTAATGCTTATATGAAAAACTGATAATAAATATGACAGAGATATAAAGATGTGAGAATGGTTCCACATACGTATTAGAGCTATCAAGGTCCTTTTGAGTTTTTCTGAATCATAGAATTTTAAAAGTGTAATTTGTGAATTAATGAATTAATCAAAATAATATAGAAACGAATGAAGAGAAAGTCATCTTTTCTGGATCGATGATGACAACTGCCAGCGCTTGAGTCATGATGATGAATGATATGTGTCTGGAACTCTGAGGTCCAATATAAAAGAGATGAGGCCTTTCTCTTCATGCGTTTTCATTCTTTATTATAATTGGATCAACGAAATATCAATGAGGAAATATATATATTAAAAACAGCTGAATTGTAGAAGTGTTGTCCAATTTTAAAAATATTTGGGGAGGCCAGAAATACTATCAATATAATTTGAAAACACTGAAGTCCAAAGAGAAATAAATGGTACGTGACTGCAACCTCTTTGGCTCAGGATGACATAGACAGGATAAATTGTAGGCAGTGTTTATGTTCTGGGTCAGTGGAAGTGTGAAGTAGTTCATTTTCTTAAGGGAAAATGAAATATACTCCAAATAAGGATTGCCTAAATGAAAGATGTAAGGTGAGACTCAGTGGAAGACTGTCTCAGTTTTTGTCATCTGCTCTGCTCTATACTCTGCAGAAGGGACACACTGAAGCTGATTGTAATACTCTTCCAAGGGCGTGAACTCTCTCAATGCGTCTCTGTGCTAGGAGCATGTGGACCAACGTGAGTAACGGTCAAAGTTCTTGTCTTACTTTGAGTGCTTTGTTTAAGGCTATTCACTGTATTACTCAAAAACATTAAATATAATCAAAGAAGGCAAAATATGCCAGTGTTAAATGTCAGGTTGATATGAGGCATAATGTTAACTAATCTATGAATGTAACCCTTAGGTCAGTTAATGAAAGCGATTTAGTCTCTGTGTAATATTACAGACAGAGATATTAGGAATGTTGAGGCATTGTATTCTTATTTGTTTAATTTATGTGTGTTTCTTAATGAATTCATCAATATTTATGAGAATGAAAAAAAGCAAGAAGGCTAATAATGGACCAATGATGACGATCGGTGGCGTTTCTGAGTCATACACTATGAATACTATGTGTCTGAAACTCTGAGGGCTGATACAAAGATACTCTAGTCCTTTTCTTGCTTGTGTAGGGACCCTATATATAGGTGTCAATAAGATATAAGGACTTTGTTCTCGCTCTTTGTGTTCATGAGTTTTAATAATTAATTTGTAAAAGTGGGAATGGTAGAATAAATTAACAAACGTATAAATGAATAAAGGTGGAGAGGTTGAAGCATTGTTCTTTGGTAAATATGTAGTAAGCTAAAACAACGTTAATATCGTTAAAATGGATATAAAAGGACCAAGTGTATTACATCTTTTCCTAAGGTTGATACGGACGATGAAATTTAGCAATCAGTTATTGACTGATTCAGTTGCAAGTTTGAACTTTATTTTTAAGGTAGAAATGAATACATTCCCATAAGCTAATAAATACTTAAATGACCGTGTATATGAATGGTGGAAAGTATGGATCACTAGAGAGAAAGTCTTAACCTTTTTATCACTTTCTCTGCTTGGTACTCCTCAGAACAGATGCTCGAGCTGATTTCATCTTCTATCGTGATCAAGATTGTCATGTTCCCTTTGTGTTAGGAAAGATACTAAGGTGAGTAATGATCAAAAATTTTATCTTGGTTTGTGTCAATTTTTTAAGTGTATTCATGGTGTTATTAAAAAGTGATGAATATAATAAAAAAGTTAACTATGGCCTAATGATAAATATGATATGAAACATTATTTTGATTCATTTAATATATGTAACATTGAGATTGATTAATTAAAGCTGTAATCTATGTTGGCAGTGATTCTATAGTAGAAGTTAGGAATATTCAAGTATCTTCTTCTTCAGTTTTGTGAACCTTGTGTTTATTTTATTATTTTCAATGAATTAATTATTTAATTGATAGAAGTGTAGAAATGGATGAAGAAAAAGTAGGCCTCTTTTGGACCAATGATGACGACTAATGGCGGATAAGTCGTGGACGATGAATAATACGTGTCTGGATATCTGAGGTCCTCACAGTACGTTGGCTATTCCTTCTGCTGTGTTTGATCTTGTAGACTGATGTAAGGAATATGCAAAGATCATGTACCTATTTTGAGTTCATAGATTTAGATTTGTTGTTATTAATGGAGCAATGGTAGACCATTAAAGAAATATAAACAGTATGTAAAGAAAAAAGGGTGAAGCATTATTCAACTATGAACATATAAGGAAAGGCAAGAAATATTAATAAAATTGAAAACACTGATGCCCATTTAGAAATAAGTGGATCAGAGGTCTACATCCTTGGCTAATTATCATATAGACATAAATAAGTAAGAGTCAATTTATTTATTCTGAGTCAGTTTCAAGTTTGGGGTGGTTCCTTTGATTAAGAGAAAAAACATTTACATTATGAAAAGTTTATGAATACCTAAATAAGTGAGTATAATGTCCTAACTTTTTTTTAATCATTGACTGTGCTTTTTCTTCTCAGAATGGACACACTCAGGCTGAGTAAGCAGTATTCCATGGTGTCGAGTTCATGATTGCACCTTTGCGTTAGGAGCACAGAGACCAATGTGAGTAATAGTTACGTTTCTTGTTCTGGTTTCAGCAAGTGTCTTTTAGGGTGTTCAGTGGATTTTTTTAAGTGCTATATAGAGTCTGGTGGCCAACTATAGCTCAGTGATAACTATTGAATTAATATGAAACATTATGTGGATCACCATATAAATGAAATTTAAGGTAATTAATGGAAAGATATATCGATGTGAGAATGATTCTATATACAGATGAAGGATACCATGACTCTTCCTGGACTTTTGTGAAAAATAGGGTTTTAAAATTATTATTGGTTATTTAATGAATTAGTCAATAAACAATGTAGAAAAGAAAAAGAGGGACGATATTGGCTCGATGATGACTGCTGGTGGCGTATGAGTCGGATCCGATGAATACGTGTCTGGAACTCTGAGGTCCAACAGAAGTGGAATCTGGTCCATTCCCATTGTTTGAAGGCATCCTTTAGAGAGATGTCAGGAATATACAAGGATCTTGTTTTTCATTTTCATTCTATCTTTATAATTGGATAAATGGATCTGTAAATAAATATGTAAATATAGATGAATGGAGTAAAGCATGGTCCAATTATAAAAATATGTGGTGAGGCTAGAAAAACACTATGGATATATTATGAAAACCCTGAATTTCAATTAGAAATAAATAGTACATGACTGTTACCTTATGGATTAGGATGATATAGATAGTAAATTCATAAATAATATTCAGATTCTGGGTCAGTTGCAGGATTAATGTTCTTTTTCTTAAGGGAAAAAATATATATGCCCAATTAGTGATTTCCCAAACTGCTAAGTGAAAGGGGAAACACAAGGACCAGTGGAGAGAAAGTCTCAACCATTTTTGTCTGTTGCTCTGTCCTGTACTCCTCAGAGTGGACGCCCTGGACCTGATTTAAGGATTCTTTCCGGATCACAAGCCCTAGGGCTGCATCCCAGTTCTAGGAGCCTAGAGAGCAAGGTGAGTGATAATCAAACTTCTTGTCTTGGTTTGGGTGGTTCGTTTAAGAGTATTTGCTGTATTGGCAAAAAGTATCAAATAGAATCTAAGAAAGCCACCTGTGCCCTTGTGACAAATGTGGGATTAATACGAAGTATCACGTTGATTAAAGCTTTTAAGAAAACTGAGGATAATGACAATGATATATTGATGCGGGAATGATTCTTGGTAGATATGAGAGTTGTCAACGTTTTGTTGAGCTCTTTTGAATCATAGAGTTTTAAAATTGTAGTTGAATTAATGAATTAATCAATGAACAGTATAGAACTGAATGAGGAGAAAGTGGTCTTTTCTGGATCAATGATGATAACTGCCAGCGCATGAGTCACAGATGATGAATAATATGTGTCTGGAACTCTGAGGTCCAAAAGAGAAGACATGTGGTCTTTCTCTTCATGTATTTCCATTTTTATTATAATTGGATCAATGAAATATCAATGAAGAAATATATTAAAAAATAGAGTCGAATTGTAGAAGCATTGTCCAATTTTAAAATTATGTGGGGAGGCCAGAAATACTGTTACATAATTTGAAAGCACTGAAGTCCAAAGGGAAATAAATGGTACATGACTGTGACCTCTTTGGCTAAGGATGATACAGACAAGATAAATTATAGACAGTGTTTATGTTCTGGGTCAGTGGGAAGTTTAAAGTAGTACATTTCCTTAAGAGAAAATGAAATCTACTCCAAATCAGGATTGCCTAAATGGAAGACGTGAAGCAAGGATCAATGGAGGAATGTCTCATTTTTTATCACTTGCTCTGTACTCCTCAGAATGGATGACTTGAGCTGATTCTAACGTTCTTCCAAGATCGCCAGCTCTCTGAATGCATCTCTGTTGTAGGAGCATGGAGACCACTGTGAGTAATGGTCAGAGTTCTTGTATGAGTTTGAATGATTTGTTGAAAGCTATTCACTGTATTATTCAAAAGTATTAAATGTGATCAGAAAAGGTGAAACATGCTTGATACGAGGCATTGTGTCGACTGATCCATAAATGTAACACTGAGGCCAGCTAATGCAAGAGATTTAGTCTCTATGGGATTTGTAGATATATTAGGAATGTTGAAGGATTGTTTTCTTATTTTTCAAATCTATATGTATTTCTTTATTAATTAATCAATAAATGTTTATGAGAGTGAAAATAAAGAGTGCCAGTCATGGATCAATGATGATGACTGGTGATGTATTAGTCACATGCAATGAGTACTACGTGTCTGGAACTCTGAGGCCCAACCCCAAAGTTATCTAGTCCATTCCTCATGTGTCAGGAATATACATAGATTTCTTTTCTTTGTTTTTGTGTTCGTGAATTTTAATAATATTTATAAAGTATCTATGATGGAATAAATAAGAAATGTACAAAGGGATGAAGATGATGAAGCATATTCTTTGGTTAATATGTAGTCAGGTAAAAGAAAATTAATATACATTAGAATGGGTCATAAATGGACCAAGTGTGTTACCTCTTTCATGGAGGTTGATAAAGACAATGAAATGTAATGGTCAGTTATTGCCTGAGTCAGTTACAGGTTTGAGTTTATTTTATTAAGGTAAAAATAAATAAATATGACCATAAGTTAATAAATGCCTAAATGAGTGTACAAATTAATGGTGGAAACTGAATCAGTGGAGAGAAAGCCTTAATGTTTGTATTGACTTCTCTGCTTGGTACTCTTCAGAACAGATAATCAGATTGATTTCATCTACTGCTGTGGTCAAGATTGTTACGTTGGCATCATGTCAGTGAGTAATAGTCAAAGTGAGTAATAGTCAAAGGTCTTGTCGTGCTTTGGGTCATTTGGTTAAAGATATCCGTGGTATTATTAAAAAGTATTAAATATAATGAAAAAGTTAACTATTGCCCAATGATAAATATGATATGAAACATTATGTTAATTGATAATATATAGCTTTGAGATTGATTAACGAAAGACATGCAGCTGATGTTGGCAATGATTCTATAGATAGAACTTAGGGATATTCAAGTATCTTGTTTTTCACTTTTTGTGAGTCATGTATTTATTTTTTCATTGTCATTGAATTAGTGAATTAATCAATACAAATGTAAATGAATGAAGAATAAATGGGCTTCTAATGGACCAGTGATGACAACTGGTTGTCTAGGATGATGAATGATTTGTGTCTGGAGCTCTTAAGGTCCAACAGAGATACCTAGTGTATTCTCTCTGTTATATTTGACACCATAGACAAATGTTAGGAATATACAAAGATCATGTTATTGTTTCGGGTTCATAGATTTATATTTATTATTATTAATGGATATATAGAAATCTAAAGAAATATGAAGGCTAGATCAAGAATAAAGTTAAAGCCTTGTGCAACTGTGATCCTATGTGGTGAGGCAAAAAAAATTATTAATAAAAATTGAAAACACTGAAGCTCATTAAGAAATAAACTGATCCCAAGGGTGTTATCTGTTTGGCTAAGGATTGTATATATATGGATAATTGAGTAAATTTTATCGTTCTGGGTCATTCTCAAGTTTGAGGCTGTCCTTTTGTTAAGAGAAAATAATATCTACATTCCAAAAGAATTTTAAATACCTAAGTTACTCAGTAAATAATGTGGAAATGAAGGACCAATGAGTATAAGTTCTCAATTTTGTTATCTTCAGCTGTGCTTTGTACTTCTCAGAATGGACACAGTTGAGCTGATGAAGCAGTATCCTTGGTGGCAAGCTCTATGATGGCATCTGTGTGTTAGAAGCAGAGACCAATCTGAGTAATAGCCGTTCTAGTCTGGGTTTCAGTGATTTTTTTCAGGATATTCAGTGTATTTCTAAAAAGTGCCATATAGAATTGAAGAAGGCTGATTGTAGCCCATTCATAAATATTGAATTAATATGAAACATTATACTGATTAATGCGTAAGTGACATTTAGGATTATTAATGAAAGAGGTATATTGATGTGAGAATCATTCTAGACAAATTAGGGATATCAATGCCTTTTTGGGGTTTTGTGAATCATAGAGTTTTAAAATTATACATAGTGAATTAATGAATTAGCCAATAAACAATGTAGAAATAAATGAAGAAGAGGCACAATATTGGCTCGATGATGACTGCTGGTGGCATATGAGTCGTATACTATGACTACGTGTCTGGAACTCTTAGGTCCAACAGAACAAGAAATCGGGTCCATTCCCATTGTTTGTAGAGATCCTGTAGGCAAATGTCAGAATATACAAGGATCTTGGTTTTGTTTTTATGTTCATGCATTTTTTTCTATTTTTATAATTGGATCAATGAAATAATAAATATCCAAATAAATAAAGATGAAGGTGGTGAAATATTGTCTAGTTATAAAAATATCGGATTAGGCAATAAACTCTATTGATTTTTATAGATGAATTGATTCTGTAGAGAGATGTCAAGATCAATGCAAATCAATACACAGATCATATTTTTGTATTGATTTCATAGATGTAGATATGTTATAATTAATGGAATAATGATAGAAATACTAAGCAAATACAAATAAAAGAGGAACAGGGTGAAGTATTGCCTAACTATGAATGTATGTGGTAAAGCAAAAGATGTTATTAATGAAATTGAAAACATTGATCCTATTAAGAAATAAATGGATCAAAGTATCACCCCTTTGCTTAAGAATCATTTGGACATTGACTAGTAAGAATCAATTGTATTATTTTGGGTCAGTCTTAAGACGAAGTTTTTCAGTATGTAGGGTTAAATGTATATATAGATAAAAGAATAAATATCTTTCTGAGGTGATGAAATGCGGAAAGTGAGGATCAATGGTGATTAGGTCTCAATTTTTGTATCATCTGCTCTGCACTCCTCAGAACAGACGCACTTGTGCTGACTTAGCATCTCTCATGGTCACGAGCCTCTATATTACAGGAGAACGGAGATTAATGTGAGTAACAGTCGATGTTATTTTCTTGATTGTGTTGTTTTTTTAAGATAATTCACTGCATTATTAAAAAATGCAAAATATAATTAAAGAAGGCAATGTATCTCAGTGATAAATATGGGATACATGAAACATTGTGTCGATTAATCCATCTGTGGAAACTGAGGATAATTAATCAAAGAGATAAATTGATGTGCGGATAATCTGTGTACAGATCAGGAACATAAAAGCTCTTCTTGAGTTCTGGTGAATCATAGTGTTCAGAAATTTTTATTAGTGAATTAGTGAATTAGCCAATAAGCAATGTAGAAATAAATGAAGAAGAAGAGAGAGAACATTGGATTGATGGTGACTTCTGGTGGCGTATGACTCGTATATGATGAATACGTGTCTGGAACTCTGAGGTCCAGCACAAAAGAAATCTGGTCCATTCCCATTGTTTGTAGGGATCCTATAGGCAAATGTCAGGAATATACTAGGATCTTGTTTTTGGTCTTAGTGTTCATACATTTTCATTCTGTTATTATAATTGGATAAATGAGAGGCTCTATAAATAAATATGAATGGAGTGTAGCATTGTCCAATTATAAAGATATGTGATTATGCAAGAAATAATATTAATATACTATGAAAACCCTGAAGTTTAATTAGTGGTAAATGGCACATGACTGTTCCTTGTATGGCTAAGGCTGACATAGACAGTCTAAGCTATCCACACTTTTCATAACCTGGGTCAGTGATGAGGTCAAAGTTACTTGTTTTCTTAAGAGAAAAAAATATTTATACCACATTAGTGATATTGCCTTACTAAATGAAAGGTGAAAAGCAGGGATCAGTGGAAAGAATATCTCACTTTTTTATCATCCTCTCTGCCCCTGTAGTCCTCAGAACGGACGCATTGGACCTGATTTAAGAATTCATCCTTGATCCTGAGACCTAGGATTGCATTTCTGTTACGGGAATCTGGAGACCAATGTGAGAAATAATCCAAGTTCTTGTCTTGGTTCTGATGTTTTATTTAAGGGCATTAATTGTATTAATAAAAGTGTGAAATTTAATCAAAATAGGTGACTTGTATCTTGGCAACAATTATGAGATTAACATGAAGTATTATTTTGATTAATATATATACATATATATGAAAAACTGAGGATAGTTAATGACAGATCTTTTGTTGTGAGAATGATTCGAGTTACGTCTTAGGGATATGATAGCCTTGTTGGGGTTTTTTGAATAATAGAATTTTAAAATTATAATTAGTGAATTAATGAATTAATCAATAAACAATGTAGTAATGAATAAAGAGAGAGTGTGCTTCTGGATCAACGACGATAGCTGCGGGCATATGAGTCATGGATGATGAGTGATGCGTGTCTGGAACCATGAGGTCCAACACAGAAGAATTGTGGTCTTTCTCTTCATGCAAAGAGTGTCTCATTTTATTCTCACCTGCCCTGCTCTGTACTGCTCAGAATGGAACCACCTGAGGTGAATTAAGCGTCTTCCATGGTCACGAGCTCTCTGCTTGCGTCTCTGTTGTAGGAGCATGGAGACCATTGTGAGTACATGAATGTTTTAGTGTGTGGTTTCTCTAAGAGTATTCACTGTATTATTCAAAATAGTAAATATAATCAAATATGGCACAATATGCCAGTGTTAAATATCAGATTGATATGAAACACTATATTGATTAATCCATAAATGTAACCTTAAGGTCAGTTTTTGAAACAGAGTTAGTCTCTTTGGAAAAGATTGTAGAGACAGATATTAAGAATATTGAAGGATCTTATTTTTTAATTTACTTGTTTTTACTAATGAATTAGTCAATAAATAATGCCTATGCGAAAGAAAGGAAAGAGGGCTAATCATGGGTCGCTGATGTTGGCTATGGCAGGTGAGTTGTGGCTGATGCATGATACATGTCAGGATGCTGAGGTCCAGCGTAACACCTAGTGCGTTCTCTCTATTCATTTACTCCATAGACAGATGTTAAGGATATTCCCAGGGTAGGTATTGGGTTCATAGATTTAGATTTATTATTATTAATTATAGAACATTAAAGAAATATAAATAATGCATAAAGATAAAAGGGTGAAGCATTGTCCATCTCTGAACATATGTGGTGAGGCAAGAAATATTATTAATAAAATTGAAAACTGAAACTCATTAAGGAATAAATGGATCAAGAATTTCGCCTCTGACTAAGGATCATATAAATACGTATAATTTCATCAATTTTATTGTTGTGCATCTGTGCCAAGGCTGCTGCTGTTCATTTTGTTAAGATAAAAACATCAACACTATGAACAATTTATAAATACCTAAATGAGTGAGTAAATGAAATGTAGAAATCAAGGATCAGTGTGGATAAGAACTGAAATTTTTTTCTCATCGACTGTGCTTTATCCTTCTCGGAACGGACACAGTCGAGCTGATTTGAGGAGTGTTCCATGATGGCAAGCGCTGTGACTGTATCTCCATGTTAGGAAGAAAAAGACGAGTGTGAGTAACCAGTTCTTGTATGGAGTCAGTGATTTTTTTCAGGATATTCAGTGTATTACTAAAAATGATCATCTATAGTAAAGACGGTCAACTGTAACCCAGTTCATAAAGATTGACTTGATATGAAACATAAAAACATAGGAGATTTTTAAAAGAGAGATATATCAATGTGAAAATAATTCTATACACAGAATAGGGGATTCAGGGCTGTTCTTGGCTTTTGTGAATAATTGAGCTTTAAAATTCTTAGTAATGAATTAATGAATTACTCAATAAATGACGTAGAAAAGAAAAAGAGGGACAATATTGGATCAATGATGACTGCTGGTGGCGTATGAGTTGGATGCGATGAATACGTGTCTGGAACTCTGAGGTCCAACAGAAATGGAATCTGGTCCATTGTCCTGTTTGAGGGGTTTCTCATAGACACGGGTTAGGAATATACAAGGATCTTGTTTTGGCCTTTATGTTCATGCGTTTTCTATTGTTATTATAATTAGTTCAATGAAATAATAAAGAAATATATAAATAGGTAAAGTTGAAGGTGGTGAAACTTTGCCCAATTATAAAAATATGTGGTTAGGCAAGAGCTATTATTAATATATATTGGAAGCAAATACCTATTAGGAATATATGTACAAGGATGTTATTCTTTTACTAAAGATGGTATAGTTATTAGTAAGTCATAATCGATATTCATGTTCTCTGTCAGTTGCAAGATCAATATTGGTCCTTTAGTTAAGAGAAAATAAAATATAAATTATCCCAATTCACTATCTTAACTAAATGACTAAATGAGAGGTGGAATGCGATGACCAGTGACATAATGTCTCAACCTTTTTGATCGTTGGCTCTGTCTTGTGCTCCTTAGAACGTTGCACACAGCTGATGTGGGCGCTCCTCCATGGTCCCAAGCTGTTTGCACCTGTGCGTTAAGAGCGTGGAGAACAATGTGAGTAATAGTCAACGTTCTTGTCTTGGTTTTGTAATTTTTAAAAACAGTTTTCACTGCTCTGTTAAAAAGTATGAAATAGTCAATCATCACTGAACATGCTACGAAAGAAAAATGATGTTAATATGAAGTATTATGTTAATTAATCTTTGTAGAAAATTCTGAGGTCATTAATGAAAGATACGTATTGTCTGTGGGAAGTACTTCTGTGGACAAATGTTGGAGATATTCAAGGATCTTGTTTTGAGTTTTTGTGACCTCTAGGTATTTATTTTATTATTATTAGTGAATTGACTAAAATATGGAGACATGATTGAAGATGAGGGCCAAATCTGGATTAATGAGGACAACTCTTAGCATCTGAGTCTTGGATGATGAGCGTTACAGGTCTGGAATGCCGAGATCAAACACAAAAGAAATCTAGTCCTTTCCTCCGTTTGAAGTGATCCCATAGACAGATGTCAGGCATATAAAAGCATCGTGGTCTTGGTGTTTGTGTAACTCGTCATTTCAAAATATTATTATAAAGAATCAATAGCTGGATTAATAAATATATGAATAAGTAAATATGAAGAGGGCGAAACACTGGTCATTGTTAAAATATATAATAAACATGATAATATACATTGGAATGGAAAATGAAACCATCAAGCGTATATATCTTTGAGTGAGAATGATAGTGACAAGTAATGGTTAAAATTTTAACACTTGATTTCTTAAGAGAAAAATCAGTAAATATTGCTGTAAATTAATAAAGGCCTAAATGACTATGCAGATGAAGGTGGTACTTGTGAATCAATGGAGAGGAAATCTTGACATTGTTATCGCTTTGTCTGCTTGTTACTCTTCAGAATGGACTCTGGAACTGATTTCAGCTTTTGCTGTCGTCAAGATTGTCATGCTGCCTCTGTGTATGGAAGGAGACCAAGGTGAGTAATGGGCCAAGCTATTGTCTGGGATGGGTTAGTTGTTTAAGGGTATTTATAGTATTATTAAAAAGTATTAAATTAATTAAAAAGTTTGCCATGACCCACTGATAAATATGAAATCTTATGTTGATTAGTTGATAATGTTTAGGATTGAGGTCTATTAATGAAAGAGATATAGTCTATCTGGGAAATGATTCTGTAAACTGTTAGGGATACTCAAGAATCTTGCTCTTGAGTTTTTATGAACCATGTATTATTTTTATTATTGTCAATGAATTCATGATTTAATCAATACAAATATAGAAATAAACAAAGAAAAATAGATAAAATTATGGACTAGTGATGATGACTGGTGGCGTAGGAGTCAGGGACGATGAGAATATGTGTCTGAAACTCTGAGATCCGGCACGGAACATAAGCAGTCTATTCCTTCAGTTGGAATTGTTTCTATAGAGATACGTCAGGAATATACAAAGATCACATTCTTGTATTAATTTCATGGGCGGATATTTGTTATTATTAGTGGAATAATAGAAGTATTAAATATATAAAAAAGAATAGGGTGAAGCATTGTTCACTTAATGAATGTATGTTATAAGGCAAAGGAAATTATTAATAACATTGAAAACATTGATGCCTATTAAGAAATTAATGGATCGAGAGGTCATCTCTGTGCTAAGGATCATATAGACACTGATAAGGAAGAGTCCATTTTTTTCCTGGGTCAATTTTAAGACTGAGTTTTTCTTTTTGTTAGGATAAAAAAGAGATATTAAGAAAAAGTAATAAATACCTAAATACTGAGTTGATGAAATGCAGAAAGCAAGGATCAATGGTGATTAGGTCTCAATTGTTTTATCATCTCCTCTGCTCCGTAGCCCTCGGAACGGACGCACTCAAGCTAATTTAGCGTCTTCCATGGCAGGAGCTCCACGTTTGCGTCTGTGTAACAGGAGGACGGAGATTAATGTGAGTAATAGTTGAAATTACTTTCTTGGTTTCAGTGTTGTTTTTTTTAAGGTTATTCATTAAAAAGTGCAAAACCTATTTAAAGAATGCAATTTATCTCAGTGATGAATATGGAATATAGTTAACGTTCTATTGATTAGTATATATGTATAATATAATGTATAATGAGGATAATTAGTGAGAGATATTGTTGTGAGAATAATTCTATATATAGATTAGGGACATAAAAACTCTTTTTGGGTTTTTGAATCATAGCATTTAGAAATTATTATTAGTGAAATTATTGTTTAATCAACAAAGCCATAGAAATTAATGCAGAAAAAGAAGGACAGTATTGGATCAGTGATTACCACTGATGGTGTTTGTGTCATATACGATGAATACGTGTCTGGAACTCTGAGGTCCAACATGAAGGAAATCTAGGTCCTTACCTCTCTTTGATTGACCCTTTAAACTGATGTCAGAAATGTACAAGGAAAAATAATATGATAATTTGGAATGGACAATAAATGGATCCCATGTATTTTGTTCTGTGTCTTTGACGAAAGGATAATAATGGAACATTATAAGGAACAGTCAGTTCTTACTGTGAGTCAGTTTCAACTTTGACATTTGATTTCTGAAGGAAAAAATTAATGTAATTTAATAAATACCTGAATGACTATATAAATGAATGGGGTAATCTATGGATCAGTGAATAGGATGTCTGAATTTTTTTATCGTCTGCCCTGCTCTGCTCTTTATTCCTCAGAATGGATGCACTCAAGCTTCTTTAAGCATGTTCCATGGTCATGATCTTTATGTTTGCACCTGTGTGTTAGGAGCATGGAGACCAATGTGAGTAATAGTCGAAGTTCTCATGTTGGTTTGAGTGGTTCAAAGAAGGCCAATCATACCAATGTTTAATATCAGATTGATATGAAGCATTGCATTGATTAACCCATAAAGAAACAGACACTGAGTTCAGTTAATGAAAAGGATAGAGACTCTTTGTAAATGATGCTATTGGTGAATATTAGGGATATTGAAGGATCTTGTTTTTTTTTTATGTGTATTTCTTCATGAATAAATTAACCAATAAAGAAATGTAGATGAGAATGGACAGAAAGAAGGCCAATCAGGGGCCAGTGATGACGACTGGTGGTGAAGAATGTCAGCGTGGAGCTCTGAGGGCCAACACAGACAGACTCTAGTCCATTCCCCAGATTTTAAATGATACTATAGACAGATTTCAGGATTATATAGTGATCTTGTTCTTGGTCTTTGTGTTCATGAATTTTAAATATATGATTATAAAAGAACCAACGGCAGAATAAATTAGCAAATGTATAAATGAATAAAGATGAAGAGGGTGTAGCATTGTTCATTACTGAAATACGTAGTCAGGAGAATGAATATTGATAGACACTGGAATGATACTAAAGGGACCGGGTGTGTTAAGTATTGGACTAAGGATGATATGGACAGTGAGAGGGAGTAGTCAGTTATTGCCCTGACTCAGTTACAAGTTTTAAGTTTATTTCGTAAAGAGAAAAACCGATTTTATCTTAAATTTATAAATACTTAAATGACTGTGTAAATGGGGTATGGAAATTATAGATCAATGGAGAGAGCGTCTCAATCTTTTTAACATCTTTTCTGTGTGATACTCTAAAAACAACGCACCCAGCTGATTTAAGCCTTGTTCCATGATCAAAATCGTTATGTTGCCTCTGTTTCAGAAAGACACCAAGGTTAGTAATAGTCAAGGTTCTTGTCTTGGTTTCAGTCATTTGCTTAAGGTATTCATGGTAATATTAAAAAGTATTAAGTATAATACACAAGTTATCTATGGCCATTGGTTAATACGGTAAGAAGCATGATATTAATTAATTGATAACGTGCAACATTGAAGTCACTTAATGAAAAAGATACAGTGTATTAGGAAAGATTCCTATCCAGGGGTGTTAGGGATTTTCAAGGATCTTGTTCTCGCATTTTTGTGACTCACGTATATTTTAGTATTATTAGTGAATTAGTGATTTACTTGATGCAAATTTAGAAATGAATGAAGAAGAAGAGGGCCTCACATAGACCAGTGGTGACTACTGGTGGCATATAAGTCATAGACATGAATAATATGTGTCTGGAAGTCTGAGGTCCAACACAAACCATAAGTAGCCTGTTTTTTCTGTTGGAAATGATCCTATAGACAGAAATCAGAAATGTACAAAGCTCATATTTTTACTTTGGATTCATAAATATAGATTTATTAATACTAATGGATCAGTGATAGAATAATTAAACAAATAAAAATAAACAGGTAAAGAGGAGGATTAGGCGTTGACCAACTATGAACATATGAGAGGAGGCAAAAAATATCATTAATGAAAGTTTAAAACACCGATGCCCGTGAAGGTATAAATGGATCAAGAATTGTACCTCTTTGGTTTAGGATCATATAGACTCTGATAAGTAAAAGTCAATTTTATTGTACTGGATCAGTTGCAAGTTTCAGGCTGTCCTTTTGTTAAGAGAAAAAAATATATACATAATGAAAAATGATTAAATACCTAAAGGCTTGAGTAAATGAAATGCAGAAAGCGAGAATCGTAGAGGATATGGTCTCAATTTTTGAAAATCATTTGCTCTGTGTTGTACTGCTTAGAGTGGACGCAATCGATGATTTAAGCATCTTCCATGGTCACGAGCTCTCTGTTTACATCTATTTGTTAGAAGGACAGAGACCACGTGAGTAATAGTCAAAGTTCTTTTCTTGGATTGGGTGGTTTGTTTAAGGCTATTCAGTATACTGTTAACATTGTAAAATATAATCAAAGATAGCCAATTGTGATAAAAATGGGATTGGTGTGAAGCATCGTTTATAATGTGCATCTCTGAAAATCTGAGGATAATTAATGAAATAAATATATTGATGTTAGAATAATTTTGTGTGTAGAATCGGAATATTAAGCCTCCTCTTGGGTTTTTGTGTATCATGGCATTTAAAATTATTATTAATCAATAAACAATGAAGAAACAAATGGGGAAACAGAGGGCCAATCGTGATCAATGATGATGATTTGGTGGTGCATGAGTCACATACAATGAATACTATGTGTCTGGAACTCTTGAGGTCCAACACAAGAGGACTCTAGTCCATTCACTTTATTTTAAGTGATACTGTAGACAGATTTCAGTTTTACATAGTGATCTTTTTCTTGGTCTTTCTGTTTATGAATTTTAAACATGATTATAAAATAACGAATGGCAGAATAAATTAGGAAATGTATAAATGAATAAAGATGAAGAGGGTGAAGCATTGTTCATTAGTAAAATGTGTAGTCAGGAAAATGAATATTAATATACACTGGAATGGATAATAAATGGACCGAGTGTATTAAGTATTGGACTAAGGATGATATGGACAGTGATAGGGAGTAGTCAGTTATCGCCCTGAGTCAGTTACAAGTTTGATGTTTATTACATTGAGATAAACATTTATTACCATAAATTAAGAAGTGACAGAAAATAAATATTACCATAAATTAATAAACACTTAAATGACTATGAACGTGAAGGATGTGGATCAACGGAGTTAATGTCTCAATCTTTTGATCATTATGCCTGCTTGGCACTCTTCATAATGGAGGCGGGTAGCTGATTTTAGCTTCTGCCCTGATCAAGATTGTCGCCTCTGTCAGGAGCGAGAATAAGGTGAGTAGTGGTCAAAGATCTTATCTTGGTTTCAGTCATTTGTTTGAGTATTTCCAGCTTATTAAAAAGTATTAAATATAATCAAAAAGTTATCCATGGCCCAATAATAGATATGACAGGAGACATTCTGTTGATTAATTAATAATGTGCAACATTGAAGTCACTTAATGGAAAAAAAATGTAGTGTATATGGGAAAGGATTCTATAGACAGACATTAAGGATATTCAGGGATCTTGTTCTTGTGTTTTCTTGAATAATGTGTTTTTTATTAATATTCATAAATTAATGATTTAATCGATACCAATATAGAAACAAATGAAGAGAATGAGAGTCTAACATGGACCAATAATGATGGCTGGTGGCATGTGAGTCATGGATGATGAATAATATGTGTGTGGAACTCTGAGCTTCAACACAAGACCTAGTCTGTTCCCTCTACAGTCATGAGCCATATAAGGACCTCTTGGTCTACAACGCACCACATATATGATGGTGGTCCCATAAGATTAGTACCACAGAGCCTAGGTGTGTAGTAGGCTATACCATCCAGGTTTGTGTAAGTACACTCTATGTTTACACAACGAGAAATTGCCTAATGACACATTTCTCAGAACATATCCCCATTGCTAAGCAATGCGTGACTGTACTTGAAATGACCCTATAGACAGATGTCAGGAATATGCAAATATCATGTTCTTATTTTTGATTCATAGATTCATAGATATAGTTACTAATGAATCAATGATAGAAGCATGAAACAAGTATAAATAAATAGGTAAAGAAGAGAGTTAAGCATTTTCCAACTGTGAACATACGTGGTGAGGCAAAAAGTGTTACTAATAAAAATTGAAAACACTGATGTTCATTAAGAAATAAATGCATCAAGACTATGACCTCTTTGGGTTAGGATCATAGGGACACTGAGTAGTGAAAGTCAGTTTTAGTGTTTGGATCAGTTCCAAGTTTGAGATGCTTCCTTTTAAGAGAAAAAATATATATTTATGAAAAATTAATAAATATCTAAATAAGTAACTGAAATACAGAAATAAAGGATCAATGTAAATAAGGTCTGACATATATATATATATTTTTTTTTTATCATCTGTTCTGCTTTGTACTCTCAGAATGGACACACTGGAGCTGATGTAAGCATCTTCCAAGTCAGGAACTCTCTGGTTGTGTCTGTGAGTTAGGAGCATGGAGACTAATGTGAGTTATAGTCAAAGTTCTTCTCTTGGTTTAGGTAGTTTTCTTTAAAAGTATTCAAAGTATTATTAAAAAGTGTGAGAAATGAAGATGGCCAACTGTGAACTAGTGATGAATGTGAGATTGATGTGATACATTATATTGATGATGGCATATATGTAAAATCGAGGCTAATTAATGAGAGATATTGATCTGAGAATTCTATAGACAAATTAAAGATATAAAGACTCTTGGGCTTTTGTGAATCATAGTGCTTAAAAATTATTATTAGTGAATTAATGATCAATAAACAAATGGAAATAAATGAAGAAAAGGAGGGATAATGTTGGATCAATGATGACTACTGGTGGCATATGAGTCATATATGATGAAGATGTGTCTGGAACCCTAAGGTCCAACGGAAAAGAAAAGACTATTCTCTTGGTTTGAAGGGATCCAACAGACAGATGTCAGCGATACAGAAATATACAAGGATCTTCTTTATGATCTTTGTGTTCATGCATTTTCATTCCCTTATTATAATTGGATAAATGAAAGAATCTATAAATACTAAATATATAAATAAATATAAATGGAGTAAAGCATCATCCAATTATAAAAATGTGATTAGGCAAGGAATGCTATTAGTATATATTGAAAACACTGAAGTCCAATGAGAAATAAATGGTATATGACTGTTATCTCTTAGGTAAGGATAATATAGACGGTGTAAATTATAGCCAGTGTTTGTGTTCTGGGCCAGAGGCAAATTCGAAATTGTTTTCTTAAAGAGAAAATGAAATAAATATATTTGAAATTAATGATTGCATAAATAACTGTCTAAATTAAAGATGAAAGGCAAGGGTCACTGGAGAGAAGGTGTAATTTTTTGTCATCTGTCCTGCTCTGCGCTCCTCAGAATGGATACACTGGAGCTGACTGAAGCATCTTCTATGGTCTTGAGCTCGTGGTCACATCTATTTGTTAGGAGGCTGGAGACCCGTGTGAGTAATCATCAAAGTTCCCATCTTGGTTGGGTCCCTTGTTTAACAGTATTCACTGTTAACAAAACGTTTGGAGTATAGTCAAATAGGGCCAGCTGTAGCCTCCTGATAAATATGGGATGGATGTGAAGCATTATATTGATAGATGAATATGTGAAAAACTGAAGATAAGTAAATTAAAGAGATACATTGAGGTGAGAATGATTCTATATACCCCTTAGGGATATCAAGTCTCTTTCTGTGAGTCATAGTGTTTAAAAGTTTTCAGTGAATTAATGAATTAGTCAATAAATATTGTCAAAATGAATGAAGAGAAAGTGGACTAATCTTGGATCAATGATGACGACTGATGGTGTATGAGTCCTATACGATGAATACCACGTGTCTGGAACTCTGAGGTCCAACACGAAAGAAATATAGTCCATTCTCTCTGTTTGAAGTGGTCCTATAGATAGGTGTTGGAAATACACAAGGATTTTATTTTTGGTCTTTGTGTTCATGCATTTTCAAACTATTATTATAATTGGCTCAATGAAGTAACATTAAAAATGTATAAAGAGGGCCTGGCCTCGTGGCTGAGTGGTTAAAAAGTTCCACACATTCCTCTTTGGTGGCCCAGGTTCATGGGTTCGGATCCCAGGTGTGGACCTGCTCTGCTCACCTGCCATGCTGTGATGGTGTCCCACATATAAAAAAAAAATGTTGAGGAAGATTAGCAAAGATGTTAGCTTGGGCTAATCTTCCTCAAGCAAAAAAGGAAGATTGGCAATGGATGTTAGCTCAGGGCAAATCTTCCTCAGCAAAAAAAAAAAAAAAAAAAAAAGTATAAAGATAAAGATGAAAAACATTAAGCATTGTCCAGTTATAAAAAATATGTGCTTTGGCAGGAAATACTATTGATAGATATTAAAAACTCTGATATTCACTAGGAAATAAATGGTATAAGAGTGTTTCTCCTCTTTGGTTAAGGAAAATATAGACATCGTTAAGTAATAGTCAATGTTCATGTTCTGTGTAAGTGGTAAGACCTATATTGTTTGTTTGCTTGAGAAGATAGAATAAATGTAATCCCAGAGAACTAATGACTGATTAAATGAAAGGCGGAATGCAAAGACCAATGCAGATAATGTCTCAAACTTCTTTATCATCCCCTCTGCTCTATACTCCTTAGAATGGGCACACTTGAGCTGATTCAAGCGTCTTCCATAATAACGATCATTTTGTTTACATCTATGCGTTATGAGCATGGAGACCAATGTAAGTAATAGTCAAAGTTCTTGTCTTGGTTTCGGTGTTATTTGTTAGAAAAGATATTCACTGTATTATTTAAAAAGTGTGAGATATAATTATTGAAGGTCAATCATGGCCCAGTCATAAATATGGGGTTGATATGAAGCATTGTTTTGATTAGTCCCTATATGCAATATTGAGACCAAGTAATGAAAGAGACATATTGCCAGGACTAATAATTCTATAGTCAGCTGTTAGAGATATTTAAGGATCTTACTCACATGTTTTGTGGCTTTAGGTATTTATTTTGTTATTGTTAGTAATTTAATGAATTAATAAAATTCATCTAGGTGTGAATTAAGAAAGTGAGGGCCAAGGCTGGATCAGTGATGACCACTGGTGGCGTATGAGTCACGGACGATGACTACCACATGTCTGGAACTCTGAGGTCCAATACGGTAGAAATCTAGTCTGTTCCTCTGTTGGAAAAAATCCTATAGATAGATGTTAGAAATATTTAAGAATCTTATGCTTCTAATTTTATGGCACATGATTTATGATTATATTAATGTAAAGGAACCAGCAAAAATATTTAAATGATTCCAAATTATTAAAATATGTGGTAAGGAAAGAAATACTATTAATATAATTTGGAATGGACCAAGGCTGTTACCCCCTTTGGCTAAGGATCACGTAGTCAATGATAAGTAATAATCAGTGCATTATTCTGGGTCAATTGTAAATTCAGCATTTGTTTTATTAAGAGAAAAGTTAGCAAATATTACCATAAATTAATAAATATTAAATGATTGAGTAAATGAAAGGTGGAATGCAAGGACCAATGGATAGAAGGTCTCAAACTGTATTTTTCTGCTCTTTCTTGTACTCCTCCCAGTGGGCACCGCTGCACTGATCTTAGCGTTCGCCATGGCTTCCAACTTGGTGGTTGTCTTAGGAGCATGGAGACCAGTGTGAGTAATAGTTGAAGTTCTTGTCGCGGTTTGGGCAGTTTAAGAGTGGTCAGTGTATTATAAAGAAGTAGGAAGTATCATCAAAGAAGGCTGAACATGGCCTAATAATGAACACGGGATGACAGGAGACGTTGTGTTGAGGCATCCGCCTGTGAAACACTGAGGTCAATTCAAGAAACACATCGAGTGTCCGTGGGAAATGATTTCATAGATAGACATTAGGGACAGCGAGGCTCTTATTCTCGGGGTTTTCTTGATTCATGTGGATTTCTTTACTAGTAAGTAGTAAATTAATGAATAAATCAATAGACAAAGTATAAATGAAGAAAAAGATTCACGAGCTTGGACCATTGATAACGACTAGTGGTATATGAGTCAAGGCTCATGGATAATATGTGTCTGGGCTTCTGAGGTCCAACACAAAGAAATCTAGTATATTGTGTTGGAAAAGATCCTGTAGGCAGTTGGTAGGAGTATCCAGTTACCCTATTCTTGTACTTTTGTGGTTCGTGGATAATGTATATTATTATAAGTGAATTGATGCATGTAGGGTTTAACACATAGGAATATGTGAATGAAAACATGGCCATGCCTGGACCAGCTCTGCATATGTAATGAAACAAATGTCAGTCCTAATCTATTTTTGAGGCATTAGGGTTCATGCTTTTTTATCTCTCTGGATGCAGCACGTATAGACAGATGTGGGACTGTCAATGTTCACATTCTGGGATGTCTTTGGTCTACTGGTTGTTTGTTTTATTACTAAATAGGAAAAATGTTTATAAAATTAAATAAAAGATTAAGCACTATTTAAATTAAGGAGAGCCAGTGATAAAAGTTTGTTATATAGGGGCTGGCCCGTGGCCAAGTGGTTGGGTTCATGCAGTCCGCTTCGGCGGCCCAGGGTTTTGCTGGTTCAGATCCCGGGTGCAGACACGGCACCACTCGTCAGGCCATGCTGAGGTGACGTCCCACATTGCACACCCAGAGGCACTCACAAGTGGAATATACAACTATGTACGGGGGGTCTTTGGGGAGAAGAAGGGAAAAAAAAAAGAAGATTGGCAACAGATGTTAGCCCAGGTGCCAGTCTTTTTAAAAAAAAAAAGTTTGTTGTATAACAAGAGTATCTGAGAGTTTAAACATTGTTCCCTTTCTTTTTTTTTTAAGATTTTATTTTATGTTTTCCTTTTTCTCCCCAAAGCCCCCCGGTACATAGCTGTATATTCTTAGTTGTGGGTCCTTCTACTTGCGGGATGTGGGACGCCGCCTCAACATGGCTTGACTAGCGGTGCCATTTCTGCGCCCAGGATTCTAACTGGTGAAACCCTGGGCTGCTACAGCAGAGTGCACGAACTTAACCACTCGGTCATGGGGCCAGGCCCTAAAAATTCTTTTTTTGGGGGAAGATTAGCCCTGAGCTAACATCTGCTTCCAAACCTCCTCTTTTTGCTGAGGAAGACTGGCCCTGAGCTAACATCCATGCCCGTCTTCCTCTACTTTCTGTGTGGGACGCCTACCACAGCATGGCGTGCCAAGCGGTGCCATGTCTGCACCCGGGATCCGAACCGGCGAACCCCGGGCCACCAAAGCGGGACCTGCGCATGTAACCACTGCTCCAACAGGCTGGCCCTGTTCCCTTTCTTTAAAAAAAATAGATAGTTATCCAAATTAATTTATGAATGAATGAAGTAGAATCAAGCTTTCTTCACTGGCATGAAATTGCTCTGAAACAAGCAGTTAGATGAATCTAGTTCTGCACAAGTGAGGGTCCAGGACTTAGGTGGTTGTGTGGATGCCTGGAGGCAGAAACTCATGTGTCCAACAGAGAGCACTTGTTCCCAATTCAGGTTGTGCATTCAAAGGTGTCCGTTTTTTAATGTAAAATTAATCATTGAATTAATTTGATAAAAAGAGGGGTTATTTTTTGGCCAGTTGTAGGAAGTGACATGGGCTGAGGTTTAATGTTAATCTAAATCTGCTCACGTTATATTCATTAGATTATTAGAGCAAAGTTGAAATCTAGGAAAATTCATTCTTTTTAACATTTGCTTTCTGCTTCCCAGAATGGGTCCTCATGGTCGAAGGTCTTGTCTGGTGCGTGTCTGGGCAGGAAGCCTATAGAGCTATGTAAGTAGCACACCAAGTTCTTGTCCTTGGGTGGGTGGTTGGCTCATGGGTATTCATCCTGTTATAAAAAATGGTTAAATGGCTACATACATACATAAAATTTTAAAAAACCACTGGTGAGAATGAGTTAAACACCAATGATTAGGATGTGTCTAGTCAGTACAATTGTTGAATTACATTATTTTTTATATCATCCTGGAATACTGAGGTTCATTAGTAAATGAACAAAACGGGCATGTTACCTCTTCCGGTAAAGGTCATTTAGACGGAAAATAGTACTAGTCAGTGTTCTTGCTCTGGGTCCGTGGTGAGTCTGGTCTGTTTATTAAGAGAAAAAGAAATAAATAATTTTATCAATTAATCAATACCTAAGTAGCAAGTAAATCAAGGTGGGAAACATGGATTAATGGAGAGAATTTTGGGTATTTTCTCTTTTTTTGCAAGAGGTACTCTCACATATTTTATTTAAATTTTTTTAAGCTATAAAAGAGTGCATATTGGTTTTTCTTTTTAGTTTTCCGTCTGCTTTCTATCCACAGAATGAACACCCTCGAACGCACGATCGTTCTTTAGTGATCAGACCTTTATGGTTCAATGTGAGTCATAGTCCAAGTTCTTGTCTTTGTTGGGGTAGTCTGTTAAGGGTGTTCAGTGTGTGATTAAAAAGTATTACATATAATCAAAGAAGCCCACATAAGGACCAATGATGAGGTGGTGTCATAAACCAAGTTTCATGATCAGTCTAATTCACAACAGATACCCTTTTAGCAAAGAAGTTCTGACTTCTTAGCTTTGTGGGTAAGGGCCCCAGAGTCAGTTGTCTGCAACACTCATAGTTTTTATTCTGTTGGCTTGTTCATTTAAGTGTGCTCATTATATTATTAAAATGGATAACTGAAGACATTAATTGATAACAGAGGTCCATTCATTAAGCAGAGATAAGAATGTGACATAAATCATTGTTTACAATTAATTTCTGTCATGGTTACCTCATGTTCACTACATTACAATCCCAATGTAGGCCTTTTCATTTGTCAGCATCCTCTTTACATTCCGCAGGATGGATGCTCCATACCTAATTAAATTATTGTCCAATCAGGAAGATCTTTGCCTTATCCCTCTGGGCAGGGAGCATATCATGCTATGTAAGTAATAAAGTTCTTGATGTGGGTGGTTAGTTCATGGGTTTCCATTGTATCATTTAAAAGGAATAAATGTAATTAAATTGTAAGATGCCATGCATAGACCTATGATGAGAATGCGCTACGAAACAAAGTTTATGATTAATCCAATTTAGCACAAACGAAGTACGGTCCTGTGTCACCTAACGATGGGGGTATGTTCTGAGCAATACGTCGTTAGGTGATTTTGCTGTTGTGCAAACATCGCAGAATGTGCACAAAGCTGGATGGTATAGGCTACTACACACCTATGCTCTGTGGTGCTAATGTTATGGGACCAGCATTGCGTATGTGGTTCATCGTTGACTGAAACGCCGTTATGTGGCACGTCACTGTACAAGAATAAAACTTAGCTTTTTCCATTCATCTCAAAACTTAAACATCCCATTTTGTGTTTGTCCCACTGATCGTTTAAACATCCCTCTCTTGATGACGATCTGGGCTGTTACTCATTTAGGGAGCCAGTATTTTGGTTGTTGAGTAGGATAGTGGTTTATGGTTGTTCCCCGTAACATCTAAAAATTGCTCAAATTAAATGCAGAAGGGCCATGCCTGGACCAATGATGTGAGTGGAATGCATCTGAATAAAAATTATGATCAATCGTTTTTTGAACTACTGAGGTCCATTGCAAAAAGAGAACCAGTGTATGACATTTGGGAATGATCTCAGGGAAGTTCAAGAATCTTGTTGAGAGTGTTCATGGATACCGATCTTATATTGTTAGTAAATTAATGAATGGGTCAATAAACAAATACATTCATAAGTAAAGAAAAAGAGGTCAAAACAGGGACCAATTTTAAGAATATGTTATAAAACAGAATATTATTAATTCAGTTCTGAAACACCTTGGTCCCTTAAGAAAAAAAATACATAGGTTCAATTTGTTACCACTGTGTTGGCAGCAGCTGGATAGAGGTACTTAAATGTCAATATTCTGGTCTTAGCTTGCAGTGGGTTCCTGGATGTTTGATTCATGAAGAAAAAAAGTTAAAAAACAAATGTTTAAATGAGTGAGTGAAAAGTACGAACCAATGATAAATATGTTTTATTCTTTTTCACGTCTGTTTTGTACCCCAGAATGGCTGCCCCTTGGCTGTTTCAATCATTATTTAATGATGAAGATCTTGACTGTTATCTGTGTGGCCAAGGAGAATATAGATCAGGGTAAGTAACAGATTAAGATTTTATTCTTGGTTTGGTTATTTTGTTTATGGATGATGGCTATATTATTTAAAAAAAATAAATGGCTTCATGCAGTCATAAAATCAAATCAAAGAAGACCATGCATGGACCAGTGGTAAGAATTTGTCCTGGCAAGGGTTGTGGTTAATTCATTTTGCAAAACTGAAAAAAAATAGATTTCCATTGAAACAGTAGGTTTAGACCACTGCCTCTTAGGTTGAGAAGGTCATAGACACATTCTAGTCTTAGTCAAAGATCCTCTTCTTGGGTTGATTGTGTTTTCCTTGGGTTTTATTATTTTATTAAAAATAATAAGTCATTAAACAAGTTAAAAGTAAATATGCTAGTAAAATTACAATGGTCACTCATGACCAATAACGTGATGATTCATGAAACAAGGGTCTATTTAACTTGTCAGCTATATTACCACCCTGTTGAAGGAGTACTTAGAGACACATAATGCTCAAAATTTTCCTTCTCGTTTGCAAGTAGATCCTTTGCTGTTGACTTTATTTTTGAAAATGAGTAACTAAACTAACAAACAAGGGAAAATCCATATAGAAAGAAAATTAAAATAATCAGGAATATTCCAATGATAAAATTTTACACAACAAGAATTATGATCGAGCCAGTTTTGCTTCTGTGAGATCCATTTATGTCAAAAGATTTAGTCTGTTACCTTTGTATATAATGAGGGGAGACACAGATGTTAAAATATTCATTGTTTTTGTTCTTGTATTTTGATGGGTTCATGGGTGTTACTATTACTGTTGTTATTATTTAGCAAATCAGTCTATGAAAAACTAAATTATAAGTGGCCAAATCATGGGCCACTGATGGAAATGTGTTTTGAAACAAGGATTATGATTATTGCACTTCTGCACCACTGGCATTTCTGAAGTAAAACGTTTACCTTTTTTTAATCTGTTTCAATGGTGTGTGTAGTACTACTCCACACGTTGTTTTGCAATAATTTGGATATTTTTGCATGCGAGTTACACAATTATTTTCTTCCATTATCTCAGGCACAAATACTAGTGACCTGATTTGTTTGGAGGTGGTTGGCAGGAGGCTCCTATGCCCCATATTTAAAAGTCTTCTGGCCCTTGTGTCTGGGAGAGTGCTAAAATAATTGATACTAAGGTACTAATTTCAGCGGCACAGGTATTGACCCGAATCTGTATCAGGCTCTGTGTTGGGCGTGACACCCACATCTGAATCCCACAGCTCTTTGGGATTAGGTGGAAACCTACTTACAAATGTAACAATTCAGTATAATGGGGAAGTAGATGAACTTTCCAGAAGCACAGAAGGTGGGCCCTTGGCTCAACCTTAAGTATCAGATGTTTTATAGAAGAGATGATGCTTGAGCCAATGACAGACTCACTAGGCTGTAAGTGCCATGAAGCTAAGAATCATATTCCTCTTACCCACTACTCTGCCCATTGTGCCTAGCACATACAGCGCATGTAATAAACATTTGTCGGAGTCGTGGAATGAATGATGAATGAAATAAAGCATGAATGAGTGAAGCAATGATTTAGTGAATGAATGAATCTGTGTAAACAGGAATGAAAAAAATGAATGAAAATGTGAAGGAGTGCACAAATGAGTGAACAAATCTGCAATGAGTTGAATAAGTCAATAAGTGCACAAATGCATGATGAATTAATGAGTGGATGAGCCAATGGGTAAGTAAAAATGTCAGCAGGTGAATGAGTGAGTGATAAATGAACCGGTCAGTGAGTGGATGAAGGAAAGACTGGTGGTAGGTCAATGAGTCAATAGGTGGAAGGTCAGTGCACAAGCGGATGAGTGAATGAATAACTGAGTCCCTGAATGAGGTTATGAATTAATGAGTACATGAAAGTTAATTAGTAATGAGAGAATGAAGGAATGAGTGAGTCAATGTATGAATCAACTAATAAGTAGATGCGTCAATGAGTAACCAAATTAATTGATTAATAATTAAAAAAATGAGTGAATGAATAAATTAATAAATGAATGAAAAAGGAAAAAGTTGAATAATTTAAGTAATGAGTAAATAAATAAGTCGATGAGTGAGACTAATGAGGGAATGAATAGGCAAATGGCTGGAGGAATGAATATATTAGAAAAAATGAATAAAAGAATGAATTAGTGAGTGAGTAAATGAGTCAATAAATGAGTATGTAATCTAGGAATAAATGAACTGCTTTGTGAGTGAATGAGTGAATGAGGGAATGAATCCATAAATGAATGAGTGAGTTAGTGATCCATGTGTGAGGCAATGAGTGAATGAACTCACACTGGGATTCCTTCCCTGACCACTCCAAAGAAAGTTAGCCATCCCGCAACCTCACAGCACATAATAGACACTTCAACCCATCCTGCTCCATCATGGTCGTTTGTTTACATGTCATCACTGAACTAACTATCCTGAGAGCCAGGAACGGGGTCAGATTCTTGTTTGTATCCCGAGCTCCTGCCCAGCCCTGAGTCTAGGAGGCGCCCAGTGAATTATCGCTGAATGAATGAACGAATAACTAAAAATACATGTGCTTTTGTGGAACCAGGCTGGCCCTTCTCAGAATGGTCTGGGAGCTGTTCTGTGGGGAAGCACGTGTGTGTCAGATGCTCTGTGGCATCCTCCTACGCAAGCCCAGCGTCTCCCTTGAGTCCAGCTTCCTGTGTCCACTGCCAGACGGTGAGACAGGATACTGGCAGTTCTGACTGCCCTGGACGTTGGCCCATCCTTGGGCAACGTTGGCTTGGCATGGTGGAATGGAAGCCCTGGGGCTTCCCGAAAGCTGCCCTTGCCTCTGCCAAGACAGGAGATCGAAAATAACCCCATCTTGTTTTTGTGCCTCCAGCGAGTGGGCCTGCTTCTTGCCTTGCCAAGCAAACTGAGTCCCTCCTGGGTCTAGCTGTGGGACTCTGGGGTGGATGTGAAGCACCTCTGGCTGTACAGCTCCAGCTTCGTCAGTGAGATGAGGATAACGATGCCTATCTGGCTGGATTGTGGTGAGAATTAAACTTGCCTAACAAGAGCTTATTGTAAGGCCCTTACGTGACACAATACATATCATGTACATAGTATGGTACCTGGGAAGGAATAGATGCCTCAAAAATTACCCAAAGTAGCTGTAATTGATGGTTTCAATTGCATTTATTTAAAAGCTCCCGAATGGATGTGATACCCAAATTCCTCTGTTCCAGAAGAATGGAGAGTTCAACTAAGTTCTGGAAGAATGCCAGTTTTGATGGGACAGGCCAGCCTAGACCACGCACCTTTAAGGCAGCATAACCTCCCCTTCTACCAGGGACAGACAACGAGAAAAGTGAGTAGGGGACACCTTTACTCCTTGTGGGGCATTTGCCCAAGACCCACCCACCTACCCTCCCTCTCACCCTTCCCCCCTTTCTCCAACCCTCTCTCCCTCCCTCCCTCCCTCCCTCCTTCCCTCGACAGTTGTTTCTTCAGCGCCCACTGTATGCCTGACACCGACCCCTGCTCTTATTCTCTTTTCTTGGCTGGCTCTGGACCCTGGCTCCATCCTGGTTTTGCATCCTTCCTTTGGACTTGGTGATGGTACTCCGTCATCTGGCCCGGAATATAGCCCCTCCTTCATGAGGATTTGATTTCAGCTCAAACCATTGGCCTTTCTACTTCAGACTGAATCAGGTAGATTCCTCCTTCTTAGCTGTGGACACCTGGGACCCTAATTTTGAATCTTCTAGGTTGACTATCTCCCATCTGGGAAATCTCCCGCCCTTCCTACGAGGAGTTGGGCCATGTTGGTGGCAGGTGGGCCCTCTGAATGCTGAGGGTGGGCAGCAGGATCAGTGTCCATGGCTTTGGTCCGGTGTCTGAGATTGGACCGGCCAACATGTGCAGATCCGGGGACAGGAGTTAGGCTCTCACGTTCCCCAGAACTCCTGGGTAAATGCGTTCAAGAGTTGCCAGTTAATTTTAGTCTGGTACTTGCCACTGGTTGCTCGGCTTTATGCTGAGCCTAATACAAATGTCACCTGCCTCTCACTCTCACAGTCCCGGGCCCTGTCCTTTGGCCTCCCACGTCTCTTTGTCCAAATTTGTCCTTTCTCACTCATTTATCCTCATCCATACCCCTGACAGAACCCACGTTCATTGTTAATTATGAGCTGCCAGTTTCTCCCAAAGGGCTAGGAACCTCTGGAGAACAGGGTCTTCCTTTTGTGTCTTTAGAGCCCATCACAAGGTCTAAACATTAGGAAATGTTTGGTGAATTAATCATTCATCCTTTCATTTATTCAAAAAAATATCGGGCCCTTTCTGTGGTCCCAGAGGCTGGGTGATAAATAGCAAGAAATAAGACATACCCCTCTCTGCCGCTGTGGCGCTCCAAGTCTTAGATGGGAGAGAGATTTTAAACACGTGTTCATGGCAAAATTACTTAATGACACTTGTGATGAGCGCTGGGGAACCAGGGGGCCGGGGGTCGTTAACCTGCCAGCCGAGCTGGGCTTGACCCTCAGGATGAGCTCCCTCTGCTTCTCTCTCGTGTTTTGGGGAGACACTGAAAGCAGGACAAGGCTGTAGCCGTGGTCGGAGCTGGCTCATGGCTTTGGCTCCCTGGGGTCAGGTCAGCGGGGTCTTCAGACATCCTCAGAGGCGAGAGACCAGTGGATTTGGACTTTCTGTGGCTGCTGCCTGGCTGCCACCTGGGCGGCTGGGACCCTGCACACTTTGCGTTTCACTCAAGCCCCGTGCTTGAGAAGGCAGGCTCTGCTGAGCGTCAGTGCCCTGCCAACTTTGAGGTGTTCCTCTTGGATGTGTTGCCAAGTGACAAGCTAAGGGTAGAATGGAATACGTATCGACCTTTTCTCCTTCTCTGCCACATCTCATTCTGGGTTTCTCCTAATGGCTGCCTGGAAAGCATCCTGTCGCTAATGGGACTGTAACATTCATGATGGAAACCCAGCAGTTGGGCTCACATTGTTGCGGTCACCATCCCTGGTGCCTCCCTCCTTCCCCCGGCCCCCAGTGTTCCATCCTACCCCGTCAGCATCTCTCCAGGGAGCCCGTTGAGTCTACCTTTCTCCTCTCTACCGCCACCACGTCAGTCCAGGCTTCCCTCGTCTCAGACTGGCATCGGCCTCTGACCTGGTCTCTCTGCCCCCTCCTCCAGGCTGTTCTCTTCACTGCAGTCAGTGCGATCTTTCTAGAATGCATGAGGAAGAGTCCCCTGCTCCTTAGAGCTCTCACGAGTCCCGGAAACCCCAGGGTGAGGTCCAGACTTCTTGGTTTCACACTCAAGGATCTTCATGACTTGGCGTGTGGCCACACCTCCCACTGCATGCTCCCTGGCCTCGTGTGCCACCTGGCAGACCCGCCCCGAGTCTGCATGTGTCTGTGTCTCTGTGCCTTTGCACAATCTCATCCTCTAGCCCTCTCCTCATAAGGCTTGGTAGCTGGAGGGCTTGTCCCCTCCAAGGTGGGATGAGCACCCCACACTTGGAACTGTCACACCGCCTGAACTTGACCCCCACTGAGAAACCTGTCCTGTTGCTTGGTCGCGATCTGTTTAGGGGCCTGCCTTTCCAAGACCTGTAGCTCCCCAGCTGTGGGTGCTCGGTCTTGGGTGCCTCAGACCACTCCCGCACCGCCCCCCCCCCCCCACTATCCGGCAGAGAACCTGTGCAGGGTAGCTGATCGATCACTGAGAATGCTGGTTGAATGAAGGAATGAATGAATGTACAAGAGAATGCTTGTCAGGCCATACTGGGGGACAAACTGTATCCCTGGCAGAGAACTGGGGTCCTTGGCCCTGGAGAGTAGCACCTCCTCATTACTGAGGCCTGTGCTCCTTCTCCAGCCAACTCCACTTTGCCTTCCGCCTGTGACTCATTAAGAGATATGTAACCTTAATCCTTGAAATTGCCGGGGATGAAGCATGTTTTCATTCAATGGCATGAACATGGGGATTTTATTCCTTTCTTAAATAAATCTCACTCCCCCAGGAAGTTTGGACAGGATGTGGGCGATCGGACTAGGGGTTGAAAGTGGACATTTTGCAAAAGGCCTGTTTCAAAATTTGAAACCCCGTGGCCACTGGCCAGAGCTGAGTGTGGCTTGTGGGGGTCGCTGGGGCCTCCTCTCAAAGAAGGGAAGGGATGATTGAAAACAAACCTTCAGCTGTCACTGAGTAGGCTGATGGCTCACAAGACAGAATTCCGCGGTTTGGTTTTGCTTCTCTGAGGAAACTTGAGCGAGCTCGGTCACCCTCATTAGCTCTTCTTTCAAGCTTTCGGCTGAGGCCTGAAGCCCTCCTGAAGCCCAGGGGGAGTTTGAGCTGGTGCTGACATCAGTGGGACGAGTGTGTGAGTGCTAGAGGAGACTGCGGCCCTGGCCCAGGCCCAGGGGGAAGGATGCTCTGAGGCAGGCCCAGGGGACCGTCTAGCCCAGCTCGGGGGACCATAGGGGCTGGCAGCTCACCCCCCCCCCCCCCCGCGAGGAGGCACAAAGTGGGACTGAGGAGAAAGAATAATAACGTGACATTATGCCTGTTGTCACCAGGCACGGCCACAAGTTTTCTCTTTCATCCCAAAGTGGGTGCCATCAGTTCCTTGTTGTGGAGATGAGCAAGCTGACCACTGAACTGCAGCTCCCATCAGGGCCACAGTGTGGCCCAGGCAGCCCTGACTCCAGGTCCAGTGCTCTTCTTAGTCTTCTCCTCAGTGGGTACCCACCACGCAGAGCCAGGGCTGAGGCTGGCGCTCCGGGATCACGGATGCGGCTGGTTAGAGGGGCGGGACACGGGGTTCAATGGTCCCGGAGACCAGTTCTCAGTGTTCGAGCTCTCATGACTGGCTGTCCCACTGTCCTTTGCTGTCCTCAGCAAGTGGACCCTGGCCCTGGACTGGCCCCCATGACAGGGAGATTCCATTGTCCCTTGTTTTCTTTTGACTTCTTTTTTCTTTTCTCTGCTAGGAAAGACAGCAGTTTGTCCCTTTGGAGAAGTCACCGGTGTCCTCCAGCTCTCCTTCACGCCCTTCGTCGGTAAAAGGGAAGGAGTTTCATTCATTTATTTGTCAGAAATCCTGATGTGCCATGTACTAATAGCGAGCCTCGGCCCCTGAATGTGGTGCTGGCCCGGGAGTGTGTACGTGGTCTGCTAGGCAGACAGCATGCGGGGACACGTCGGGAGTTCACACCACGTCTGAGATGAGGGTCAGACTCTTAACACACGTGTTAGTCTCTGGTCCCTTCCCTTGCTAAATCTTCAATTACTGTGTTATAGTCATTTGCTAGGATACTGTGTAACTGTTAAAGCATCACAAGATAGGAAGCTCTTGGATGGCGTGGGAAAACATTCAGGATATATAGTTAGGTGAAAAAATTAGGATGAGTCCAATTAAAATGATGATGAGTCCAATTAAAAATATGTATACAGGAGCCAGCCTCGTGGCGTAGTGGTTAGGTTCATGCCCTCCGTTTTGGTGGTCCCAGCTTTGCAGGTTTGGATCCCGGGCACAGACCTACACACCGCTCATCAAGCCATGCTGTAGTGGCGTCCCATACACAAAGTAGAGGAAGATTGGCACAAATGTTAGCTCAGGGACAATCTTCCTCAAGCACAAAGAGGAAGATTGGCAACAGATGTTAGCTCAGGGCCAGTCTTCCTCACACACACACACAAAATATATATATGCATACATACATGTACACAAGCACACACACACACACCTCACACTCTCTCTCTCTCTCAAAGGTGCCACCAGTTCTCGCTCACATAAAGGCTATCTCCACTTGCCTTCTTGTCCCCACATCTTCCCTCCATCAGGCTCCCCAGGCTCACAGGGGATCTCATTGTCCTCCAGCGAGCTTTGCAAAGGGTGATGGTTCCTTCTTCCCTCCATCTGAGCCTTGAGCTGGAGCCAATGACTACCCAGCTTAGCCTCAGTTTCCCCACCCGTAAAAATGGAAAAAGGATGATGACATGAATCTCTGCCATCACCGTTTGCCGTCTGGGGAGAGAGGAGACTTCTCTCCATTTGACTCTGGTCCCGACCCTCCTCCTCTCTGTCCTTCCAGAGCCTTGATCCTCACTCGTAATTTTGGGGCCAGTTATTATATTTTCTTTTCCCTCGGATCTGAGGCCATACTTGAAGTGTGGGGGAGGTCACCAAAGGTGTCACAGAAGACAGAGAGAGTGACAGGGCCGCCTGGGACTGTTGGGTGTGAGTGCTTCACTCTGCGGGGCTCCTGGCTTGTCCTCCCAGGCCCCTTCTCCTCACCCTCCCTTCTTGGGGACTGCGGCTACCAGAGCTGGATTTGCACTGGGAGGAAGTAGGGGCAGAGTTGGGGATGGGAGAGGGTGGGGTTGGCTGGAAGACGAGGCCCCACCACACGGGGGTTATTCTCTGGGGTGCAGCGGGCACCAAAGAAAAGGGTGAGCTAGAAAGTGCTGGGCAGATGTTGGAGAAACCAGGGAGGGAGCGACCCCTCCTGGACCCCCAGCCCACCCCTGCATGGCCCCCCAGAGAGCCGCGGAGTCCGTTGGTGCTGCTACATTTACCACCTCGCAGAAGCCCCTCTTACAGAGAAGGAAACTGAGGCTCAGATGTGCCCAGCCCAGCGCCCAGGTCCGGGGTGTGTCCCATGTCCCCACAGCAGCCCCAAAGTTTGGTCTCTCTCCGGGATGCACAGGCCGAAGAATGTGAGGCAGAAGGGGGCTCAGTACCCGGGGCCTGGGGTCTGCTGTTTCCGTCAGTGGGGCTGGAGGCGGCATCTTCTTTCCCGCCTGAGAGCACTGCGGCTCATGTTCATGGCTTGCTCATCGGGATGAAAGAACTTTACACAGTTTCCTGGCCACATCTACCAATTCGGTGACCCTTCATAAAAGCCCCACAGGAACCCCAAACAGCATGTTTCAAAATACACAGAACTCAGGCCGCTGCAGAGCTCAGAGCCCTGCTGCTGGCCTGGCCCATCAAGGGAGGGTGGGTCCAGGGCCACCCTAGGCCTGCCTGAGCTTGCCGCCTACCCCAGAGCCCACTTGGTGGTCACCAGCCCCCAAATCCCCTCTTCCGTGACCTTGGGGAGAGCCTCAACTGGGAGGCTGTTCCTCCGCCTTCAGACCAGTCATTTCTTCCACGTTAAGAAGAGTCCGCCTGAGCTGGCCTGCTGGGCCGGGGAGGCGGGGCTATAGTTGTATTAACAGGAGCAGAGTAGATGGTGAAGCATGGCTCCTGAATCCAGTGTTGGGGGCGGAGCCAGGCTGGGGCTCTTCCTCCACATCAAGGTGGCAGGGAGCCACAGGACCACGGGCCTGTAGGAATATCCCCCGGCACAGGGGGGTGCAAGTCCCTGCTAGCGTTCTAGGTCGGAGGTGGAGCCATGGTGGGTGTATGGATGGGCATTAAATCTTTGAAAAGTTGAGTAAAGATAGTAGAAGAGCCTTCATGGACCAGTGATGACTGGTTCATGGAATAAAGGCTGTCGTCAGTCCAATTCTGTGTGTACCTGGAGTCACAGGTGATAATAGTTATATTAACAATAGCGAGAACTCAACGGGCTGCCATCTGAGCGTGCTGATCTGCTAGGCCCGTCCCGGGGACCCCTGTGTTCCTTATCTCCACCCATGTCCCGGTTAGTCCTGAAACGGAGGTCCCTTGCCTCTCCTTCCTTTCCTCCACCTGCTCCAGCCTGTTTGCTGTGATTTCCCAGTTCACACCTCCTGTGAGCTCTCTCACTCTGGGAGGATCTCCCTGTCCCCCAGAGACCCCCTGGTGCTGCTCAAGATTGCCCCAACAGACCTGCTGTGTTTCGTTCCAGAGCTGTGTCTCACATTGAATTACTAGGATCCTGAGGGCCGGCTCTGGTCAGCTCCATGTCCCCGCTGCTGGGCCTCACCATTCCCAAAGTACCCCTCAGGGAGTGTTGACCCATTCCCTATACCCTTTTGGTCAGACACGCACTCAAACAGTTGCATTTGGTTTTGTGACTCGGCCCTCTTGTCTTGGAAGGTCCTTCTGCATGGAGCCTGGAGCCGTGAGGCGTGGTTGCTCCAGGACAAGGCTTCCTGAAGACACCTCTGATGGGTGGAGCCCTGGCTTCGCTGGGTGAGTTATGCTTCTCCTGGTCACACTCTCAATGGCGTGTGTGCCTGTGACTAAGTCTAGATGACGTAAAGACTACAGACAATCAAAGATGGGCTGGAGCGTGGGTGAAGGCCTCACAGGGGCCTGAGTGCGGGCACTGCCCACCTGGAGCATTGGCAGGCAGAGGCCAGGCCATTTCTGGCAGCTGCTTCTCTGAGTGGAGGGCAGGGCTAGCCAGAGAAGTCACTTGAAAGTTGCCCAAGGTGTCACTAGTGAAAGGGCAAGCTCAGCACGGGCTCGACCCCGGATAGTTGACCCTTGTCTCTGGTCCCACCCAAGCGGCTCGCAGCTGACCCATCACTAGCGTCCTTTTTGGCAGCTTGGGTTGGGGCTCAGGGTTACCTTCTCACCTCTGCTCCAAGTGAGTCCGTTAATTTATGCAGATAATTACAGTCTGTTAACTCATTACCGTAATGGACAATGTGATAAGTGGAAGCCATCTGAGTTTTTCCTGTAAAAGACCCTAAACTAATAACTAAAATTTATTGCACGTAATAGTTCTAAAAAGGAATATTTTTCTTCATTAAAAAGGAAATACATGTTTATTGTAAAAGTTTGTAAAATGCTGAAAAGAACAAAAGGAAGAATAGGATTGACCCTAGTCCCACCACTCGAGGATGACCACTGCCAACATTTGGTGACCAACCTCTGGTTTTTTGTTTTCTTCTATAATCACATAAATGTCTGTGTGTGTGTGTGTGTGTGTGTGTGTATACACATATGTATGTTTTTTAATGGGCTCATCATTATCATCCTAATTTTTTCACCTAATTACATATCTTGAATGTTTTCACATGTCATTAAGTAATTTCCTATCTTGTGATGTTTTAATGGTTATATAGTATCCTAGCAAATGACTACATCATAATTGATTTAATTGGTCCACTCTTAACCAGGTGTTTAGATAATTTTAAAAGTTGGATTGTGTGAATTGGGGTGAGCATCTTTGTTTATTCATCTTCACATGTGTCTCTGATGTGTCTCCTGCAGTTTCTTTCTAAAAGTGGAATGGCCATGTCAAAGGCTGTGAGCATTTTTACGGCCAAGTTGTTCTCCTTAACCTTTCCACCACCTTGCTTTCTCAGAATTAGTTTAAGAAGTGCCTTTTTCTCTGGGAATTATCAAGGTTTTTAACATTTGCCAATTTGTCAAAGCATGGCATTTCATTCTTTTCATTTCAGTTGTTATTACCCGTGATAAGAGCATTTCCTTCATATCTTTATTGGTTCTTTGCATCTGAATTGCCAGTTCAGATTCTTTGCATTATCCATTTAGTTTTATTTTTGTCAAAGTCATGCAGATACATCATTTTAAGAGTCAAATAGTTCTACGAGGTTAGTGCCGAAGCCTCGGTCCTCAGCCCTGCTCCTCCGTCCCGTGACCCGCTCCACTGAACCGACAGCTTTGAACTCTTGGAACTGATTCTCTTGACATTTACATCCATTTTTCTAAGTAACATCTTAGTTTTCTACGTCTCAGTTTTGTTCTAGCGTAAGGCATTGTCTTGACTTCTCATCCATAGAAGATGAGGATTTAACTCTGTCACATATGCCCTTGGCCTCCCCACACACAAGCAGACCTCTGTGCCGCATCCTCTCAATATATTTAGCTCGTAGCTTTAGTTTGATCAGTATTCAGTGTTCACGTTACTATAACAGTGTAAACACGCTTGACGCCTGACCAACAGCACTATGATTCTTTACCTCTCCTTCCCAACTTTCTGTTTGCTCTGGAGTTAATAATTACCTTGTGTTTTGTTTGTTTCTTTTTTCATTCTTTCTTTGATTGATTTGTTAGTTTCTAATGAAATTTTCACAGATTTCTCCCAAACCTCTCAACACATTCAAACACATTAGTGTTTTCTTTTTTTTTAATGTGTTTAATCTTTTTGAAAAAATCTCTTCCTGGAGCCTTCTTGCCTGTTTTCTTCTGGATTGGTTGATCTTTGGGTTTCCTGTCCTCATCTTGGGATCCTCCCTCATTCTTTTCCCGAGGATTCCCTTGACCCTCTCCTTGGTTGGATCTCGAATTCTGTAAAACCTGTGTAAGCTTTTTTGGTTTACTCCGCTGTTTTGCTAGAGTGCATCCTCTAGTAGTTTCCTAAGGGGTTCGTGGGAGGTAAATTCTTGGAGATCTTTCACATCTGAAGAGGAAAACGTGTCCACACTGATGGTGATAGTTTGGCTGGTATAGAATTCTGTTTGGTAATCGTTTTTCCCCTCAGATTTCGAAAGTGTGAGTAATTGTCTTCTCACTTCTAGTGCTGTTGATGAGCAGTCTGAAGTCTCTGTGATTCCTCATCCCTTGTCTGTGCTCTTTTTCCTCCCCTTCCAGAACTTGTAGGATTTTCTCATTGTCTTCTAGTGTTTTAAATTTCATGTGCATGGTTCTTGATATGGATCTCCGTTCATCCATTTTACCAGGCCCTTTTGATCTGAAAACTTGTGTCCTTCAGTTTTGGACATTTTTTTTGCACAGTTGCTTGGCTAACGTCCTTTCACCTATTTTCTCTTTCTGGAACTTAGATTGTTTGTGTGTTGGATCTCTCTGGTTCTTTAATATTCCCATAATTTTCCTCTGATTTTCAACTCTTCATTTCTTCTCTTCCTGAGCGATATCTGTCTTCATTGACTTTTAACCTATTTTCATTTCTGCAATCTCTAATTTTCAAGGTTTTTATTATATTTTAAATGTTATTTTATAGTGTTTTATTCATGGATGCAGTTGCTTCTTATATCCCTGATAATATTAGGTTTTCTGAAATTTTCTGTTTTTTTATGGAGTCTGCAAGGTTTTTTTTTTTCTCCCAAGTGTGTGTATGTCTCTAACTTCTATGTTGCTTTTCTTAACTCTCTGGTGATATAGGTAGATATGGAGATAGATGATGGAGATAGGGCTATGGAGGATTTGGGTGCATATAGTACACACAGACAAGCACACTCACGAGCTGTTGGGAAGCTCTTGTATGGCCTTGCGAGCTCTGGCTTTACTGTAGAGTGAGCTGGCTGGACTTACTATTGTGGAACCCCAGGTTTTAGCATTTTTAAATCTTTTTCTTTTGGATAGCTCAGATGCTCGCTTTAAAGAAGGTTTTTCACTTTCTGGTGTGGAGTATTTTCTGCTGCTGGTGCTCTGGAGGTTTGTGGAGGAAGACCAGGTGGTCTCAATGTCCAGCTTGTAAAACTTTGCCATCTTCATCCTTTTAATTTAAAACTCTTGCCCTCAGCCCTGCCTGCATCTCTGCTGCAGTCACCTCTGCTCCACTGTCTCCATGTAATACACCTTCAGTCTTCTCTCAGAGTTGGGGAACGCTCTGGCCAATGGGTGAGGATCTGGGGAGCTGCCTTCTTAAAGACACTTTCAGCCAATTCATCCTATTTAGACCCAGATTTTCCTGCCACATCAAAGTACCTGTCACTTCCTGAGACTTCTGTGGATTCCATGGAATACACCGGACTTTATTTCAGCTTTCCTTGCTGCTGGTTTAGGATTCCTAGCTCTGAATCACGCCTCTCTTCTTGTCTTTGTTCCTCTGTACTTAGACCCAAAATGAAAATCTCTTCACTCTCAGCACAGTGTCAAGAGGGCGAGCAGGTGCACAACTGATCTCAATTTCCCACATTCATTTAAACTGGAAGTCATTTAACCATTTCTCTTTATTGATATGTTCATCTTTTATTTTCATTTGGTAAGACCTTTTAAAATAAGAATAGTAACTCTTTTTCTCTCATATATTACCAATTTCCCCCCACTTTTCATTTGCCATTCCATTTGTTTGTGGAGCTTTTAATTTTTTTATTTAAAAAAGCTTTATGTTCTAAAATCGATCGCTAATTTTTAATAGAGTTTCTTCTTGGTTAGAACGTCCTTTTCTACTCTGAGCTCATATGGTCACTTTTTTTTTCCCCAGTTCTTTCCTGATTTTATCTTTTATATTTGAACCTTTAATCCATTAACTTAATTATTGTGACAAATAACTGTCTGTCCCATTTCCACATTTAGTACATGCTAGATACTTATATGCTTTTGTTTCTTGTTGTGCCTTTCTATATTCCATTAATCTGTCTATTCTTACCCCTGTGCTGCTTTGTTTTAACATATTGAATTGTTACAATGTGTATTATTGTTTAGTAGCAGTTGTCTTCCTCCCTTCTTACTTTTCAACATTTTCTTGATTAGTCTCACTTGTTTATTCTTCCTGATGAATTTTAGCGCTATTGTGAATTTTAAAACATTCTTTATAAATTTTCTGTGGAATTTTTTAAAATGGTAAATTAAAGGGAACTGATGTTTTTTGATATTTGGACTTTGCCTGATATTTTGCAGTTTAATATACATATTCACAATTTGTCAAATTTGACAAATTCGCAGTTTGTCATTAAGCTTATTTCAAGAAATTTAAGTATTGCTTTGATTGTGAATTTATTCCCTTTTCTTATATTTTCCAACTGGTTATTACTGGTATGTAGGGGGAGGGATTATATATTTACTGTTATGGGCTGCCTCGTTGAATTCTCTCATTTGTTCTGCAAGTTTTTAGTCGAATGTTTTGGAATTTCTAGGTAAAGAGTCCTTCATAGCTATAAAATGCAAATTTTGCTACTTTTTCCAATATTTTGTTTCTTCTATTTCCATTTCTTGTCTTATAGCATTGGTTAGATCTTCCAAAACATTAAATTGGTGATGATGAAAATCTTTTTCTTGTTTCTGGTTTACTGCTAAGTATGATGACAAATAATCTTTTAGGCTATGTGTTTTTTATAATGCCAATGAAGTGTTTATTTCTAGTTCATATATATCTTTAAAATCAGAAATGGATTTAGAATTTTATGAAATGCTTTTTTGATACCTATAGAGATATTTGTGTTGTTTTTCTCTGACGGTCTGTTGATGCAATGAATTATAATAATGTTTCATAATTTTGAAACATTTTTGGATCAAATTCTACCTGGTTATGGTATATTGTTCTTTTAATATACTACATGACTTGCTTCACTAGCGTTTCATTTAGGACTTCTCAAATTTATTTTTTGTTGGTTTTGGTATCAAAGTTATGCCGGCTTTGTAAAATGAATTAGGGAACATTCCATCTTTTTCTATATTCTGTACCATATATACATCATTTAAATGATCTGTTCCATGAAAGCTTGGAAGAACTCACCCATATAACTCTCCTGGGGTAATTCTTTGACAACGTTTCCTATTTCTTTTGTATTTATTGGATTCTTTAGATTTTCTACATCCTTAGAATTTTGGCTTCTTTTTCTGATGTAGCGCATTGTTTAAATGTGCAGGCACTGGAATCAGGCAACTTGGGTTCAAATTCTTGTTCTGTCATTTCTCATGTGACCTCAGGAAAACTATGTCCTCTCTCTAATTCTTAGTTTCCTCATTTGTTAAATGGATAAAATGGGAGCCTGTAGCTAAGAGGGCCATTGTGAGGATTAAAGAGATAAAGTACTTTGCACTATGTCTGGCACATAGTGAGTGCTCAGTGATTTTTTTTAAAGCTATTAATTAACCCTAGAAAATAATCTATTTTTCAGAGATTTAAAAGTTTCTTAGCACAGAATTATAAATAGTATTTTTATAATAAATTTTTTTATCTATTTCTATGATATATCACCTGTGTCATTCTTTATTTTGTATGTGTGTACTTTATCTCTTTTTTTTTTATCAGATGAGCTAGAGTGTCTATTTTAGAGGTTTTTCAAAGAATCAGTTCTTGGACTAATTTATCAATTCAACTGTTTTTGTATTAATGTGTTCAAATTCAACAATACCTGCTTTTACCTTTATTGACCCCTTCTTTCTACTTTCCTTAAGCTTGTTTTATGGATCTGTCCATATATCCCTTATGTTGTTCTTCTTTAATAATGAAAACATTTCATGCTATGAATTTGCCTCTGGTTGCAATTTTGACTGCATGTCACAAGTTTCAGTATTTTTAAATATTTGTAATTATGCTTTTCATTTCTTCTTGTTCTTAGAAGAAATGATTATCTGACTTAAATGTGCAAAAGTAGAGCTTATTTTTTAATTAATTTCTAATTTGTTTGGGTTGTGTGTTGTTGCTTATACATTTTTATTCAATTGTGGTTATACTTCATTGTGGCTAGAGATTGTGGACATACAAACTCTCCTTTGGGGGATTTATGGATGTCTTCTTTGTGCCCTATATAATCAATTTTGTAAATGTTTCATGGTCTTTAAAAGTAAGGTGTGCATCTTGTTGATAGGGTACAGATTTTAGTGTAAAGACATTTAGTTTAACTAGCTTTTCAGTTGATTCTTTTGGATTTTCTTAGTGAAGAATGAAGTAATCTATAAATAACCATAATCTTAATCTGTTTGTCGTAGTTTATAACATTGATCTATTTTCTGTTTCATTACATTTGTTAGAGCTTTTTGAATAGTGTAAGCTAATATTGATGAAGTAAGCATCTTTTCTTGATTTCTCATTTTCTGTTAATGATGCTGTTGCTTTCCTCTTGATTTGAGGCATGTTCATCATTTACTTTCTGCCTGTTTGATGACTTTAGGACTGAGAGAGCTCTGGAAACTGCATTTCTGTTTCTCCCCTTTTGGCTGCTATTTTATTCCTAATGTCAATGTTTGTGAATGTTGTGTCCTTGTTGTGGACTGTACCTTCCATCTCGGAGGGGTGGTTTTCATCGACCAGTCTAACGGTTTTGCTCTTGGGTACTTATAATTACAGAAGCACCTCTGCTTTATTTTCATTTGTGTTTCTGAGTTAGGTAACCCTAGTTTCTTGTATAACTGTTTTTGGAAGCCTGTATTCAAGGCAAAGTGTTGTTTGAAAGTTGAACCAGAGACTTGCACGTTCCAAAGAATTCTGCTCCTCGAGAGCACGATGTTCTGCACATTTTCAAGCAATTTCTAGCATTCCATGCATGTTCTTTAAACTTTGTCTTTTCAAACACATGGTTCACTGCCTTAAATTCAATTATTGAGGCTAAAGATTGGCCACATTGGGTCTGCCTAATGATTTCCGTCTTTGTCTTAATTTCTTAAGTCTGTATGAGATCTATGCTCTTACCACAGGTATCAGCAATTTTACTTTTCCATTTTCTGCTTACTTTAGGAAACAACACAAGCAAAATGTAATTAAATACTGGTTTTCAGATGCAGCCAAGTCCTTTATTCAGAACAAATGTTACCCAGAAGCCAGATAAGTAAAATAGATCAAATCCAAGCTGCCCTGTTTGGAGCCAGGCAGTGACCTCAAACTGTGGGCATTTTCCTATAGAGACATGCGGGACCCCAGATGCCTCTCAGAATACCCTTTGAAAGTCTCTGCGATGAGATATTAAAGCAGTTGCACAAACACACTGAACAAATTGCCATGTATGCAGGACTTGGGTGCAGTCGATAGGGAGCCGATTGCTGGCAGTCAGTGGCTGTGTGAATTCCGTAGTTGTGAGATGTCAACTCAGGGTCGTGTAGACCACCTGAAAGTCAGTGTGCGAAAATGGAGGCTTTCCTGTTTGTCTCTGCTCATCCCTTGGATTTGAATTTTTCGAGATAATATACTTGAAATGCATCTCAAATAGACAACTTGTAGTGTGGATTTGACGCTTTTGCCTTGAATGGGAAAATCCCCTTTTTAAGGGGGTATAAACCATTTTCCTTTTTATTTCTTGGTTTTCTTGTTGGGACGTAAAAAATTGCACTTAATGCTTGTTTTATTTTTTTTTTCTCCTTGCTTTCCTGCAGTCTTTTATTACATAGAGTACATTTTTCTCTTTTAAAATTTTCTCTGGTGATTCGGAAAGCACACAGCCAGTGTCTAAGTCTATCAGTGCTAACATTTCAGGGTTTTTTTTATGCCATGCTTACATCCAAATTTTTCTATGGCAAAAAACAACCTGACTTCCGTCTGTGCAATTAATTCCGTCTGTTCCTATATCTCCCCGTTCCTCCTGTTTACACCCTTCCAAATGATACTGTGTGAGTGGGTTTTGTCACTGTGCCTTCTACTTCCTCTCCCCACCGTGAGCCCTGTGCTTTGGGATGAGAGAATCGCCTCTCTGCTTTCTGCTCTGGCCTCCTCTGCAGCAGCAGAAACTCCTTATTGTTTCTGGACTACAGATTGTGTCAACCTGAAATCCTGCCACTTTGTACACTTCCGTGATCTCCTCTCAGTGTGTGGGTTGAGGGTCCGTCTTCTTCCCATCTAGACTGTGAGCTCCTAGGAGGCAGGAACCCTGAGTCAGGGCAGCCTCCGCCTCCGCATGGGGCAAATGGCTGTCCAAGGCATATTCACAGCTGAGTGTCTGAGAGGCTATGTGAGCCAGTCAGTGCAAAGACGACTAGCCAAGGCGTAAATGAGTGTAGGAAGGAGTGGATCTGAGAGAGAGACGAGTGCATGGAGGAGCGGGTGAATTGACATGCTGTTGAAAGAATGGCCGAGTAGATGGACAGGTGAGGGAGTGGAGCAATGACTGGGGCCTGCAGAACCGAGAATGACCACCAGCCACCAGCTGCGAGCCGTCTGAGGTTAGGAGATGTTCAGCCCAGGCTGGGTGTCTGCATGTTGGGATGCATGGGGTGGGGGAGATGGGCTTGCCCACCTCTCTTGAGATCCAGGAGGCTAATGAAGATGCATGTCACTTTGTCCAGGACGACGGGGACATTTAGGATCCATCTCTGCTATTCGGAGTTGTCCATTCTTCCTCCCTATTCTGTAGAATGCCTGATTCTGGGCACCGAGGATATAAAGCTGAGGCCGGTGTGATCCTTTCCTCGCTCAGAGGAGTTCCCGTACCAATGGCGGACATGAGTGACTTCCTCTCCAATCAGGGGTACAGAGAAAATAAAAGCCATCAAAATGACCTCCCCAGCTCCCACCATTAGCCTTTCCCCACAGCTTCTCTTTCCCTGATGACCGAGGGAGGAAGTGACTTAACTCCTGGCCCAATGGCAAATGCGGCCTGAGCTTGGGCACCACCTCTCCAGCTTCTCAGGGGTCTTCCACCACCACCGTCAGCCTCGCCCCTCTCCTGGAGGCTTCCCGTTGGCTCTTACGATGCCATAGGTCCTGTTATCGGAAGAGTCTCTGGAATCCACCTCCTCCCTCTAGCTACCACCCTCTCGGTGGTTTTTCTGTATCTCATTTTTATTTGCCTTCCCGCCCTGCTGCTCCACTGAGAGAGCTTTCATGAGACCACCAATGACCTCCATCCGATTGCCTGCTCGGCACCTCCACTAGGATTTCTCACTGGCCCTGCAGCCTCGCCCACTCAACACTAAGCCCCTGCTCCCCGATCAACACTCACTCCTCCTTGGGTGCTCCCCAGCTCAGAGAGTGGAGCCACTCTCTCCCAGCTGCCGTGCCGGACGCCTGCGAGCATTCTTGACCCTTTCCTATTGCTCTCCATTCCTTACCCGTGGCTGGGGCATTACCAGGTTTCTCCTGTTCTTCTTCCTAACTATTCTCAAAGATGCCTAGTTTCCCCCATTTCCATGACTGCTCCCCTGTCCACGGGGCGGTTCTCTCTTTTGTGGACTCCTGTACTCCTCCCTGCCTCTGCTTTTGCCTACAGCAGCACTCTCTTCTCACATCATATCTCATAAAATGTGAGGCTCGTGTCCTTTATCAGCTATTAAGGGCTTTCCCTCGGCTTGAGGATAAAATCTGTGCTTTTTAACCTTTGTTCTAAGGCTCTGAGTGATCTTGCCCCCACTTAACTCCTCAGCCTCATTTCTGGCATGTTTCAGGTGCTCCATGCTCCATTCACAGAGATGCTCTTTTGGTTACCATGCTGTATCCAGACCATGCTCCATCCAGAATGTGCTCCATCCAGACCATGCCCCATCCAGACTATGCTCCATCTGTCTGGTCCATGAGCCCTCTATCTGGTCTGCGTTCCATCTGGTCCATGCTCCATCCAGGCCACTCTCTATCCATTCCCTGCCCCTTCTATCTGGTCCATGCTCCACCTGTCTGGCCCTTGAGCCATCCCTCTGCTCCATGCTCCCTCGCAGTCCTCCGCTCCCTCTCTGCCTTGTCTGCTCCTCTCCCTCTCTCCCTGGCTTAGGCTCCTCATCCTTCATCCTTTACTCTAAACTTCTTTTGAGAAGTTCCCCCAGTTGGTCACATCTTCTTATTGAATGCTCCCTGCTCCTTGACAACAGTTTGGCCTTTTGAAGTCATCAACTCGTTCTCTGTGATAATTATTGCAACATGGTCTCCTCTGCTGAGCTGGAAGCTACAGGAGAGAAGAGCCTGTTTGACTCACAGCTCTGCTTCTAGCACCTCGTGGTGGTTTAATAAACATGGGCTTCTTTCTACGACTGACCACTTGGAAAATGTAATTGGGCCGGAGGAGAGGCAAGGCAGGGTGCTGGGTTGGGTCAGGGGATGCCGAGGCCTGACTTGGCTGAGGCAGTCTCGGGGCTCAGGGAGCAGGGAAGAGGATGGGGATGAAGGCGGAAGCCTTGAATGCTATTCTAAGGAGTTTGGTCTTCAGCAACAGGATTATAAGCAGGGGGTGACGTGCTCAGCACTGGGCCTCGGGACTTTGGAAGATAGCCATGCCTTCTCACCATACAGCCCAGGAGCTGCCCTTGCCCTTTCCTTGGAGGCTGACTTACTGCATGGCTATGCATCCCATTCCTGTGGGGTGGTGGTATTGAGAGTTGGGCCATGAGAGGGCATGGGGAGACCCAAGGAAGGCCTCTTGAAGAAGGTGGAGATGTTGAGCAGGCATTGGAAGCGCCCACTGCCCACTCACCTCTGTGTTTGGAGTATACAGGGTGACGTGGTGTCTCACAAGGACTGTCATAGCTTGGGTGGGCAGGCTGTTCCCCGGAAGTTGAAGGACCCCTTTGCACATATAAGCTCTGCCCTTAGAGCTTCCCATTCTGCCATGCAGAGCAAACCACCGCCCTTCACTTTGATTAAGAGGTAGTTGACCGTGTAATGGCCAAAGCATGGTCAGCCTTGCCTGGTTTGCCTCTTCTCAGTCTTTCCGAGTTGGCATGGCCTTCCTAGGGGAGACGCTACTTCAGGGAGGGGCGCCTCTTCCCCATCAGCACCGCTCCCTCACACTTGACGAGGGTGTTACGTTCACCACGTTCCTGCTTCCCAATGCCAAATCAGGCCTCAGAAAGCTTTCTGGAAGTGACACCAACTTCAGGGACAAGCCCTGGTTCTGGGGTCAGCACCACTCCATGGTTCCTGAAGAGATGGTAGACTATGGAACGTAGGCTTTATGATTTTTGACCTATGTAACATGGTCCACTAACTCTCAGTATCCAATCCATCCTCGGAGGGCACCCCGGAGGTGTTGCCAACGTGAGGGAAGAGAACGGTTCTGCTGGGTTTAGCTCCGGCACTGCTCCATGGTAATTCCTGTTGCCTATGTTTGATGTCTGAATCGTGCAACAAGGCTTCTTAAATGCACCCTCTGAGGGGTTTTCTGGAGGTGATGCAACGTGGGGGCAAAGACACCAGTTCCAGACTCAGCCATGATTCTTGAAGAGATGGTTTGCCATGTGGCATATGCTCCAGGAAAGATTTGCGTGACGTGGTCCACCACTTCCCAGTAGCCCAGCCAGCTTTGGAGGGCTTCATGGAACCACTGCCACCTTCAGGGGGACCCACCAGTCCAGCCTCCATCACGCTCTGTGGTTTTGAAGAGAGACTTCTGTAGGTTGAAGGGCCTCTGTTGGTACTAATGTCCACCTCTGATCGATCATAAACTCAGTCTCAGAGGGGTTTCTGGAGGCAGAGCCAAGATTAGGGATGAGATGAAGGTCCTGACTTTAGGCAGTGGATTGACCAAAACAACATCTGCTTTGTTTACGAAGATGGCATGGTGGTTACCCCTCACATCCAATCCAGCCTAAGAGGACTTCCTGGAGATGCCCAGACTTTGAGACCGAGATGGCTGTCAGTCTTTCCTTGTGGCATAATTTTTTATGCCCCAAACTAGGGCTCACGACCCGGGCTTCACGTGCCCTGAGACTATTTGCTTGGCCTGCTCAGTATAACTAGAAGGTGCTCTTTGTGGTTGCACATAGGCCATCTTATAGTTCTCATTTTGCTCACCACTCCCCCCAACAGTTCTGTTAGCCACATGCCATGCCCACCCTCCCTCTATGCCCACCTCCCCGTTCCCTCAGATCCAGCACAGTGCCTGGCACGTAGTAGGCACTTAATCAGTGTTTCTGGAAAGATGAAATCCATAACATCGTCCACTTCTGCTCAGTGGGACTTGCAGCCTTGGAGGGCTTCCTGGAGGAGTTACCAGCTTTGGGGATAAGCCACCAGTTCCAGCATCAGCGTCAACTTCTGACAGTGGAAACAAGACTTCTAGCCTGTGTGTGCTTGTGGCATGATGCATGTGTTGTGCTCAACCTGCCCTCTGATTCCCCTCAGCTTTGGAAGGCTATCAGGACGTGTCCTCAGCCTCTGTCCTCGGCGTCCCTGTGTGGTACTTGGAGAGATAGTAGACCGTATAGCGTACGCTTTATCTGTGACGTATGTAACACGGTCCACTAACCCTCAGTATCAAATCCATCCTCGGGGCTCCTGGAACCGACGCCATCTTCGGGGAGGCGCCACTGGACCCAACATCAGCCCTCTCCATGACACTCGAAGAGATGGTTTTCTGTATGGCATGTTCTTTTCTGCATGGTGCGAAATGACATACTCTCGCTCTTCTTATATCAAGTTCTGCCTCGGGAAAGCTCGCCATCTCTGGGGAGGAGATCTTGATTCTTTCTGGGATCAGTGCTGCTCTCTGGCATTCCATGACGTGGTTGACTACGCAACTCTTGTTTAGTATACACCATGACCTGCTTCTTCTCAGCATCAAATGCAGCCTTGAAGAGGTCCCCAGAGGCAACTTTGTGAACGTGAGCCTTCTTCCACTCGTCACTCCCATCGTGCGGTACTTGAAGAAATGGTTTACCGTCCCACATACATTTTGAGTATGTATGTGGGATGGTAAACCGCTTCTTGGTATCCAGCCCAGCCATCCAAACCATCCCGGAGAGAGCCTGAAGTCAGAGAAACGACACTGGCCTCAGCATCCTCCCTGCTCCGTGGTACTTGGCGGAATGGTAGACTGTTAGATGTGTACTTAACCTGTTAATGCTTGCAACGCAGTCTTCTCCTCAGTGTCAAACACAGCCTTCAGGGGCTTCCCTAGGACAATGATAACCTCCAGGAAGGTGTCCTGCTTCCACGTTGGCACATCCCCTGTAGTACTTGAAGAACGGTGGTCAGTGCCGCGAATGTTGACGAAGGAGGGATGTTCCACGTTCTGCCTCGTCATCCTCCAAGCTGTCCTCAGGTGGCTTCAGGACTGAGCACCCACGTAGAGCAGATCTGGGTACACATGAGACGATGCCACTCCAGGTACTTGAAGACACACTGACTCGTTGTTTTCATTGACGATGCATGTACAGTCTATCTTTTTTCCATATTGAGTCTAGTCATCTTGAGGAAGGTGCCCTGGCTCTGGACTCAACATTGATCCTCCACGAAGCTCTGATCGGCCCTGCCGTGTATGCTTACAGACGAGGCACATTCCATGGCCCGCTTCTTCCCTATCTCCAATCCAGCCTTGGGGAGCTTACTGAAGATGCTACCAGCTTCAGAGTCGAGTCGGAGCACTGGTTCTGGCATCAGCACCAACCTCACGGTACCTAGAAAGGGTTCGACCGCACTGCATGTATTTTATTAACAGCGTATGTAACATGGTCTACTTCTTTTCAGTATCAAATTCAGTCTTGGAGGTCTCCAGGGAGGTCATGTCAACTTCTGGAGATGAGGTGCCACTTCTGGCACCAGTACTGCTCTGGGATACTTAGTAGAAGTTGACCATGCTTCATATGTTTTACTTACAACGCATGTTACTTGGTCCACCTTTTCATAACAGCAAATGCACCTTGGGGGGCTTCCAAGAGGCAACACTAAGTATCAGGCATAGCGCTCGTTCGGCGTCATCTCCACTCGGGGTCCTTGAGGGGTTTCTCTGTGCTGTGTCCACTGCATCTCTAGCAGGCCTTGCATGGTGGGCTCTTCTCAATACTGCATCTAGCCTCAGAGGGCTTCCGACGGTGGTGCTAACGTGAGGAAAGAGACGCCGGTTCTGACATCAGCCCTTTCCACGGTACCTGAAAAGACGGTTGACCATAGAGCATGCGCTGTCTCTAGGTCGTATGTAATATGGTCCACGTCTTCTCAATATCAAATTCAGTCGCAGAGGACATCCCAGAGGCAAAACCAACTTCGTGGGAGACACATTGGTCTGGCTTTAGTACCAGTCCACAGATACAGAGAGATGGTAGACCATAAAGTGTACGTGTTGTTTATGACGTATGCAACATGGTCCACTAATTCTCAGCACCAGGCAGACTTAGGGGACTTCCTGGAGGCCATGCCAACTTGAGAGCAGGGTCTGTGTGGTAGGCGCTCTCCAGCAGAGGTCACTGGGTGATTGGCTGTAGACCACATGCTTTATTTATGACATTGGCCACTTAGTTCCCCAACCAGTACTCAGCACCCAATCTCAGCCTTGCAGGGCATCCTGGAGGTGGTAGCATCATTGGACATGGGTTTGTGGTCATTGCCCCATTTGCCGATTGCTGATAATTCATGATGCACATTGCAAGGGCTTCCTGGAGGCAATACCAAATTAAGGGGAGAGAGGCTGGGTCAGCGTCACTTCATGGTATTTGAAGATGCGGTTGACCATGCTGTGTACGCTTTATTTATGACGTAGGACACATGGTCTACTTCTCCTCAATATCACATCTCGCCTTGGAAGACTTCCAGGAGGTGATATCAGCTTTGAGGAAGAGCCACTGTCCTGGTGTCAGTACTGCTGCTGCTTGGTACTTGGAGAGAGGTGGTCCGTGGCGCGTTCGCTTTATTTATGGCGCACATTACACGGTCGACCTCTTTGCAGTATCTAATCCCGCCTGGCAAGCTTTCCTGGAGCTAACATCAACTGTCGGGTGGGGACACTAGGTCTGCGCTCAGTGCCACTCACCGGGGTTTGTGATGTGTCTGTCTTGTGTGTGACGATAACTCATGTGTGGCAGCCTTCTTCTCAGCAAACCACTCTAGTTTGGCGGCTTCAAGGGCAAAGGTCACTTGCGGACGAGGAGAATGGCATCAACACGTGCCTGGGTACATGAGATGGTTGACCAGAGAGCACACGCTTTATTTGTGCCGTTTGTGACCTGGTCCACTAACCCTCAGTATCTAACACCCCCCTTGGAGAACTTCCAGAAGAAATGCCGACTTTGGGGAAAGAGACGATAAACCAGGGCCAGCTGGCCTCTACTAGACTTGGAGGAGAGAGCATCTGCAAGGCGTTCTCTGTACATGTGCCAGATATGGCCCACGTGGACTTATTTACAGTAGGATCTCTTTCCTTGGAGGGCTTTCTAGATGTGAGGCCCTCCAAACCCAGGGGAACGGACATGCTGTCTGTGCCTCTCCAAAGTGCTAAAGTGCTCAGCTGACCAGACTGGGTGCACTTTATTTATGACACAGATCATTTGGCCCAACACACCTCAGTATCTGGGGAGTCCCTGGGAGGACCTTTGCGGGAGCCAGCCTTGGCTTGGGGCATCTGTGTCTTTCTATGGTTCCTCAGAAAACTTTACCCTGGGGGTTAACTACAAATGTGACAGCTCTGGTGCCCGGCCTCTCTATAGTACTACCACCCTCTGGCCATGATGCCAACTTCAGGAGGTTCCGGCTGCCTTTGGGGTCAGCTCCATTGGGCTACTTGGATGGATGGTAGACGGACAGCATGCATTCAACTAATGGCTTACACCAGCAAATCGACTAATGTGCAGTGTCCAGCTCCATATTAACAGGACTTCCAGGACTGAATGTCAAGTCTGGGAAGAATCAGTGTTCTTGTCAGTGTTAATCAGTGGTACCTGAAGAGAGGTTTTCTGGGTTTCTGTTTCTTTAATGAAGATGAAACACACCTAGTTAACCTCTTTTCCAGTATCAGATCCCATCTTGGAGGCCTTCTGGTCCAGACCTCGGCTTCGGGGAGGGGCGTTACTGTCAGCTTCCAGACAGTGGGCAGAAATCAGTGGTTGAGCACAAACCCTGTGCCTTATATTTATGACTGATGTCACCTGTTCTACTAACCGTCAGTGTCCAATCCCTGTTAACAGGACCTCCAGGACTGAATGTCAGGTTTGGGGGAAGAATCAGTGGTATTCATGTCGGTGTTAATTGGTACCTGAAGAGAGGTTTTCTAGGTCTCTGTTTCTTTAGTGAGGGTGAAACGAACCTGGTTAACCTCTTTTCCAGTATCAGATCCCACCTTGGAGGCCTTCTGGTCCAGATCTCAGCTTCAGGGAAGGGGCGCTGTGGACACGAATAAATGGTGACCTATTCCATTTATCCCCTATTCCACTAACCTTCAATGTCTTGTCCGTTCTTAGGAGGACTTCCCAAGGCGATGCCCACCTGGAGGAAGGCGGTGGTCCCCATGGCAGCTCCATGCCCGGGAACACGCAGGTAAGTCATCTGTGGCTGCATTTGTCTGGCTTCTGACAGATCACACAAAGCCAGCCCAGGTCAGTATCCAGCCCACTTTGGAGGGATGGCTGGTGTTTGCCACTTTCAGTGATGGGCTTGGAGTCAGCGCAGCCCGTGTTAGGTGAATGCCTGTTGCATGGAGAGCATGCCCTGGGCAGACAATGTCGGTGGCTTGGACCACTGCCCCTCAGCCTGCAGTTTATTCTGAAAGGATATTCTGGATATAATGACATCTTTGGGAAGAAAAGCTGGTTTCGAGATCAAGATGAGACCTGGGGGTCCCTGGAATTGGTCTGGGGTGGGACCTGTTTATTTCTAACATGAATTCTGGAGCTGATTTATTTTTAAATCTGGAGGAATGCTTGATGCTATGCCAATTTAGGGGGAAAGGGCTTTGTCATCAATTCTAATCCAGGAAAAGTGAGCAGAAAGCCGCCTACAGGCCAAGTGCTTTACCAGGGACACGCCTGGTCCACGGACCACCGTATCCAATCCAGCGCTAGCAGGCGATGCTGCTGTGAGGGAGGAGGCTGTGCTTCTGTAGACGCTTCTTCTCTGTGGCACTCAGGAGAGGTTTCCTTGGGTGTATTCATTTCTTTTACGACAAGTCATTCCCGCTGACCACTCTTCAGTATCCAACACCCCTTGAAAGCCTTCCTGGACGAGACAGAAGCTGTAAGCCCCAGCCCGGGCTGAGTGAGCCGAGGCCGCTGCTTCCCTCTCTCTGCACATCGTGTCTGATGCTAACGCTCCTTCCCAGGAGGACGTCATGGAGGCAACGCCACCGCCCGGGAAAGAAGGTGGTTCTCGTCCAGCTCTAAGGCCAAGGCACAGAGGTGGGTTGTCGGCTGTACGTTTGTTTTGATGGCAGTAGGCTGTGACTCTGGGTTCTGGGCTCTTTTGTGGCATTTGGGGAAGGGGCATTGGGTTCTCAAGAAGGGCCAGGTCTTTCCACGTCAACCTTACTTTGATGAAAGCCAGAAGAGGTGCGATGGCATCTCCTATTAGCTGATGCCCAATCGTCATTGTTTCCACCTGTAAAGAGCCCGGGGGCTGTGAAAGAGGAGGAAATGTGAGAGCAGTGAGCACACCGTTGCCTCTGAGCTCTCCAGGGCCGGTGGCCACCGAGTGCACGCAGACTGGGCACTCTGCTGGTTAAGCAGGAGTCAAAAGACGGATTGCGAGGATGTCAGGAGGCAGCACAGCTCAGTGACTCTCTTATCCTCTGCTTTAGAGGTCAGCTTAGGGGAGAGGGCAGGGCAGTCACACAACTGGATTAAGAGGAAACCTGGAACTTGCTTTCCCTTGATTTTTGACTCCCGTCTCTCCAGTCCTATCCGGGTTGGCCGGCCTCCCTACTGAAATGAAAGAGAGTCCGGAGATAGCAATATTTCCCCTACAATGAAAAAATTATGATAAAAGGACTTTTATAGCAAAACAGAAAAGCCAACTCAGAGTTGGCGCAAACATTTGGCAAAATAACTTCGGGAAATGAAGTTTGTTTTCATTCCTTAATTCTCCTGAATTAAATGGAAGGCAGCGGGAGGTGTGAAGTGGTGTTTCATCTGGAGGATGGGGGCCTGGCCTCACTCCCAGCCCTCTCTGCCCTCCCGCGGCAGGAGGTTGTAGTGAGCACTCGCTTTACATGTGATTAACCGGATAACGTCCATCTGTTTTAGAATCGCACCTTGTCTGGGAGACTGCTTGGACCCCTGGCCACTTCCAAGCAGCTGCCTGGGTGTCAGCCCCAAGCAGGCCACGTCACCTGCCTCTTGACCGCAGAATGCAGCATTTACGTGTGAACTCTCTCCTCCTGCACTGACATCAGGATGCAAACCAGTGCTGGAGGCGCTTCCTGAGGGCTGACTTCCAGAAGGATGCTGTGGCTCCACCTTCAGGAACCCCAGTACCTGGAGAGAGGTTGTACCCTAAATGTCCTCTGTCTTGGTGGAAATGATTTCACAGGACCGTCTTTCAGTATCAAGTCTTAAAGGGTTTCTTGGCTGACCTGCGTAGGCCACTCTAGGCTCTCCGCTTATATAGGACACGTGACATCCAGTTGATCTGGTACAATGTAGACTTGGGAAAACTTCCTGGAGGTGACACCAACGTCAGTGAAGATTCAGAAGTTTTTTGTTTTGTTTTGTTTTTGTTTTTTTTTGTTTTTTTGATCAGTGCTAATCTTCGATACTCGAAGGAGAGGTTGTCCGTGTTGTCTTCTCTTTATTTATGATGAAACATACACGGGAAACCTCTTTTTTAGTATCAAATCCCACCCTGGAGGCACTTCCTGTTCCTGATGCGGCCTTCAGGGAGGGGACCTTGCCGCTGCACTCTGAGTAGGCCCAAGGAAGGTGGACTGTGTGACGTGATGTGGGAAGTGAGGGGTGAGGGGTGTGCGGCCCTGAGGATCCAGCCGCCTGTGGACATCTCCTTGGAAGGGAAGCCAAGTTTGGAGAAGGGCCCATGTTTCTGTGGTGGAGGGAGGTTATTCACTGTGGTTTTCATCCATTCGATGACTCAGGGTGGGTGGTGGCTCTTCAGCTGTGGGGTCTTGCTCCGATGGCATTCTGGACACACTGGCAGCATCACTGAAGGGACTGTAGTGCCATCCACTCTGCAGGGTAGCTGAGGGGATGGTAGACCGGTGACGTGCACTTCATTTATGATGTAGGTCACCCGTTTGACTATCCATCAGCACCCAGTCCATCTGTGGGATGGCATCTTGGTGCACATGGCAACTCTGGAGAAGATGCAGGAGGATTTGGGGCCAGTGTGAATCCGCAGTGTTTCAGGAGGGGTCACCCTTTTGGGGGCTCCCCTTCCCACCTTTTAAAAGTAAATACAAGCAATCATCAGTGAATAATCTCTGTGTCAAATCCTGCCCAGGGGGACTATTAGCCCGATCACAGAAAATGTCAAGGAAGAGGGCCTGGTATCAGGACCCTTGCCAGGGGCAGGCCCACCCCATAGCGTGTGTGGAATGCAGGGTGTTGCCTGGTTCAGGGGTCCAGTCTGTTTTCGGGGGGGCTTGGGATGTGTGTGCAGTAGTGCCAATGTTGGGAGCGTCTGTGGTTGTGATGTCAACTATGTTCTGTGGTCCCTGAAGCCTGTCCGAGGAGCTTGCCACGTATATGATGAGTGTCACATGGCCCATCTCTTTCCAGTGGTAAATACCACCCTGGAGGATGTCCTGGATGGGAGGCCAGATTCGGGCAGGGCCGTCGGTGTCTGCACCACTACTGGTGAGTGAATGGATGAGGCCGGAGGAGCTGGCAGTGTGGCTCTCATGCCCCTTGTGGGCCATGACCGCTTAGAGGCTAGCCTCTCCCTGGATGGGTTTCAGGTCCACCATCATCACTTGGGGGAAGAGGCTTTGTTGCCATCACTCATTCTGTGTCTGTTTTCCCCCTTCGGCTGACTTGTGAGGATCCAGAGATGGGTTGTTTTTCGGCGTCACATCCTACCTAAGACGCATTCTGGATGTGACAGCAGCTTCAGAGAAGGGACGTTGGCGTCGTCATCAGTGAAGGTGCGGGTGTGAATGTTTCGCGGGAGACCACACGTTCTGTTTGGCCTGCATCTCCTCGTCCTCTAATGCTAGGTGTCCTGCCCTTACCCAGGACCGCTTCTGGAGAGAGGCCTCAGGGGTGCAGATGGGCCGCCCCGTCCCTCGGCGTCGTCCTCGGCTGGCTGGCCCACTGTTCTCGCAGCAACGGCAGGGCCACAAGACAGTAAGTGAAAACCCCTCGGCTCTGAAGGCCTGAGACCGGGAACTGGCACATTTCTGCCCGTATCTCAGGGCCAAAGCAAGTCGCATGGCCAGCCCCTAAGACAAAGGGTGGGAGGTAACACTTCCCCCGTGAGCATGAGGGGTTATGGTGGGCAGTGGGTGAAGGGGGGTCATGGAGCCAGCAGGTCAGGCGTCCACATGGGCCACTGAGAACCGGGTTTCATTCATTATTCAGCCATAACTCAGGAACTCCCCATTTCCTGTCCGCCGTGCGGACGCTTCCTCGAGCTAAGGCTGGCCAGCAGTGGTGACACTGTCAAGGCCCCGGGTCATTCCATTGCATCTGAGGCCGTGCTGTCCATGAGCCACTTTCTGTGTTGTTGACGAAGGTTAAACATCCCTTCTGGGGCCCATTTCGTGGAGGCGTGTTGCCCAGCCCTCCCACGGGACCCGTTTGTTCTCAGGACGTCTGCCGAAGTGACGCGCAGGGCGGAGAAGCAGCCGTGCTCGCCGGGTCTGACATGCGGTACTTAAGGAGAAGTTGCCCGTGTTTTTTTCGCTTTATTTGTGACGAAACATTCGCGGTGCACTTCTTTTTCAGTATCTACTTCTGCCTCGAGGACATCCTGGTTCGGATGCCGACTTCAGGGAAGGCACGAGGGCTCATGGTGGCCTTCCGTTAAGATTTTCGCAATCCTGTCTTCTCCCTTCCTCAGGTCCCCTTGACTTCTCTCATGAAAGTTCCCCTCTTCCTACCGTGTGGCTTGAGTTGTATTGAAACCTCCCCTCTCTCTCACACACACAGACAGCCCCCCCACCCAGCCCAGGGTTAAGTGAGTTGTTTCATCCCTCCCCCTTTGCTGCTGTGATTGGTTCAAAGATGGGCCCCTAACTCCACTGAGCCCATGACATGCAAGTAGCTGTTTGCTTGAGGCTTCTGGGAGATGAACTGTTTCTCCCTCTCCTGTGAGAGCTGCCAGGGTAAGCTCTCTATGTCCCCTTCAGCCATGTGACATGATAACATCAACCTTGAAGCTCCCACCACCATTTAAAGACCCAGAGAAAAGTGCCTGGGACTGGCCGTGGGGGAGCTGTGCAGACCTAAAGAGAGAAGCCTGTACCATAAAGGGCATATTGGGGAGTCAGAGAGGAAGCAGGACCTGGGTGACATTGTTTGAGCCCCTGGATCAAACCCTGCCTGAAGCTTGCACTGCATCTGCACTTCTTAGTTGCATTAAGCGTGTTAGTTATATAAAGCCTGTAAATCCCTTTATCGTTTAAGCCAGTTTGAGTTGGGTTTTATCGTACTTGGGATATAAACAGATGCTACCACACCACTGTAGTGAATGGAAAACCTGCGTTTTTCTTCAATGATGGTTCACTTACTATCCTGTCTAAGATGAGTTCTTGGTGAAAAGTGATTTTTTCTTGTGGACTTCCTGTGTTTGTACTTCAAAAGTGTTGTCCTGGTGTTTATGAATGACAAATAATACGTGATTCACGTGTTTTGTGTCCAGGCAAGGGCCATCGGCATGGGCCCCTCTCCAGGAGACCTGAAGGGTGGATGGTGGACTCCTGAGCATCTCCCTTGACCCGTTCGGCCTCAGCGTCCCTCTCTCCCTGGGAGGAGTTTCCGGAAGTGGTGCTGACTTTGAGGAAGGCATCTGCTTGTCCCTGCTCTTAGGCTCTCTGTGACGGGTTTGCTGTATTTGTCACAAGTCATGCTGAAGTGCCGGCGGTTAGAACCAAACCACATCTCGAAGGAACCAGGAGTGTCCTTAAGGCGGGGAGAACTGGCCTCAGAACCGTGCAAAGCACACGGATGGACGGGTCCACTGAGAGCTGATGCTGCCCTGGGGGCTGGTCTGAACTGACTCTGCATCCTCGGTCCCCATCTCTCGAGATGCCTTACAGGAGCCGCTGACTCTCAGAGAAGATTTTATTTGAGAGCCCAGGACCATCCTGTTTTCTCTGAAATGGTGCTCTCTGTGAACATTTGTGGCATTGACAGTGAACATTCTGGAACCTGTGTGCCCTGAGTTGCATTCTGCCCGTGAAGACTTCCTGGGGTTCTGCAGCAGCAGCCGGCCGTCTGGGGCGGGTTTGCTTTTTCTGTGATGGCGCCACCACTCCCCACGCCCAGCGTCAGCCTCGCCCGCGGGGGCCTCCCAGCCGGGCCACACTGCGGGCAGGGAGCGGCCGTGTGCCTCCCGCAGGGGGAGCAGAGGCCCTGTCGCTTTCAACACACGTTTCGTGGACGGTGTTTGCCCTGCCGCGCCACCACGCCCTGGCCCCCAGCGTCCCGTCACACCCAGGTGGCCTGCGGGAGGTGAGCGAATGCAGACGCGTGCCCGCCGGCGCTAGTCTCTGGTCCCTGAAAAGAAGTTGCCCATGTTATTTTCGCTTGATATGTGACGAAACAAACATGGTGCACTTCTTTTTCGGTATCAAATCTCATCCTGAAGAGATCCCTGGCCCCACTGGAACTTTGGGGAAGGGCCTTGGTGTCCTTACGCTCATGGTATGTACGTGGGGGATTTGCCCCCTTCGACTGTGTGTTGGTGGGTCTGGGGGTGCTCGGTGGCTGGCCATGCTCTGTCCAACCACAGGCAGCGTCCACCTCTAAGAACGGGCACAGCTGGCGAGGCCTCGGTCACGTGCCAGCTCCCCACTGCAAGGGAGGCCCGGGAAGCACGTTTCTGGGTTCTGTCCCAACATTTGAGAGGAGTTCAGATGCGAGCAGCCAGAGAACCATACAACTAAACGGCAGCCATAACAGCAAACAAGTAGCCAATGTCGGTCATCCGCCAGAGCTCTCCAGAGATGGCGCGGGGGGTTGCCAGTGCGTGTATTTTAAAGGTGCCCTGTCACCCAGGAGGACTGTCATCCACACGTCCATAGTAGACCTGATTGGGGCCACCAACTGCAGTGGAAGGCAGCGGTCCCCGTGGTCGTGGGGGACGGGTTTTCCCAGAGCGCTCATTCCGCTGGGACTGACCCCTTCCAGCCCGCCTCTTTCCAGGTTCTGCCTCAGAAGGATGAAGGATGTGTTTCTCGACGCCGTCAACAGAGAGGGGCCACTGGTGTCAGCTGCCAATGAGGACCAGCGAATGGGCGTGCCTGCAGAATGTGTGCTCATGAAAGACGCTGCCGTCCCGGTCCCTTAGCCTCCGCCTTCAGTCCATCCTCAGGCCACCTCCCTAGAGGAGGGGCCGTGCGGCTCTGTGGATGGTTCTCATCGGAGGAGAGGTGAATGCGCTTGATTTAAGATGAATCATTCTTGGTCAACCTCTTTCAGTATCAGATCCAACCTGGAGAAAAGGCTGTTTGAGCCGAGATTCTTGGTGGCGTCTGCAGCTCCCTGGGGTAAGTGGCAGGCTGTGGTCCAGAGAGTGTGTAAGCGGCAGTCCTGGTCATCTGGCCCACTAACCCTCAGCGTCTGTCTTCCCTAGCAGGAGTTCCTGGAGCTTGGCCAGCCGGGCTTACTCTCGGTGCTCCGTTTTGGAACTCAAAAAGAGGTTATCTGTGTTTCTTCGCTTTATTTATGATGAAAAATACAGGCGCACTTCTATTTGAGATCAAATCCCGTCACAACAGTCCAGCACCGACTTCTGGGACGAGATGCTGGTGGCAGTCCCACTCGTGGCTCTCGGGCCATGCTGGCCTCTGCACATGCCTGTGTAATGGTTGGCTCTCCTGCTCCACCCATCCCCCAGGGCCTGTCCTCCCCTCAGAGATCTTCCTGGAGGCGGAAACACCTTTGGAGAAGCAGCAGCTGTCTTCAGGTCAGGCTCATCTGCGGTCTGTCAGCAAAGGTCGTCCAAGAGGGGCAGACACAGCTAACCTGGTCTACTTGTTCGAGTACCCCCCTTCTAGATGAGGGGTGCCGACCTCGGGGAAGGCACAGCTGTGGGAGCACCTCCCCAGGGTTTCTGAACTGCAGGTGGAGGGCATCCTGTGTCTGTCACATGCCTCCAGGCCCATGGACCTTCAGAATCTCTTCAGCCCAGAGGGCCTCCTGGAGGAGTTCCGGTTCTGCATTCCCTGTGGAAGGTGAAGAACATTTGTCCCATGATGCCTTTGTTTTATGCCCGAGGAACATGAAAGGTACAGTTCTCTTTGCGAATGGAGCCTCCTTCCCCATCTCGGAGGGCTTCCGACTCCTGCCACTCATGTCAGGGAGGGCACTGCTAGCTGCACTGCCCCAGGTACGTCCAAGGAAGGCCCCGAGGGAGCATTCCGTCTCTGCTGGCGTCCGTTCTCCTTGCCTCAACTCCCACCATCCGTTTCCTTTGCAGGAGGATGCTCTGGCAGCCGGCGGAGAAACAGGGTCACAGAAGCTGGTCTGAGATGTTCGAAAGGAGGTTGTCCGTGATGTATTTGCTTTGTTTGTGGCAGATATTGCACGGTTGATCTCTTTTCATCATCAAATGCCTTCTCGAAGGACTTGCTGCGCGGTGTTGGGTTCGGGAGTCGGTGTGAGTGTTGGCCCCTCTGAGGGTGTGGGAGCAGATGGTCGACCAGATGGCAAGTGTTTTTCTTTCTTTATTTTCCATTTTGAGGACCGAGAATTTATTGAATGAATCACCATATAATCCTGTTTCCTAAGGTAAATCTATAAAGGTGAAAAATTAGGTTCTACAACACCCATTTTCTCTTTAAAAAATTGACAAAGAAATGTGAACAAAAACGTGTGCAACACAGTTTTCAGATTTTTAAAAGAATCTCAAAATATATGCTGTCTGGTCCCTTGGTTTCTAAAACTTACTTCTAAAAGAATGGATAAGGCACAGACATATGCTGAAAAAAATTGAAATAACAAATATGAGATAATAATGGGAATTTTTATGAATATGTCACAGGTGTCCCGATGTTTTAGTATGTGACTTATTTTAATAACTTTTTTTTTCCTGCTTTTTTCTCCCCAAATCCCCCCAGTACATAGTTGTATATTTTTTAGTTGTGGGTCCTTCTAGTTGTGGCATGTGGGATGCCGCCTCAACGTGGCCTGATGAGCGGTGCCATGTCCGCGCCGAGGATCTGAACCCTGGGCCGCCGAAGCAGAGCTTGCGAATTTAACCACTCGGCCACAGGGCCAGCCCAATAACTTTTTTTTAAAAAAAAGACAAAATATCAATTTGCTTGGGAAAGTTAACATTTCCAGGTGTCTATCAGGCTATGAGGTCTTTATGCAGTCTTCAAATGCCCCCACGATTGTCGGGAGCACCCCAGCTGCCCAGGGCAGTCTCCGACGTCTCTTTCTGGAGGCCGTACCTCAACTGTTAACATGTACCTTTTTCTTAAACTTGGAGGGGGCTCCTCAAGATTTGTGAGCAAGTGGTTTATACAAGACGTGCTCTCAGGGAAGGCCATTCCAGGAGGCAATGCGGGCAGCAAGAGAGGAAAGGGGATGAAGCCACACGGCGAGCAGACACTTGCCAGCTCCCTGCCCTCGGCCCCCAGCCAGCGTCTTAGCCTTGGCAGGACGCTCAGGGAAGGATGCTGACTTCTTGGAAGAGACAACAGGTGGGTTGACACGGCTCTTCCAGGAGACCTGAGCAGGATTCCTTCGCTGGTCACAACGTCTATCCCAGATCTTGCCTGGCTGCCTGCATTTCAAGTAAAAAAAAAAATAACCCGACCAGGCGTGATTCCTCGAGACCATGCCCTTGTGCGTTGCCGTGCTTGCAAAATCCACTCCGGGTACAAGAAGGAGGTTGCCCACAGAGGATGTTGGCTTTACTTGTGACTTAGACCATCGGACCCCCTAACCGGCCGTGTCTCATTTCTTCTTGACAGAGCTTCACGGAGGGAACGCCAGCCTGGGGGCGTGGCCCTGCTCCCGCCAGGATGTGGAGAACGCTTGGCCATGTGGGTTTGCTTTATTTGTGACAAATTGTGCTTGGGGCTTTGGAGGGCGTCAGGATTGCTTCCTCAGCAGCTGCGAGTGCAGAGGAGGGACTCTGGCCCTTTGTAGGTGATGGATGTTACCTGTGCACATACCCTCCATCTCCGCTTGTCCTGCGGAGAAATGCCTGACTCCACCCTTGTGACAGGCAGTGGCTTTCAAATAGAAAACTTTTTTGAACCAATTCCGACTTTAGGAAAGCAGTGTTGGTGTTGGTGCTCCTTTGTGGAATAGGAACGTATGCTTGGTTTAGAAGGAATGCCACGTGGCCCATTTGTCTTCAGTGTTGAATCTGTGTTTAGGAGGACTTCCTGGAGGTGACGGCAACCTTGCACAGTGGGACTGAGTCTGGGATGATTTTTTGCTGTTGGAGGCATGCTTTACCAAGGAGTCACAGCACCTATTTCAGTAAGTCTCTGCATCTGATCCACCTGAAAAATGAGTTTTCTGGAAGCTGTGCAGTTTTAGGGGGAGAAGGGTGGTGGCTAGTAATCAGCCACTCTGCTGTATTTGAAGAGATATTGTTTATAATCTTTATCTCTAATATACCCCTACCAGCCTATCGCATCGACTCATCGAATCCTGCCTATTGGGATCTTCTGGACACAGGTCTCACTTTCCGGAAGGTTCTTTGATGTCCTCCTCCTTCTAAGGTATGTGAAAGGATGCTTGACTATGCAGCACACACTGTTCTGACCTTTGTTGTTGGGTGCCTTAGAAGGCTTCCTGGAGTTGATGCTGACTTTAGGAACTCTGTAGGGTTTTCTCTTTCTGTCTGTGATATTTTTGGAACTTGAGGATGGTCATCCCTACTGTGCTTGCTTTATTTAGGGTGAATTTTTGAACTACGTCCACTTTTTCAGAATCAAACCCTGCTTTGAACCTCCTCCTGGCCATGAAATTCCCACTGGGGAAGAGACCTCAGGGTCGCCCACAGCTGGGTGAGTGACCCAAGGCAGGGCAGACCCAAATTGTGTGCCTTTTAGTCAGGTCCGTCATCTAGACGTGACGAGGCCGGGTCTGACGTCACAGCGCCTTCGTGGAACTTAGAAAGTGCCTGACCGCCCCACGTTGCTTTTATTCTTGATGAATTGTGTTCAGGTCTGTGCTTTCCAGGGATGTTCAGTTTTTGGTATTCAAAAGGTGGATGTTCCTGCTATGTTTATGGTATTTATGGTTAATCATAGAGGAAAATCCACATTTTCAGTATCTAAAGTTGCTTTTAAAACATTTCTAAACAAAAATCCCCCTCAGGAAAGAGGGGGGAAAGTCACCGGCCCCCCAGGGGCAGTGAATGAAAGGAAGGCGACTCCCAAGCCTGTGTCCTCACTGGTAATGGGACAGGTGCCCTCCTCAGAGCTCACCATCACTGCTGCCAACCCCGGGGGCCCTGCCCCACGGGCCTGTCCTGCATGACCTTTATTTTTGATGGATTGTGCTTGGTTCATGCTTTCCAGGACTAAACCCTTCTTTGGTATTTAAAAGGTGGATATTCCTTCTATGTTTATGTTGTTTATGGTTAAACATAGAGGAAATTCCACGTTTTCAGTATCAAATGCTGCTTGGAGTCATTCCCGGACTGAAAGCACCGTCAGGGAAGCCGGAGGGCCAAGCCCCTCCAGGGTAAGTGGAAAGATGGCGGGCCGGCTCACAAGCCACAGCCGAGCCACGTATCTGTGGACCACCCGCCCGGCTCCAGGAGACGCTCTCGCCGAGCCGCCAGCTCGGGAAAGCGGCTGGGTGTCTTGTCACCGTTTCTCCATGGCAGCTCAACCGTCTTTTCTGTGTGATGTTCTCTCATTTTTGATGGATTAGTGCCTAAGTTCATGCTTTCCGGGATTAATCTTCTTTGGTATTTAAAAGGTAGATTTTCCTTCTATGATTACGTGTTGGATGGTTAATCATAGAGGAAAATCCACATTTTCAGTATCAAATACTGCTTTGGGAATATTTTCGGGACTGGAACCGTGGTGAGGGGAGCGAGGTAGGGCCGGGCCCCGCCAGGATAAGGGAGAAGATGCTGGAGGGCGGGACTCGTGCTGCTTTTGAGCCGTGTGCCTGCCGACCATCACCTTTCGAAGCCCCCTCTCTCTAGGGAGCCAGAGGGGCACGGAGGCCGTGGTTTGTCATCACCGCTCCGCCGTGGGACTGAACACAGCTTGCGTGGCTGTGTCGCTTCCGTCTTTGATGAACCACGCACAGATTTGTCCTTTCCAGAACTCAGTCCTTCTTTGGTATTTAAAAGGTGGATATTCCTTCTATGTTTACGTGATTCATAGATAATCATAGAGGAAAATCCATGTTTTCAGTATCAAATGCTGCTTTGGAGATATTTCTGGAAGAGACTGCAGGGCTGGCCCGCTCCCGGCCCCCTCGGCCTGGGCAGGTGAGAAGACATGGAGTGCACGTCACGCCTTCATTAAGGACGTGTGCCTGAGGATCCTGCCCGTTTGGGAGCCATTGCTCGCTGAGGAGCCGACTTGGTGAAGATTATACTGTGGGTCTGTCGTCCCAGTTGTCCATGGAAGCTTGTCTGCCCAGTGTGACTTTCGTTTTTGAGGACTCGAGCACAGGATCTCCTTCTCCTGGACAGAACCCTTCTTTGGTATTTAAAAGGTAGATTCTCCTTCTATGAGTACAATATTTATGATTAATCATAGAGGAAAATCCACGTTTTCAGTATCAAATGCTGCTTGGAAACCTCCAGGGATGTGAAGTCACCATCAAAGAAGAGATGGCACCGGCCCCTCCCGGGCCCAGGAATGGACCATGACGGAGCTCTGTGCTTTGTGTGAGAGCTCTCAGCCTGCAGTGTGCTGTTACGAGGCTATGCTCTCAATGTTGTTTCATTGACCTTGAATGAATTTTGCTCTCTGTGTGTTTGCCATGTTTATGATGCGTTTTCCAGAATCCACCTCTTCCGCAGTAACCTCAGGGGGATACCTGAGTAGGCTGTCAATTGGAGGAAGGGGCACTGGTGGGGCTACCCCTCCGGGGGATACGGGAGGAATGGATGCGTGTTCCACCCACAGCGTGTACTCCACACACAGCGTGCGTTGCCTGCCCCGCTAACCCTGCATATCCGATCTGTTTATCTTAGGCTCGCTCCTGGAGCTGGTGCCAACTTTGTCACAATGAGAATGGCTTTCCCGCCACTGATATCGTTTGCTACTTGAAAAGAGATTATCTTTCATGTGTTTGCGTTATTTGTAATGAATCTACAAGGGCAGGCTCCCTCTGAGGAGCTAATCCTGCCTGGGAAAGGCTTCTTGGAAACAAGGCTGACTTCGGGGACCCATCAGAGGGCTTGGACTGCTCCAGAGTTTGCAGATGCCTGGTTGATCACAGGATGTGGGCCTCTTTCTTGCTGTTTGTGACCTGATCCGCTCACCCTCCTCATCCCATGCATCCTTCAGAGAACTTTCTGGAAGAGATGAGGACTTTGGAGATGATGCAGTGGTTTTCTTTCTAGAGCTGCTGTCCTGTTTAGAAAGGGGTGCCTTCCTCGGGGGGCCTACTTAATATAACGAGGAAGCATCCATGAGCTGCTACCCTGGCAAGTCTTCCCAGACATGATGGCAAGCTCTGAGACAAGACCTTACGGTCAGTTCATCTCCTAGATGTCTGAAAGGATGGTCAACAGCAAAGTCGGTGTCTAATTTAAATTTGGGTCATTTCGGGGCCTGCCCGGTGGCGTAGCCGTTAAGTTCACACGTTCCGCTTCTCGGCGGCCCGGGGTTCACCGGTTCGGATCCCGGGTGTGGACATGGCACCACTTGGCAAAAGCCATGCTGTGGCAGGCGTCCCATGTATAAAGTAGAGGAAGATGGGGATGGATGTTAGCTCAGGGCCAGTCTTCCTCAGCAAAAAGAGGAGGATTGGCAGTAGTTAGCTCAGGGCTAATCTGCCTCAAAAAAAAAAAAAAATTGGGGGTCATTTGGTCTACCCACCCTCCATCCCCAGCCCATCTTTGCACTTACTTCTGAGGCTTAATGGCCCCTTAAGGGAAGGGGGTGGATGGTGGGTGTTGGTGCCAGTCCAGAGTAAGGGAACGGGGTGGCCCCAGAGTACCATGTTTTGATGGGACTTGCCACTGGGACCATTAAGCCCCAGTGCCCTCCTTGCCCATAGGCATTCTCTTGGCGTCGCTGCCAATTGTGATGGAAAGACTGCGATGACTGGTATCCTTATCTGTCTGATTAGTGAGAGTTGGCCCGTGGGATTTCATTTTCCTTTGTGAATCTTGCACTAGACCAGTGCCTTTGAGGAACAACCTGAGTGGCTTTCTGGACATAAGTTCAGGAGAAGGATGCTTGTCTTAGCTCTGCTACACGGTTTGTGAATGGGTGGTCAATCATGGAGGTGCTGGGTTTTCCTTTTTTGCTTTTTGTCTGTAATGGTGCATGCTATTGTGCGTTCCAACCCCCAGCAGCTAATGTGTCCTCAGGTGGACTTCCTGGAGGCAGTGGCCTTGGGCAGAGACGGTGGTTCTCTCCCTGGAGCGATTTTGCAGGCCTTGAAGGAATGTCAGCCATGTGACATCCGCCTTATGTCAAGTCATCCGGGATTGCCCTGTCTTGGGGAGACAATCCTGTCTCGGAGAGGTGCTAGGAAGTACAGCCCATTTCAGGGCAGGGTTGTCACCGGTCCCTCCTCCTTGGTCTCGGCCCCGCAGCAGGTGAGCCCCCTCTGGGGAGGACACGGTGTGGCCCTCCCCGGACCTGCTCTTTGGTACTTGAAGAGAGGATACCCTTTGTATGTTCACTTCATTAATGACGAATATACAGGGGGAGACTCTTATTTGCGTATCAAACTCTGACCAGGAAGGCTCGCACCCAGCTCCAGCTTCAGGACAGAGGTGCTGTTGTCAACCCCTCTCAGGTATGTCCTGGCTTTCCAGGCCCAGATGTGGGCTTCAGCTCTGATGCTGGTCCCCGGGTCCTCCTCGGGAGACTCCTAGAGGCCATGCCGTGCTGGGGGCGGGGGGGTGGGCAGGGGCGGGCCTTGTCTGTGCTCTCTATTGTCTGCCCTGAGTTTAACGGTGATTTGGTTTTTTAAAGATGAATCATGCGTGGACCTGCCCTCGGTCAGCATCAAGTCATACCCAGAAGACTTGCCAGTACAACGTCAGGCTTAGGAGAGCGACGTGTTGTCAGACCCTTTCAAGGGTAACTCATGAGTGACGGTGGACCACAAAGCACCGACTTTGTTTATGATGGTTTCAAGCCTGATCAACCAACCGGGTGAGTCCATCTCAGAGGACTTCCTGGAGGTGGCGTCAGCCTTTGGGAAGAAGCTGAGATGTGCTCGTTAATCCTCCTCTTCAGCGTTCAGGCGGATGTTCTGCCGCTCGTGGTCCCTCAGATGAATCTATAAGCGCTAGTTCTATTTGTGACTTGTGGTTCAAGGCCCGCCTGGAGACTGTCCGCAGGAGCTGCGTGGCCCTGGGGAAGAGCTGTGGGAGCCACACCCCGCCAGCCAGGTACGTGGATGTTAGAAGGTCGGGGGAAGTGCTTCTGTCTTGACGTTTGTCCTCTGGTCCTCTGACCTCCTGCATTCTGTTCACGCTTAGGACGACGGCCGGAGGAAGAGGGCTCTGATCTGTTTACGGAGACATTTCTCGGGCCATGTGACTGTCCGCTTTCACCCCCTGGCTGCCATGGGGGGCATCACAGCAGCGCCCCTGGAGGAGAACGAATGCCGTCTGAGACAGGTGAGCCTCTCACTTGGGGATGAGTCAGGTCGCCCACTCACCCGTGGCTTTCTGCTCCTTCCGTGGGGACCCCTTCAGCAGGGGAGGCCGCCATGGGGAATGGGTCATGGCTCTGCTTTCTCCATTACTCTCTGGTACGTGGGGTTTGACTCCTTTTCCATATCAACTTTTTCCTAGTATGGCCTCCTGGGCATGAAGTCAACCTCCAGGAGCGTGGTGGGGAGGAGGCTGGTGCTGGGGAACAACATTGATCTCCCTGCCTCTGTGGGAGGTATGATGGGTTGGTGACCACAGGGCCTTTGCTTTGTCTGCGGTGTAAATTCACCAGGTCCCCTTGCCCTCAGTGCCCAGTGCGTTATCAGGAAAACTTCCTGGAGAAGGTGCCCGTGCTGGTTCTGCCCCAGCATCGTTCTACAGAAAGCAAGGAGCCGAGCTCGTACACTGAAAGGTCATGGGGTTGATCCCCTTTTCAGGAACAAGTCCTGATTTGGAGAGATTCTGGGAAATGATGCCAATTTCAGTGAAGGGGCACTGGGGTCTGCCCCTCCTTGGCCTCTGAGGGATGGAGAGCTGACCAGTGAGCACACACCTGGCAGGCGGTGTGTGTCCCCTGGTCTGCTGATCCTGCCTCTCCATCCTACTCCCCAGGATGAATCCCGGGAGACGAGGCCAGCCCCCTGAGTGATAGCCATGGACCTGCCCAATGCTCTTGTTTGGTACTTAAAGCGAGGTTGCCCTTTGTATATTCGGTTTATTGACATAGAATATACAAGGGCAAGCTCTCTGTGAGTATCAAACCTTGTCTGGGAGTCTCCTTGGACCCCGTCCACACTCAGCAAGGGATGCGGTATGTGTGTGCATGATGGTGCGTGTCCATTTGGTGTGTGGCAAATCGCTCTGGGTCACCATTTTGCAGAGACGACGTTAGGGCAGGCTGGGGCCTGTTTGGCGTGGGGGGGTCAGAAGGCATGCGCTGTGTGTGCTCTGGTCCCGAGCCGGCCGGTCAACATCGGTGTGGGGCGGTTTTATCGTCATGTGGTGTTTTGTACTTGAATGTGCACGTTGATGCCCGGGGCCTGTGACCTGGTCCACTAACCCTCAGCATCTAATTCATCTCCAGGTCTGCGCCTTGAAGACATACCAAGTCCTCCCAAGGCGGTGGCTTTCTTTTCCGTGCTAACCTTTGGTACTTGGAGAGTGGTTATCCCTGTCCTGTTCGTTTTAATTACGTCGAATCGTACAGGGTCATCCACTTTTTCAGTATCAAGAGCGCAGACTGTAGAGCTCGATTTCCTGTGTTTGGATCCCGCCTCTGACGCTTACTAACCGTGCGACCTTGGGCAAGGATTTCGTCGTGCTGTGCCTGCTGTCTCACGGGTCCAGTGGGAGGCGGAGGGCGGCTGGGGGCTGGAAGAGTTAAGACTTGTCCGGGCTCAGACGCGAGCCTGGTGCTCGGCACCTCCTCAGCCGTAGCCTTGACGCTTATGTTCTATGAAACTGTTGGTGTTGGTGTTATTATTAAAATCTCTCCTTGAAGTTTTGGAGCAATGTCGAGATGTGGACGTCAAACCCTCCGTCAGGTATGTGACTGGATTATGGAG